TCGTACTATGTTCGACCTTTTCCGGGACTTCTTTTCAGCTTTTTCCCGATAATTGAAAGTGAAATTTCGGAACTGAAGCGAGCCGGCCAGTAGCAACAGAAGAATCAAACAAAGGTTTGTAAACATACCAGGCGCCGTAATTTACGTTATTAAAACGTGAGCAGATACGAAAATCTTCAAAGGAAAAACAAAATAAACATTCCGAGTTTTAAAGATTTTCATGCTCAGTTAGATTGCAAGCTTACGTACGGTAATAAAAATCAAACACGGCTAACACTCGTATAGTATATAAAGTTCAGTGTTCAAAAACAAAACAGAACAAAACAGAAATGATGAAAAATATAACCAAACTGGCATAATTGTTAAAATTCATACTAATCATGACGGTGTCTGAGCGAATATGATCATGCCGAAGTTCATCGCGGCTCGCTCATCATGGCGATCTCCGGTCATCACAGTAAAGCAAGCCTCAGAAACTACATCGGCCGCCCTTCGAGTGAAAAAATAAGAGCTTGCTCTGATATCCTTTCCGATACGTTGAGTGGCAATTCACATCAGTCACTGCAGCCGAGTTTTGCGGCGCTGTCATCACGAACGATCTTCATGTTCCGGTGAATTCGGCTGTCTTTCATTCAAAAAAAACACTCGCCTTGAACAGCTTGTTTTCTACCTTGTCATGTGGAAAAAACTCGCGTGTTTTTATGCGCCATAATTCGGCTGAATTTCACTGAACATTTCACTACGAGATTCTGTATTAGAGACTTAAAAACTTCAGGCAAAAGTGTTAAATTCGACTTGCCGAACTATTTTAGTTTGTTAACTATCGTAGAATGTGAACTTTGATGGTTTTTGAACTTTGATGGTTTGATCAATTTTCAAAACAAACTTTATTTCCAAAGCGAAGAACAGTGTCGTCAGCATGCTCTATACTCTCATAAAGCACGCTACAATAAGCCAATCAGAATCCTTGTTAGAATGGTTCAAATAATCTGATTGGCTGTACAAGACTAAAGCTGTCAAAAGTGTCAAATCATCAAAGTTCAAAAACCATCAAAGTCCACATTCTACGATAGTTCACAAACTAAAATAGTTCGGCAAGTCGAATTTAACACTTTTGCCTGAAGTTTTTAAGTCTCTAATACAGAATCTTGAAGTGAAATGTTCAGTAAACTTCAGCCGAATTATGGCTCATAAAAACACGCGAGTTTTTTCACATGACAAGGTATAAAACAAACTGTGCGAGTGTTTTTGAATGAACGACAACCGAATTCACCGAAACATGAAGATCGCTCGGGATACGGCATAACTCGGCTGCAGTGACTTTCCACTCAACGCATCGGAAAGGATATCAGAGCAAGCTCTTATTTTTTCACTCGAAGGGCGGCCGATATAATTTCTGAGACTTGCTTTACTTTGATTACCGGAGATCGCCATGATGAGCGAGCCGCGATGGACTTCAGCATGATCATATTTGCTCAGACACCGTCATGATTAGAATGAATTTTAACAGTTATGCCAGTTTGGTTATATTTTTCATCATTTCTGTTTTATTCTGTTTTGTTTTTGAACACTGAACTTTAAATACTATATGAGTGTTAGCTGTGTTTGATTTTTATTTCCGTGCATAAGCTTGCAATCTAACTGAGCGTGAATTAATCTTTAAAACTCGGAATGTCTATTTTGTTTTTCCTTTGAGGATTTTCGCATCTGCTCACGTTTTAATAACGTAAATTACGGCGCTTGGTATGTTTACAAACTTTTATTTGGTTCTTCTGTTGCTACTTGCCGGCTCGCTTGTTCCGAAACTTCACTTTCAATTATCGGAAAAAAGCTAAAAAGAAGTCCCGGAAAAGGTCGAACATAGTACAATTTGGCAGATGGCGTGACAGCTTTAGTTCAGTTCTATGCTCTATACTCTCATAGAGCACGCTCTTTCAACCAATGACAGCGTGCGTTATATCCGAACTTTATTATAAAAAAACTATACAATTCAGAATGATGGTAAGTACTGATTTGGAAAACAAGTGCCTAGCTCTGCTTATCTGCCATAGGGTAGAAATAAGAGACGAGGTCAGGGTGTTAACGTGTTCATTAAAAGTAAGGTTCGAGTCCAATACTATACCCAGGTCTTTGACTGAGGACACAGGAATTAAGTGTTGCCCAAGAAAGGGGACTCTGATATCAGGAACCCCACTTAAAAGCTGTTTCGTTCCAAAAAGAATAAGTTTAGTTTTGTCTGGATTAATAAGCAACTTATTCGTACATCACCAGGAGGCAATAAGTCGGAGATCTTCCAAGACTTTTACAAGGCAGGAGTCAATATTATTCGAAGGACACAAAATATAAACCTTTGTGTCATCAACATATGACTCTACGCTTGAAAACTTAACAACGGACGGTAGGTCGTTCATGTAAAGGCTGAACATAAGAGGCCCTAGAGTGGACCCCTATGGTACGCCATGTGTGACAGTTAACTCACTAGAGCGAGATGTATCGAGTCGTGTTGACTGCATTCGGTTTGTAAGATAGCTCTCAAACCACTTTGACGCTTCATTTGACGCACCGAGCCCTTTCAGCTTGGTGAGGAGAGTTCTATGACATATGCTGTCAAAAGCTTTGCTCAAGTCGATTAGGACCATAGCCGTGATCTCCTTTTTATCCATCGCTTTATATATATGACCGGTGACAAGCAAACTCAGTGTTTCAGTAGAATGGTGTTTACGGTTTCCGCTTTGATGACAGGTGAGGTTGCCTTGTTGAGTCAAATAATCAGTGAACTGATTCAGGGCGATCTTTTCGGTCACTCTAGAAAGTACAATCAATAATGAAATAGGGCGATTGTTACTAGGAATCTCGTGATCACCATCTTTAAGATGTGGCACTACTTCCGACTTCTTCCAGGCCTTAGGGAAAACAGAGTAGCTAAAAGAAGAGTTTATCAATGCAGTTAGAGTTGGTAATATATACGGTAAACAGTCCTTGATCACAAACACTGGAATTCTGTCATAGCCTGGAGCTTTATTTGAAGGCATAGCCATATCACTTTTCGCACATCTTCACTGGTTATTGCTTTGAAGTAAAACAGTTCATCACAATGAGTTGAACCGAGATAAACAGGAGTAGTTGGTAGGCCGTGAAGGCGAGCGAACTCCGCAGAGTCATCGGCGGCCTTCTGTCCCACAGATATAAAGAAGCGATTGAATTCATCAGCGAGTGCATCTGTCCTTGCTAAAGCTTGGGCGACCTGATTTATTTGGGAGGGCACTGCGAATAGTTTTCCACATTGCCCCACTGTTGTTCTTATTTTTACAGATTTGATGATTTTAGTGCTCTCGTTCCGCCTTCCTTAAAACAAATTTAACTCTATTTCGCAGCTCCTTAAAAGCCTCCCAATCTTCCCTCGTCCCAGTCCTTCTCGCTCTTTTGTGAAGGTGGTCTCTCACCTTCATCAAATCCCTTACGTCCTCCGTGATGAATGGGTTTGGTTTATGTCGTATTTTCACTGTTTTAACCGGAGCATGGTCGTCCAGACACGCCAACAGCAAGTCATTAAATGCATCGAGTCTGTTATCAACGGGTTCGTCTATCAGGTTCATAGTATCACATGGGATGTGCGCGATGTCATTTGCAAACTGATCGGCTTTATAATTCCGAAAACTACGTGTGACGATGTAGGTTGGGGCTTGCTTAGGTGATCTTAAGTTAATAACAGCATGAACCAGAAAATGATCACTTATAGTTATTTCAAGAACACCGCTCGACTTGACAAGGACAGGGTCAGAGACCAAGATGACATCCAATAAGGAGCGTGAGTTCTCAGTCACGCGAGTTGGCTTGTCTGTAAGCTGTGTCGCATTTACAGTTGCACAAAACGACAGCAATGCTTCTCCCCTCGGATTGTTTGAAAGAAGGTCACAGTTTAAGTCACCTGTTAGCACAATGTCCTTGTTGCGTGATAACGCTTCGATGTACTTTGGGAGCAGTTCATTCTCTAGGCATGCAGTTCCAATTTCCGGGGGTCTGTAAACAATACAAACCAGCAAGGAACGAAGCTTCTTATTTTGAACTTGAATCCACAACTGGTGTAGGCCGGATTCGGATATTTCCGTGAGATCCTTCAGGACTTTTACCTTCAGAGTAGATTTTACGTAAGCACATACACCGGCACCTGCTTTTCCAAGGCGATCAAGTCTAAAAACCTTGTATCCCGGGATTTCGACAACACTGTTGGTCACGGAAGAGTTAAACCGGGTCTCCGAGATGGTTAAAATATCAAAATCACGTTCCAAGGCTAACTCCTTCGTTTCAGTGAAGTGTTGTCTACATTTGAGAAACTCTGCGCTAAGATGGGCTATCTCCAAGAGCTTGTTTTGGTTTTTATCCATCGTTGATTGTGTATTCTTTGTCAATTGTATTCTATTACAATTTGCGCTCACGTGTCCAACTGAGTCAGGGATGCGACGAGTCTGTCGATTCCCATGAATAACAGCAATCCTATTGCTAGTGGTATCTGGACCTGGTAATGGGTGGATGTCGCCACTTAGTGAAATACACAGTTTCATAAAGTTAAAACCAGCACAAGAGTTAGGATAATATGAAATTCTTTGTTTAAAATATTTTCGCCGCGGATCAGTGAACCGGCACGTTGAGCGACCGCACCGCCAAAGAGAAACAAAAGGCTCAGGAGTGGTATTTTGAACCCTTACAAAGAACCCTTACAAATCTACAAAGAATGGCCGTTCCCAAGGCAGATTTCCACGGGCGAAGCTAATCCATAACCAATCTGAATTGCAAAAACCTCCAAAAGCATGTCTGGTAAGCGAAGAGTAGATCGAAATAACACTTCTTTCTTGAATATACTGCGCAAAGCCTCTAGAAAACTCCAGTCCACGACGTCCTACGATGTTCCCATAGGTGTTAAGCTCAGTCTGTTTGCATAACGTAGAGCTTGAGATGAGAAAATAGATCAAAAGTGGAGAGCACAAAAGGCCGTGTATAGCAGTCATTATGCTAATCCCACTCCCCCCTTAAATTGATTTCCGTTCTTTAGTGAGGCACCCTGTTTGATCAGTGAGCCGAGTTATACAAACTCTCTGCTATTCTTCTCATATTCAGAAGTCATTATGAACTTGAATCCCGGCTCTTCCCACATACTCCATTTATCCTTTTGTTGATCTCCGTTAGATTGACGCTCAACACCTCTAGAGAGGATGACAGTCTTAGATAAAGGAAACATGGCATATTTCTTGTTATAATTTAATTTCATTGTGATACTATAACATTTGAGAAAGCATATTAAGAACATATTATAACGAAAGATTGCTGAGGGAATTCTTGCTTTCCGTTCCAATAAAAAGTTCTACAAATGATTGAAAAATTAATACAGTTCTAAACCAAATCTGAAAAGTCTGCGTAATATTAAGTGGAAGAAATAAACAATAGAACAATTTGAGTCACTGAAAATATTTTACAAATAAGATTCCTGAAGCGCTATCTGCGCCTACTACGGTATCGACTGCTACTTCCACGATCAGACTGTGTTCTTCTGAGGAATTCATCACAGGCTGCTGCATATTGATCAACCTTACAAAAGGAAAACCACAATATTATTGATAAATATCATGTCACCTGTTATGGAAGAATAACAGCCTTCTACACAGAAGTGTGTCCTACTATGCAGGAAAGGGACATTGAATAATGATATCATAAGATGGCAAAAAAATGTTTGCTCGTCTTGTATGTTGAGGAATAGTCGGTGTTAGGTGGCCGTCAAACATCTTGAATAAAAGTTCCACAGATATTGCCTCCAGAAAACAAAAACAAAAACAAAAGAAAAAAACTAGCATTGCTACCAGCCTTAAAGCTTTGAAAAACAGAAACGCTTCTATAAATTTTCTGCAATTAACCGTTTCCAAAACTGTACCTTTTAATCATTACTAGAGAAAGATCAGCCTCACTGAAGTAACCACAGCAGAATTTTACAGGCAGTAGATGGTAAAGGAAATGTAACAAAGGACAGCTATTGTTACACTCTCTTAGTCATCTCGACGACATATATGACTTCACCTCCTATTGGAGGCAGTAGCCACAACATTCCATTTGCTGCCAATTCTCTGTTTTATACAGGTGCCATTTCAGGAAAAGTACAACAACAACAGCAACTCGCACAAATCAGCTCCCACATTTGGGTGTATCTCTCACCAATCAGATCGTCTTATTAGGGTATGTATCTCTCACCAATCAGATCGTTACATTATGGTATGTAACTCGCACCAATCAGATCGCCGTTCTAAGGCAAATATCTGTATTAAGGTATTAATCTTTCAATGCTCTTTCTCTTTAAAAAAATTAAAACATCCGTTTCACATTGTGCCATTTAGACCCTACTCGCCCAAGAAAATAATTCTCGCACGCTTAGCATGCCTATGTTTGACGTTTGTTGTCATTTAGTCTCAGTTGCAGTTTGAAAGCAGAATTCCTTTCAACAGGATGTCTAAGTAAAGCAGCCCTGTTTCCAGCACAGAGTAGAAGAGCATGCAAATACTTACTGGTCGGTGGTAACCTCCACTTCGTGAACTGCTATGACTTATGTGCAGTGGTGGGTAATACGATGGCACGTCTACTGTTCGAGTCGAGAAATGTGACTAAAAAGGTAGACAGTAACACGGTATGTCGTCACAGGAATTTGTCACAGGCACACTTATTGCATAACAGAATTAAAGCCTTTAAAACGGTTGTTTTTGTCAACCCCCCTTAAGTGCCTAACAGCAGGCTAAATGTGAAAGGCGTTGAAAACTCTCATTTCCCACGTTGGTTGATTCTTAGAGAGAAGAACCTTCCTAACTTAAGTGACATGTTGCTTGTTTTATCACATTATGTAAACAGCGGTTATGTCTACTGTTTGATATACTTTAGCTAAGAAGTAATGAGACTGTTGATTTGCCAAACTCAAGATTTGCCCAATTATCTCCATTTAATCCTTTCTATCTGGTTGAGCTTTTAGTTACCCGGACATTTCCTACGAAAAAGTAAAATAAATCCCAGTTTTTTTTTTAATCAGTAGTGATCTTCCCCAGTTACAACAAGCATTTCTGTTACCCAAACACACAGGTTCAACCTCAATTTTAGCTTGTCTGTAAATAAGTTCAAAAACAGCCAATATCTTCGTCCTTACTCGTAGTGGAGGTAAAGAAGAAGAGTGTCTTGACCGCTGGTACTCCCGCATGTAGTCTGAATAGGACTGAAAATGACGCATTCATAAGTTAGAACAAGATACAAAAAAAGTGGGAGATAGAGCTAGTTTAAGGACCTTTCAGGGCCTTCTTGACGTGAATAGTACTGTAATAAGACAACTGGTTGCTCTGTATTTAAGCAAACAAACAAGAATGGCGTTAATCTGTGGCTCCTTTGCTGGAAAAAGTTCACAACTGTGGCATTAATATAGGACCTACAGGTACTTGCCCTCATCCTCGTCTTGCCATTTGCAGATGTTGTTACAAAGGAAGCATATTTTCCTCAGTTATTTTTACCCTGAGTTTGGTTCAGTGTGGGACTTTAACCCTTGACCTCACACACGGCAGTCTGGCGTTGTACAATGTGGGCTTACCAGTCCACTTATTACCCCATCTGCCCACTCCCATCTCCCACTCCCATCTCCCCACTCCCATCTGCCCACTCCCATCTCCCACTCCCATCTCCCACTCCCAGTGACTACTCTAGTCTTTTGTTTCCTTCACTGCTTTGTATTCCTCCTAAATTTTACAAATTACTTACTCCGTGGAGAAGAGTCTCACGCCTCACACCACCATAACGAGATCTAGACAAAAATAAATAATAACAGATGAATAAATGCTCTGTAAGTATATAAAAAAAGTTTAGCATTATTCTGTAACCCTTTCTCTTGAAAGCTTAAACAAGAAGTTGCTATTTCTCCTTACTTTCGGTGAAAACTGGCCAAATTGGACAAGAATTGAGACAATTCTCAAATAACCTGTTGTTTTATCAAGCAAAAAAAAAAGTATTGCTGGAACTGCTGTGACTGCGATAGAAACTATGGTAGCCTGCTTAATTAAAAAAAGAAAAAGAAAAAAAAGAACCCTTGATTCTTCCATGGCGATTTCTCCTATAAGAAAACCTTCCAAAGTTATCATGAAAACGCTATATAAAAAAGTTACCTGTCGTCATATCGCGATGTTGGTTCATGGTGATCTCGCGCATGATGCCTTGACGCTGAAACTAGAAGGTAATCAATACCATAAAAACTTTGAAACAATAAACCAAAGGCAAAATTTATTTTTGAGTTCAAGTTAAAATGTTAATTTTCAGAAATAACTAGTTTCACAAAAAGTAATATCCAACTCCTCAAAGCTGAAACACACCGTTGACCACAAGCAGCTCGGCTACTAAATGCAATCAATCAATCAATTTATTAATGTGCAAGTATGAGGTGAGGTTAACTTCCAAATGAAAGCCAAGGGTTCAAATGTAAAACACTTGACATTAAGGTAGGAGTAACTTCCCTTGAAAACCAAGGGAACGAATTACAGAAAATATCAATCAAAAATGAATATTGTTCAAACCACATTCCAAATGTAAAAAAAAGGCTTATACATTCCCATAAAAAATAGTAATCAAATCATAACAAAATATTTCAGGTTGACCAACAGTGGAAATTGAACGAAAAGGTGAGACAGCCAATTACAAAACGTAAAACCATTTGACAAGTGCTTAGGGTAAAATAACATACAGTGCTCCAAACCTAACACTCATTAGTGGTGCTATTCTGAGGGTTCCCAATCTGGCGCGTTGCAGCGAGTTGGTTATAATCATCTCATATTCAGCAAGTAGGATAATTGTTTTAGTAAACCCAGCTGTTATTTTGTTTGACAACCACTGCATGAAAAAAGCAACTTCCGTTCCAAAAATAACGATGACATGATTGACAACTTCATGAGTACACATGCCAGTGAGTGAATTTAAAACTGCACATTTGTGAATGTCCTTCCGAGGAAAAGTGGATATACGGAAAGTTTACAGAGCTTTACACCCTCTGAATAAGCCCAACCTGAAACTTTTTCAAGCAGATCGGCCCAAATTATTGTGCTTTGAAGTTTCATAGGGGGAAGCATGCAAAGAAAGCAATCAATGGCTGCTTAGATCGATTTGAGTAAGGCCATTTTGTAGAATGTGCCATCTTGTTTCTTTGCAGATGTACGTACGTACATAAATACATACATACATACACAATTTATTTGAATAAGGTCATGATAAGGGCAGCATTTGCTGATGTGGACCGCCTAACTACATGCTAAAATATTTAAAAAAAGAGAACCTAATAACACAATCTTAAAAGATTTTTAAAAGAACTGTCTTTATCTTAAAAGATTTTTAAAAGAAAAAAATTATATTTTATAAATGTATTAAAAAGATTTCAGACACGAATCATTTATTTTGTTTATTATGTTGTTTTGAATTTGCCCCATCCAGATTGTTAAGCCACTACACTCAGTCAGTAAAACAAATACCTTAAATTCAGCTTGTTGCAAATGTTACTGCAAAATGTAAACAAATCCTACCAGTATTGTGTATTTAGGAAATAAAAACTGCTCAATTTTCCGTTACATAGGTTGAAATATTTTCAAACTTAATTCATTCCCTTTTTAGGTGATAAGGGACTTGCATTTTCTTTGTTAGCTCTGGTATCTCTTTACTTGTGTAAACAAAAAAACAGAAAATCTTTCTTTGACTTCACTAGCTAATTCATTGACCATATTTATTGGACCTAGATTTATGACCTTGAAGCTAGGTTACAAGCCTATAACCTGGCTCCATCTAGCCAATCAGAAGGTCAGAAATTCAATAACTGTGCTCCAGTTTTCACTAGTTCTCAAAAACCCTCTTGTAGCATCCCAATAGAACCTATTGGGGACTTCCTGGTAGCTAACTTTTGACTTGGCTTTGAAAGGATCAAAACTGGCTACCCACAAGTCAAAATTGGCTACCCACAACAATCAAAGTTAATTCTAAATTTCAATTCAAAACACAAAGACAACTAATGTGAAATCTCAGTAAATAGAAAATGGAATCAAAATCAAATTTCATGCTACCGTTCTCTCACTGTAAACTTAGGGAGACCATGAACACAATTTAATATATATACTTGACTTTTGCTGCAGTTTTAGTCACCAAAATAGTTTCAGCCAAGCCAATTACTACAACATGAATAACGCAGGTAGGTTTCTAACAAAACTGTGGTACTGCATCGGTGGGAGAGAATGACAAGGTAATTTGGTATTACCAACTACGTTGATAACAAAACTTAGCCACTATTAAGAGTTTTGAATCTAATGTCTTGAGTGTTAGCTCATTGTCAGAGGGAATTGGTACAACAGTTTCTCTTCACTTAAAGGAGAAGTATCCTTCAGAAACCAAAGCAGTTGTATCCCCACCATCAAAAAGTAAATAAGAAATTATGACACTTACCAATTGTCTTAACATCTCAAAAAGTATTCAATCTCTAGAAAAATTGCTTTGAGTGGGTTACACTTTCACTTTGGATAGCACCATTTGAAATACTGCTTAGTAAAATGGCTGCCTAGGTACATTGTAATTACATCTGAGACCTTCTTTTCCCCTTCTTTTAGCAATCTGTCTGAACAGTTGGGGCTACACAAATAAGAACTCTTGACTAAAATTGTGATTTCCATGCAACAACTAAAGCAGCATGGACAACATCTCATAGTTTAGCATATAAAACCTGGTCAGTGAATTGCTCTAAAATGGAGGTGTCTAAAGTGAAATTTTAAACACATTTGAAAACATTTGGTTTCCCTCAAAACCCAGTTAGTGGTAAAGTTTTACATAAACATTTAATGGTAGATGAGGATAAAATTCTATGGGTTCTAGAGAATACCCCACTTTTGACCATCCAAATCAGTAGCATAGAGAATGATGAAGAAAACTAATTACCTCTGTGCTTTCTTTTTGTCTTGCGCAGTTCCTCAGAGTGTCTCGGACGATGCCTAATGATAAAAATATTTCAAAATTAAGTATTGCCAGAAGTTGTGGACCCTTACCCGTCAGAACAGCCAGCCTGTTGTGCCAGGGATGACAGCATGAATTTTAAGAACCAGGCCTGTGACAATAATGGCTGTGATCATGTACCAATAAAGATCTAAAGGCATGCTAATATCAAGTTAATTTTCATGGAAGCACAGTGCTGTCACCTCCAAACAGCAACTACCACTTGCTCTCCTGGGCAGACTCTGTTTCTGAATGTGGACTGATATTGTCCTAGGTGTTGAAGTAACTTAGTCCCAATGACTAATCTTTCAAGTCCCAAGGATGAAAATATTCAGAGATCCACAAGTGTCAACATCTTAATATGCCACATGAGTGTCACAGACTCATTCACTTGATAATGCAACTGATTTGAACTGTAGTTGCAGGAACACATTTTAAAGAACTGTGACTACACAAAAGCTAAAGTTCAGTCAAGTTTGTACATGACAAAAGGGTAAACTATTGCAGGTCCCTTGAAGCATTCCCCACACCAGAACTTCAATCCCCTACTAGTGTCCTTTGGTTGGACATTATAAATGTTTTTTTTTAAAGTAGATCCATGGACAAACCAAAGGCTGTGGAAAATCCTGGATAGTTGTGCAAAATAATAGAACAAAAGGGTGATTAATGGCAGTTATCTTCTGCAACTGCATCTGCATTAATCACCACCTTCAAAAATACACATGGCACAAGAAAACTTCTCTCAAGCCTAAAGAAAGATCTCTTTTTTTAAACAAGTTTTGAAGGCATCCGTAATTTGGTAAGTTCTCCTGCTAAGCAGCAAAAATGCCAGAGTTGCAAATAAAATTTTCAGTCCAAAGGAAGTCAGTTCATTTTCAACATAAGATCTTGATATGTAACTGAATAGTCTTTTTTTTTGAAGTAAATCCATTGAGGTAATGTCCTAGGCGGGCCAATGGCCTTAAGTCCATTTCATAGTGGAAGTAAAGCTTGATCACAACATTTCCACAATTCCTAAAAAGCACAGCAAAATATAAGATATGAGAACAAGATTCCAGAGGAGATAGCAATGAAGCACTTGGTGGGGCAGAGCAGGATAAATCTGTTGATTACATATCCATTGTGTGCCCTGTTATGATGACAGAGATCATCTGCGACTCTTTGTTTCCTGCGAAACAATGATGGTCCTTTATGGAATTAGACAAAATCACATCTCAATGAAGGCACGAGTAGGGTATCACATGCATGTCCGCCTGCCTGCAGGATATGATGATTGTTGCTAACCTAGCAGCATCCCTTTCCTTCCTTCGTCGTCTTTCTGTTGATGAGTGGTGAGTTGGATTGAGCTCCACTGTCTCATCTTCTGGGAACAATCTGCAAAGAGCTTCACCCACAGCTGGTTCCACTTCCTAGTGATTTAAACAGGAAGAACATACTCTCCAGTATTCAAACTGATCATAACTTTTTCATGAAATCCTGAGAATAACCATTGTTTATAATATGCACTTGTTTATATGATGCACCCCCAACTTGAGAGAGTTCCCAAATAGAAAGTTTTGTGAAAATACTCATTAGAAGATGTATCAAACCCTTTGATTTCATAACTCCATGGCCCAGTAAATATATTATTACTTTTAAGTATTGACATTTCTGAGAAGTTTTACCTCATAGAAGATTCTGTGTCAAAAGATATAACTTTAGGAATTTTAAATTCAATGCTATGTAATTTTCTGACCAAGAAGTCAAGTAAACAATATTCTAAGCATGGTGAATTTGTCTGCATGGGCTTTTTTAAACACATGAGGTGATCCTATGATTTTAAGTAAAATCAAGAACTCATTATAACGAAGCTAGTCATTTTCATCTTTCTTCCTATTTACAGTTTGCAGGTAACAAGTGGTCACTCCATACACCCGACAAATATGTGCCCTCATTTTGAAATCCCATGTGCAAGCATGTTTGCATATTTTATCTTATATCTTGATTTCTCCATGAAACAATTTTCTTTCCTTTGAAAATAAGTCATTAAAATGTTCTACTTTCATTAGAGCTTGTTTTTGGGAGAAGATGATTAAAAAATAGCAACTGTATCCTGAGTATTTAAGATAGTTCCAGGAATGTTAGCTCCTTTGGCCAAAAGCACTAAATATCAAGGCAGTTTTAGATATAATTGTGGGTGCACTTTTAATCATCTGCCCAAAGCAATAAGATTGCCGGAAAGCCTTAAAACTTTTAAAACTGAGTGTAAGCGGTTTTTTAAACAGATTTAATTAGTTATGTAGACTTTATATGTATTTTCTCTAATGAGTTTTACTTTTGTCTGTCAATTTTATGTGTAACTTTGTATTGTCAAATTTTGTTTTTGCAGGGCTCTCTTTAAACTAGCTATGCTAAATGCGATGTCCCTGTTTAAATATTAATTAAATGAATAAATAAATCTGACAGCTGCAACACTGCAATTATCTTACCATCTGCTTGTCATTCACAGTAACTTTCTTTTGTTTTATTTTGAATCAAGTAAAATTCATTTCCCATTTAGTGAACAAGGTGGGGTGGTGGAAAACAAAAGCATTACAAGCATGACAAACATCTCAATGCATAAAAATTCATCTCACTCCTTATGAGTATTTAAGAGGCCAGTTACCTGTCCATCACGGCAAATTTTCACCTCTTTGTTGTCGTTCCAAGGATTTCTTAAATGCAGGCACTTACTGAACCAAAGCTCCCTCCTACAAACAAAAAATCCACTGTGTTAATCATAAAATCAAACTATGAGAAGAATTATTATAGCAAAGACAAAAAACATTCTGTGAAAAATACATGTAATCTTTTACATTTTAATTTGTATTCAAGGTCCTACTATGATCAGCCAGTTAAGTCATAGAAATTTAGAGATATACACAAAAGACATTTTCAAAGTTTATTGCAGAAAGGTTTGGGATGAAAAATTAATAAAATAAGCAAATGAGTATGCTGATGACCTAAATTACTTCACTCTTTGTAAGATGCAGTAAACAGACACAAATAAACAAGAAATTTGAAGCAATCAATGAAACTTGGTCCACTAATTGTTGTACAAGTGACACACAAAGAAAATATTTGCTTCTACATAGTTATGTGAATGCAAACTCCATGACTCTGCATGACACTTACACAAGAACAAAGTGCTGAACTATTGTTATCTGCTTGCCAAATCGCACAGGAGTTTAATAGGCAAATATTAGATTGAAATACACGTATGACTAAAACAGCTCCAGATTGGTGAAATCTGGAGTTTTTTGTGTTGCTATGGTTACCAAATCATCAAACATAATTAAGTGGTAAAGCCTTGATGCTAAAAAAATCAAACATTTCAGATAACTGAAAAGAATCAATGGCATCTCTCTTCTAGTGCAAACTACTTTTTAAGCTATTAAAACATCTATGGCAGTGTGGGGAATGGGTGTCCCTGCTTTTTTTTCAGGAGCAGGGTACTTGTCTGATCATGGTCTCTCAGCACAGGCGCTACCACCAAGGGACGAATTTGCTCACCATTTTCAGGCATGCTTTTGTCAGCTAACCTACTTTTTGCAATAAAAGATAAAATCTTTGACAAAAAAGTAGAGATGGTAAGTTTTAAGCTCGGTGAAGAATTAAGAAAGATGTTTTTTCGCCTTGTCACAAGCGTGGGACAAAGAAAAATTCTGAGCCACTGAGCCACAAAGACTCTTCAGTGAGAGGGGTCTATTACAAAGTTCTAATGACACACGTCCTGCATACTGCTAGGATCAGCAATGTTCATAGCATAATGTTTTTGACAGAAAAGTAGAGATGGTAAGTCATAAGAACTTTGTAATAGACCCCACTCACCAAAGAGTCTTTGTGGCTCAGTGGTAGAGCATTGGAGCACAAATCATAAATAAAATAACATTCAAATAAATAAGCTCTTGGTTTTTGAACAAATTCTTCGTTACAGCCCTCAAGGAAATGTATAGAGAACGTATAGAGAGAGTATGGAGAATATGTGTGCTAATGTTAGGGTGTAAAGGGTTAATGTCTGGGCTCAAAGCTGCAGAACAGGCACCTAGTCTGAAAAGGGCCTCTGCTGGAAATTTCGTCATATTCAGCCAGTAATTTCATCAGAGTAGGACTTTCAACACTTAAATGACATTATGGATGTAAATGGTGTTGCATTTAGAGAAGAAATACAGTTCAAACTATCATATGCGTCTTACTATTATTATAATGGAGTAAAATGGAGTTAATTTTTCTGATGAATCATTACCTATTGAGCCACTCCAATTTAAATACTCCTCCTAGTGCTTTGGCATTCATTCCAGGTGGCAACACCCAAGGCATTGGCTGGCCTCCATGTTTGGCTTCTGATGCCAGTCTGGCAAACCCCTGGAACTTTCCACTCTCTTTTACAGAAAATATTAAAATTACATTTTTATACCTCTGAAAGAAAATCAAGTACAAAAACAGCTGATGAGTAGTCATAAAAGAAGCTCCTCCTTTCTTGCTTCATGTCAATGTTTTCTTTACAAATACAATAAAATACAATACATACTAGATTCTTCATGATGTAGAAAAGAAAAGGAAAGTTGCATACATCTTGAAAAGGTCCACCATAAAATATCTGAGTAAAACTACGCATTATCAATAAAATATAATTGCCTTAAAAAACTTTATAACTCAGAAATCTAAGTACTTTATGTACTTATAATCACTACTCTCTCTGAACTTGGAGAAACAAAGGCAGAGGAATTAAGGTGCTGGCCCAAGTTATTCAAAGGAGAGAGAAATTTAGCCAACTGATTAGTGTATATACAGCTGATAGAATAGCTAACCACCAAATAATTATCTTTGGGACAAAAATTAGCAAGAAACGCAAGGATGGTTTTGTATACTGGTACAGTGGAACCCCTCTAAACTGGACACCCCTGTGACCGAGGGAAATGTCCGGTTTAGAGGGGTGTCCAAGATGCTTTTAGAAAAAGGAATCCATTGTTAACTGCATCTGATTACAACATTGTTCAACTATTTTTCTTTCAGTTAGATTTTTAGATTTTTTGCTTCAGTACCAATAGGACAATGAGTAATTAGCCGATGGGCATTTCTCACTTCTGATTGTGATTTCACAGCAGCATGATTACAATTTTAATTTTAATCATGTTTACAAAGGTGTGATTTGATTTTGGCAGCAAGCTTAAAACTTTCACATCCAGTTTAACTGGGTCAATTTCTTTTGAAATTGAGTGATTATGGACTGAAAGAAGTGTCCAGTTTCCGGAAGTGAGGGGTTCCAGTTTACTGAGGTTAAAAATATAGAAATACTCATTCAGAGTTAAAATGTAGTTGTGTGTGTTCAAGGACAGGATCTCCTTGTTGCATTTTGTGGCAAATTTATCTGAAATGACCACTGGAAGGCTGACACGTGTTTCATAATAGCCAAAGCATTTATAACGAACAAACCCAAACTCAAGTACCTAAGGGCTTCTAAGACTTAACTGTCCACATAGACAGAAAGGGTTGGTTACAATTTGTGGCCGTAAAATCTTGTCATTAACAAGTTCATAGATTTATCTCATTGGTGCCCTAAAAGATATCCAGAACTGAGTTCACTGTTGCTCCAGAATTCCAAGACTTGTAAGGTTCTTCATAACCTTTAAAACTTCTCCTTTATCTTTCTATACATTCAATAGGAAGTAAAACTGAACAACAGTACCCTTCTGTTTCTGTCAGCTAATTTAAGACCACAATTTGAAGGTAACAATCGTAATTGATTTTGTTTTCATACTAAACACTACACACTAACATTTCTTTCTAAACAGTTACCTAACTCAGACACTGGTAAGCTGCTGATTATTCTATTTTTAAGTTGAGAAGAATAGAAATATCATAACCAAAAGAAAGGTTCCTTAAAGAAATAAGGAAAATACATCCAAAAATAGAACTGCAAAACATCAGAGTTCTGAGATGGAAATAGCCAATCAACATATGGGGTCAACCAAACCAATGGAAACACTAAATTTCATGGGCCTAATATTTTCCAGAATTTTCTACAAGAATGGCAGAATTATAATGTAAGCATTGCTGTAACTTGCTGTGGATCCACACTTCAATCACCAGTAAGAGGAAAGCTTTTTTCCTCCGGAAAGTCAAGATTCATGATTCATCACTTTAGGACATATGCTTTCAAGATAACGCTTCATGAAGAAACAGACCTCACCTTAAAATGAGCATTTAGTTTCTTCTCATTAGCTTTTGGAGTTGACCACACACCCTGATAAGAATAATGTGTCACAATTGTTGAAATCAAGCATCTTATAAGATAAAGATGTTTTTTGTCTTGTCACAAGTCTAGGAAAAAGACTAAATTCTCTATCACTGAGAGAAACCCATTATGAAGTTCATATCAGACACGCATCAAAGATACTGCTAGGATCAGCAATGTCTTTAGCCTCATGTTTTGTACATAGAAAATGCACGAAGTGTGCAGAACTTTTCCAAAGTAAACCTGGTTGTAATACACACAGCATTGTTTTTGTGCCATTTTTCCCCCTATTTCTAAGGTAGTCTTTTCCCTAGAAACATATAAGTTCTTTGGAATCATCTAAGTTTAAAATGCCTATTTCAAGTCTAACTAGTTTTAAATCCAACAATAAAAATCTATCTTCAATTGAGTCTTGGTGAAAACCAGCCTTAAGGTAGACTTACCTTGGCTTTAGACAAAGCTACATTCTCGTGATTGTTACTTTTCATCACAAAGTATCGAGCTTCTTCAAAGAACTCATCCAAATTGGATGTTTTCTTTGATTTCGATGATGATGCCTTTGCCACTTTACTCTTGATGTGAAGCTGACTATCAGCTAAGGAGTTATCACTTTCACCACTTGATCTAGTTCCTTCGACAGGAGATGATGCTCTTCTTTTCCTTCTTTTTACTTTCTTTCCTTCTTGTTCATTTTGTTCTTCATTACTTGGATTTTCTAAACAAATACAAGACTTCATTAAAACTATTTGACTAAAACTAAACATTCAACTGCTGCCACTGACTAGTAATAGTGATGTATTACTTGGGTAATTACCACAGTGTCAACCTCCTAAAAAAATTACCATGTACAAAAGAAAAAAGCAAAAAGTTCCAAAAGCTGCTAAAATGCCCATTGTTAACATAGTTGAAGAATGTTTCCACTGAAAACTCCAATAATTAGAGTTTGTAACCATAATGATACATGATCACAATGGAATAAAATTTGTTTTACTGTAAATATATGTTTAAAATTCCTATGCTGCAGCTTTTACCAGACCTTACCCCATAGGGTAGAAGAAAATAAAAATAAAATAATAACCCACCTACATTTCACTAGCACTGAACCAATCTTGTTTATGGCAAAAACTAATGCGATCATCACAACTAGAAGTGATGATGATTGCACCTTCATTTAAGGGCAAAATAAAATGAGGTAAATCATCCCAGCAATTCTTTTCAGCAATTTATTTCATTTCAGCTCACTGTGAGGATCATTTCTTTACTTTTGACATCTTTTTTGCAATATAAATTGTATAAATATACCCCACAAAAAATTTCTTTGATGGATTGAGAATTTATGAATGGATTTAATACTAAACATTTTCTTGTAATCAAGCTTTGTGACTGATTTACCAATTGTAATTATATCAATAGTAAATAACCTCTTTTTCCAAACAAGATCTCACACTAAAAAATGGATATTTAGAGAGAAAGAGACAAATAAAAGGTTAGTAAAGGACTGTGACAGTACATGTACAAGCCATACTCCACCTACCACATACCTCAAGTATGCTTTCTATCATTACCTAAGTGCAGTCTTGTTTATTGCAGTGAAGCAACAAACTGCTCAATTGTGCTAAATATTAAATTGACACTTAATAAAAATCAAACAACAATAACAACCTGATTCTGATTTTGAAGAACCTGAAGAGGAAGGTGACACTGAACCTCCCTCTCCTTCACTAAAATCTTCTTCCCCACTGTCATCACTTCCACCTGCACCTTCACTGGCCTCCTCCAAGTCATCAATAACTTCCATATCTTCACTCGCCTCATATTTACTAACTGTATCTGTATCTTCAGCTAGAGCCACTTTGCTTTCCACCAATGACTCTGAATTTACTGAATCTGTACCTATGACTGCTGTCAACAAGCAGTATAGCAAAAAAGGCCTCTCTTAATTTCAACTTCAGTGTAGCCTGCTATGTAGGCGTCTTGTTAGTGCGAGCTAACGCTAAAAGCTTGCGAGCATTTGTTAGACCGGCCATTTTTTATTTGCAGTTAGAGTGGATGATGGGGGTAGGGGGTGGGAGAGGGGAGAAAAGACACCTGCCCGAAGAGGCTGTTAAAATGCCCTACGCCCACTGATTAGTTGCGCTTCACTGCATTTCCAGAAATAAGAAGGTAACCAATAAAAATGAGTTTATTTAAAAGTCTTGGACAATGACTTCCAGCAAAAACAAACACGTGGAGCTGAGCCGTCATATCCAGCTACATATAGTGCATAATGTCCCATAAGAGTGCAAGTGACAACTGTAGGAAATGGAAGGAGTGCTTTGGAGTTGTTTTGAGCAAAGTTGTTTGTCAAGTTGGATTTTCCTTGATTCAAGATAGCTCAAGATTTTCAGATCGTGTTTGCAACCCATGTCCCATTCAAGGAGGCAAAAGAGTCAGCAGTGAAGGACACTAAAGCTAAATGCAGACAGGTCTCATGCCAGGATAGAAAGGCATCAAAAGAAGCACTGATCGAGGTACTAGATGAGATGAGAAGCAAAGAACTAGCATTGGATGAAAGCTCTTGTCATGGCTGCTCAAGGCATTTAATAAAGGATGTGGTAAGGGACTGTGAGAAAATTTTCATTTTGGCTGATTTACTTACTGGCTACCCTGTATTTTCAATGACAAATGCATTAAAAATACTAGAAGTGATCCAGGAAGTGTTCATGGACATTCCTAATTTTGAAGAATCATTGGCACCCACGTTGGAAAACTCCAATGGTTCAGTTCTACAAGAAGAACCAAATGTAAATAACTGGTTTGATTTTGAAACTATTTCCCTTGGTATTGACAATGACCCAGAAAGGCAAAAACAAACACACATGGAGCTGAGCCGTCATATCCAGCTACATATAGTGCGTAATGTCTGATAAGAGTGCGAGTGACAAATGCAGGCTTTGTGGAGTTTCATACCTTGTGTTGCCTCTGGATCATCATCAGGTCCAAACTCAGTTATTTCACTCTCCTCTGCCTCTTCCTTATTTCTCCTCATGGGTTCATCAATGCTATCTGGATCCTAAAATAACAAGGTCTGATCTTTACATGTTTAATGACTGATACTGGCTTTGACATCACAACCTCAGGTGTGAGCAAGGTGAAATATTGTGGCCATTCCAAACTGCAATTAAATTTATCCCTTAAAAACAGCCAGGAAAATATATGTAACTCATCCCAAAATAAGTACATTAGAGGATTTTCAAAACATTAATTGCAAATCTGTTCATACTTGTAGATTACTTTTTGCAACAAACCATACATTTCATTCCTTTTTTTTTGGTTCATGGGAAAATGGTTAATAGTGCAATACTTTCAAAACCTGTCTTTTTCCCCCAAAAAAATCCACACAAAGGGCATTTTGTGCCTTAGTAACCAAAACCTATCTCAACACCAGCAACAACTCTGCATTTAATCCCAGTTCTTACTCTATAAACAGGGAATATCAAGTGACTATCACAGAGAGCTAAAAATGCTATCTTTCTGTAGTGACAATAAACATCAACATTGAGAGCAAAAGTAAGGGGAGTGAGTGACCAAGCCTGGTAGTAGCTTATCCTACTTTCATCAGCATGGCGGATGGTGCTTGCTAATAGGGATCATGATTTCCTTTGTTTTGAAGAGAACAAACAGCTTTAAAAAGATCAAGAGAGGCTTCATGAATTACTGCTGTAATGGATAAAACATGTGTCTGCTGCCATCCATTTTCTTCAATTAATAGTTTTCTGGCTTTTGCCAGACTTGATGTCTAAAAATTTAAAAATCTACTTAATCCACATGAATTGAAGACTTGTTTAAACATAATGTTGCAAACCTGAACTTTTTTTCCAAGTTCTTCTTCTTCTGTTTGGACTGTTGGTATTTTCTCTGAATACTTGACACCTCTATTGACTTTACTCTTCTTCTCCTTGATTTGTGTAGTAGACTTCTTCTGTGTTGATTTGCTCTTGACTTCAACACTGCCTCTTCTGTTTCCTTTCACTCCATCATTAATCTGCCTCTGGCTGCTCTTTTCACTAGGATTATTTGATGGTTCCCGAACTTTTCGGCTTTTAGTTTCAGAGGGAGTGCTGTGGACACTCTGTTTTGCTACTTTCTTGGCTGGACTTGCTGTGCTGGCCTTCTTCTCTTCTGATACAGCTTTTACTTTCTCTTTAGACACTTTACCCTGTCCTTTATTGCTCTCAGCTGCTTTCTTAACATTTTCCTTCTTTGCCTCTTTTTTCACTACTTCCTTTTTTGGACCCTCCCTCTTCACAACCTTTGAAGCACCTTTGGCTTTTGAGCTCATTACCCTCTTTGATAAATTATCATTTTTTTCCATTTCTGTCTCTTTTTCAGCAACTCCTTTAGTTTCGGTAGTTGCTGCATTCTGTTCTTCTTTTTTCTTAGTCTCTTTGTCTCCAGTTTTACTATCACCCTCAGTTTTGGAACCCTTCATATCCTTCTGTTTGTTCTTTGTTGTGTCTTTTTCCTTTCCCTTTTCTTTGCTTGGATTTTCATTTTCAAGCTGACCTGCAGCTTTGTCCTTCTCTTTCAGTTTTACTTTAATTTCCTTAGGAGCATCTTTTCTTGGACGTTGTTTTTCTTCCTTTTCTTTCACTGGAAGCTTTTCCTTGTCACTCTCACCTGTCTTGGGAGATTCTAGCCCAGATGCAATGGTTTTAGAAGCCTTGCTGTTTTTAGTTGGAGTCTGGCTTGAGATTTTCATGGTTTGAGGAGAGGAACTGTTGTTTTCTTTGGTTTGAATCTTTGGACTGTCCAAGTGTCTCTTTTTAGATGTATCAGCCTTGTCATCAGTGTTGGCTCTTCGCTTTCTGCTTGGTACTGAACAAAGAAAACAAAAAAGGCACAAGTTTTCTTCAGAAATCATATAATGGATTTAATCAAAATCAAAGCTATCGGGATTACTTTTGACAATCGACTGAAAAATTGCTCTAAATAGCCTTTGGGCAATTACTGCTTTCTAAATATATACTACGGTTCTAGTTTGAATCTCATAATAATTAATTTAAAGGACAAAGAAACACAAGACTTAAACTGGTCCAAGAAATATCAAAGCTCAAAAAAAATTGAATGACACTATTTACATCCTTTGAAACTGAAAGTTCAGGAGAGGGTACAAGTAATATAAGGACAGTGGAAAATCTTGTCTTACCACTTGTCTTTGCTGGAGTGTCCAGTTCAGCAGCAAACTCGTCATTTGCTGGTTCCCCAAGTATATCATCCAGAACATTAAGCTCCACTCCATCCAAACCTTTTTTCAAATTGCAGATTATATAAATGCATTGTTATTACAATGGTAACAAACTGAAACTTTATAGAACACCTATGACCACCTATGCAATACCAACAGTATGGGTGGTTTGTGGTTCCTTCCTTTGCAACATAAAGTTTGTCCCCAACCTCAAACATTCCAAAAGGATCAATGAACCAACCAGAATCAGGCTATTGTGAATAAATTCAATGTCTCTGGTCCAAAAAATTGTTCAGCTAGATTATTCTCTGCCCTAACTCTAGCCTTGAGTGTGATGTAAAGAACTACATCTATCTGCTAAAAATGTCCTGGCTTGACATGGATCTATCTTTCACTGATCAAGAAATAATGGAAAACCTTACAGGGCTGACATGAAGGGGTGGGAGCAACCCAGCAACTTTGATACAGGTCTATAACTTCAAAAATCAAAAATACATCAAATAAGAAAATTGTGAGTTAAAAGATAAACCCATACTTTATCAACCAGAATTCTTATTCATCCTTAAAAGAGAGCAATTTTGCAAATCATGACGCTTTGTTAGAAAACATGCTTTATTTAAAAATTTTGTCTTCCTTTGAAAGCCTACATAAACATACAAATAAAAAACCAATTCCTAGAGTAGAAAAAAAGAAAACGAAAAGAAAAGCCGAAAAATTAAATTTAGTCAGTTCTCGTCAGTTAAGAATCGTTAATCATGTTTTAAATCAAGGAGTTAATTAACAAAGTGCTACACCTTCTATTTCAATGAGAACACTCTCCTCTTCTTTTTAAAAGTTAAGTTCTTTTGAGACTAACAACCGAAATTGGAAAGACTCACTGGCACTAGTCTCAGCGCGAATTCTGTCCAGTAATAACCTCAGACGCCAGTCATTCCACATGGCGATCGCTGTATGACAAGCCACAACAATCCAGGCAGAAACCATAACTTAAAACACCTTTTTTAACAATATACTAACATAGGTAAAAGAGTCTGTGAAAAGGCAATAAATGCATGAAATCCAGGCCAAGAAAACAGGATATGATATCGTGTGCATGGTATACATTTTTCTTTACATGTACATCCATTGACTTAGAAAATAAACAACTTACTGGTTTCCAACTCGTCTGGAGATGAAAGTTCTCCTTCTTCGGCCATATAAACAATTCAAACTTTCCCTTCTAGTTTTCTTCCGCAAAAGAGATAAAATAATTCAATCAAAAAGCCTCAAGACAGAAAGAAATGCACTCCACGTATGATTAAGGAGTCCTCGCTTTCCTTCGACTTGCAGGATTATTATGGGATATAACCATGGAAAGGCCCTGTCCCCATCGGTCAGGATCCGCTCAAAGGGAAACTGGAGCAAGATTCCAACTTTACCAAGGTGCAGATATACCCAAACAAAGTGAAGAAAACTTTTGTTAGTCCCTTAACCTTTAAACTCGGGAGAATTTTCCTTCACGTGAATGGAGGGGCTTAATTGATCCTACTCTTTGTTAATAAGAAATTTTTGAAATGGGGATTGTTGTATCCAAAGAGAGTCGAAATCGAACTAAGAAAGTTCAGCAAACTGCAGCTGTCATGACAGCTTTAAAGTTAGCGTCTAAAGAGTCTAAAGAGTCTACAGAAAAAGACAGCCCCACCACCGGTCAAGCACAGGCAGGTCAAACGAGTCAGATCTTGCAAGAAACGAAAAATCATAAGGCGACTGATGAACATCTAGATTTCGACAGGGAGCACACAGCGAACTTGAATAACGATAAGTCTTCTATTACATATGGTCTCCCTGAGTTAGACGCGGCAGACCATCTTGCTTACAGCAGTGGAACTACAGGATACTGGGACAAAAGTAACAAGGCTGTTATCGGTATTCCATACTTTGGCGCCTGGAAACACAGGGTATGTAGCAGCCAGATTGCAAGAGAAAGGAGGGAGAGGGGGGGGCAGGGGCAGGGGCGGGATCCCTCTACATTATGTGTCTGTTGCTGAGTACGGATTTTATCGGCAAATCGTAAGGAGAATTCCTTTTAAAAAAAAAAAAATTGGCTGTGAAGTCCATCAGTGATTTGACAGTTATTTGTTGAAAATGTGTCCTGCATGAGAGAAGCAATTTTTTTTTTACAGTAGCTACATGATTTCACCAAAGATTTTCAACATTTACTAAGAGAGAGTGACCACCAATAAACCTACTGGGCAACACAGGTTGCCTGTTCTTATTAAAAAACCTATTTGGCCACAAGGTCAGTCAACAACATAGCCACCAGAAGTGTGACAAGGAACGGCCCCCCTTAAAAGAGTGGAGTTCCTCTCTTCTCTTCTCAGTCCATGAGAAGACCAGGGTGGGCAGCAGGAAAAGGGTTTTCTTCTGAATATTCTACTCATTAAAAAGAAGAAAGGAGCTTTGGAGAAAAGAATTCTATTGCCAAATAAAAAAAATAGAGACCCCTTAACTCAACTACAACCTATCAATAACTTATCATTAAAAACAATTTGAAACTTTTTGCAAATGGATTGAATCTGGGACAGGATAAGAAAAAATGTTAAGCTCCGAGGTGCTAACCAGAGATTTTGTAAAATCTTAATTTCCAACATAAGTGATAAAAAAAAATTGGTGAAATTCTCACTCAACAAGGCCTGGTTGTTACAAGGCTAATTATATAATTATGTAGCTCTAACTCAAGGTTAAATTGTAATCTGGGTTTCTTTATTCCTTTGTTCAAAAGCCTTTTTGGGATAATTTTTCCATTCTTTTAAGAGCATCTAGTTATCAAATTGCAGACAAAAAAATATTCATACTAAGTTTTCTTTTAGAGCTTTCAGATCTGAAATGTAATTTCATACTAACCCTGGGTTATCTCAACCCAGCTTTGAACAACATATGGCCTAAATTGCCTTAACAGCTTGGGGCTATGAAAAAGTTGTTCTTTTTTTCATCTTGCCTTGTGAACAGAGTGATTGTCTGGGTGAGGGTAGTTCTTGAAAAGGATTGTTGTCGATGATGGTGACTTACATTAAACCAATCAAGCTAGAAGCTGTTTACACTGAGAGTTCCAAAGGTTGACCTCTCCCAGGCTGTCAGTAGATCAAGATAATTTGATTTTATCACCTGTATTGCTAATATGAATTGGCCTCTGTAAAGAGTGTCCAAAGCTGACTTTTTAAGCATTAGGCCTTTGTCAGAGGGTCAGCCTCATTGTCTTACACAATAGTTGTTGTCATAACTACTCTCATCTGTCTGATCACACTCACTGATCTGCTCTTTTTATTTTGTTTTTAAATGATAGTACCATCGACATCCTCTTCATTTTGTCAGTTCATCTAATTATATACCTAAACATGCAACCCCCCAGATAATACTTTGCCTTGTTTTTAATGTAAACAATGAAATTTCAACCAGAAGGAACATACTACTATTTCATATCCACCAATCCTACTTTGAAATGCAATATAAATGATTGGTAAGGACTGAAACATACCTTATCTATTTTTCATTATTAAATAAAAGTACACATGAAGAAAATTTACTCTTAGCTGAATCATAAACTTATTGGAATTAATTCTGATCTTGAAAGGGAAGAAGTGCATAAAGGAAAGACAAAGTAATATGATTTCATGAATGTGTTGTCAATTACAAAAATCAGGTGTGTAACTGAACAATGACTATGGTTTCTTGTTGACCATCACGTAGTGTTAGGACAGTGATAGTTTTACTAACTACTTTTTAACTGGCTTTTCTTAGCAAGTGGACTTGTTACAAAAATAGAAAATTTTGTCATGGTGCATTTCTATCTCCAGGGTGTAATTCATCACCAGGTATAGTTTAAAGGCTGTTTGTAAACATTGTCCAGAGGATTATCAAGTTCAGTTTCTTAAGGTAAAATTGATTTCCTTGAATTTTATAATCCATATACTGATGTGAATGTAAAGTAAATTTTAATTTGAATCCTTTCCTTTTTGTTACGGTAATTCTTATTTTTAAAAGAATGATACTATACCTCTAATATACTGATAAGAGTTAAACAAAGGAAATTAAATTTGAACCAAAGGTGAACTTAAATCACAGCTTAGTTTTAAATTAAGTGACAATGTATTTCCTGATTTTAAACAGAGTCACAACATTCATTTCATAAGCTCAGTACAATTGATTTTCCAATGCAATTAAAAATGCCTCTTGTATTTTCAATTACACTAGGTGGAGAATGAAGAACTCTGCTCCCTATGTGGTGTTTATACTGGTGTTGAAGTCCATCCTTGCCATGTCTGTTGTAAAGTATTTCATGAGCTCTGCTTAAAGAAGAAAGGTAAACTCTATGGGAAGACAGAATTAGAAGCCTTCAGGAAAGCAAACACAGACAAAGGATGGAGTTGCCATGAATGTGTGAGCCTCCATTTATATTTTGCAATGACTGTGTACAAAGTAATAAGTAGATATGAACCCAGCTAACATAAAGACAAAACTTACAGGATGGCTTGGATTATTATTTGTGATGCTCCTCACTAGTCAATTCTTTACTGTGGGTTGTTCCCACATTTTTACATGAACACTTAAATTTTAATCAGTATATTCATAGTTGTCTTCACCAAGACATTTAGTATCAGGATTCTCCAATAGTTTTTCCAACAGGAGAGATGACAATATTTTGCACTATTGTTGTCTCACTTTTACGACCTGTATTTTGATGAAAATTAAAGTTGATGATAGGTCACTGAAATGGATCCCTCAAACTCCAAAATAGTGTTTAATGGCAAATTTTGTTCAATTTTATGTGATTTCTTTACAATCATAGCATAGACAATGGAAAATATAATTGAATTATTTTCACTATAATTGGAAACTGGAACAAGTGTCCTAATCAACTGTAGCAAGTTATCAGAAGACTTAAAAAACTCCTGACAGCCAGAAATAACAATGAAAAAGCAAAACAGATAAAGATGGAAATTAAAATTTTAAATACCTTCTGTTGTACTTCTGAGTGTTTTCCTCTTAATTATTGCAAACAACACAATTTTCAAGATATCATTGTAGATATTGCAAGGTGTTATGTTAAACCTTGACAGTCTTTCTCTTACCTTCTGTTACCTAGTCAAACAAAAATTAGGAAGGCAAATGACTCAATTCTGGCACAGTTTTCATGCAACATATCCCCTCAGAAAAAGATGGAGCCTGATTTCCTACCACTGAAATAAAGGCATACATCATTCAAGGAAACTTGATGAACTTTGCTTTTATTCATTGAAGGACCAAATTTGTACATCTGCTACCTTGACACCCTGAGGTAACTCTTTAAACAGAAAACTGGAAACATCCTAGTTGGATGCTACATGATTTACATGTAGTTGGTCTTAGGACCTCAAGCTCTCTATGAAGAAATTTTGATGGATCTTTTGCTGCCAGATAAGCTCACTTTTGTCATTCAATGCAATAAGACTTTCAAATATTCATGAACAAACTTTGTGCTTTATTAAACTTCTGTTGCCCTGGATATGTTTGACAGAAATAAGGGATTGATATTTTGATCAGGTACTAGCTAATTTGTTTACTGTTTTATTACCTCAAAATGGATGGATTGCTATTCAAAGTTGATTGTTATTTTGAGACACCAATATTGGCAGAATAGGGAGAAAAAACAGTCTCATAATGGACTTCATCCCATAATAACTTCTCCAAGTACAAGAAGATATTGTCTCCCTACTAGCCAGAAGTACTTTGTGTTGCTGTGTCTCAAAATCTCAATTAGGTTATTGGGTGACTTGAGTCAATTAGCTATTTGGGGTTGAGAGGTTTAGTACAATTTGGCATCTTTTCTTTTATAATGGAACAGGCTAATGCCTATCATATTGCAGATAATTAATACTAACATTACCTCAATGTGAACCTACAGTCATCATGACATTATATATTTGTAACTAAAATAATTCTTCTTTTCACCAGGAAAGTTTAACATCTCTATTAACTGATGAAGAAATGCAACAATTGATAGAGAATTTTGATAGGTTAGATGTCAATCAAGGTAAATACAATGATGTGTAATTTCAAAAACCTTATTTCGTGGTGATCATGAGAATTTTTGCGAGGTTCATCATTTTATTGTTATGTGTGGAGTTAACCAACTCAGCATCTCTGACTGACAAAATTTATTTCAAACATGAAATACAATGTAGAACCTGGGAAAATGGAAAAAGTCTCACTGGGTTTTTTATTCCAGCCATTATGAATTCTATTAGCTTCTTGTATTCTGTACATTGTGTATTGTTGCTTGCTTTTGCTGACACAATGTTACATACCAGTTATCAAGTTTGGGTTGGAAAAAAAACAACTTTGGTGAGAAGTCTGAAAATCAATTTGCATGTAAACAAAACTTTGTATGAGCTCTGCTATTACAGACAGTTAATAAGTTTTGCATTACATACTATTACATGACAATAATTCATGTAATGGGAAATGATTACCAAGCTAGGTAATGATCTGACCAATCAATTGCCTTATTTATGAAAATATGTACTCAGGTACCCATTTGCAGTGATTTTTCGGTCTTCAGGTTGGATAATTTTTTATGTAAATGCCACAAGATACTCCAAAGAAATATTTTATGCTCACTACAAAATCATGTACCTGAGGTGTTGTTACCATGGATACAATCAATTAATAGGAAGGACTGAAATGCCAATCAAGCACAAATTTTATTGTTTGTAGTTTTACTCATTACTGTAACACCAGGATTGAGATACAAAGCCAATTACAATTTTAAGTTGCCAGTTCTGCTTTTCAGGCTTCTTAGGATATATCATATTTTATGATTAATATAATGTAAATTGAGCTTCCAGCTGACCAATAATCTAATGAATTATTTTCAGATACACAAATAAATGAGGATGAGTATGTTCGATACCATACAGCCCAGTACAAAGACATTCACAATGAAAAAATGCCAAGCTACATGGAAGAGGAGACACACAATGAGGTAAAGGAAGCAGCAGAAATGCAACAAAAATTATCTTGAGCAAAGATTTTTTTTTTGTCTCAATCACGATGATAATTATTGCATGAAAAACTTTTATCCTTGCATCAATCTAATATCAACATGATTCTTATCAGAACTGCAAGAATTAATGAAGGGTGTCACAAGATATTCTTCAAAACTAATTTTGTCATTGTGTTTGAATCATAAAATGAAAAATACTGCCCTCTTTTTTTACAAGCAGGACTGGATGAAAGGTTTATGCAAAGTAAAGGAAATAAACTTTTGCCCACCAAATGTTCTTATATTCTAAAAATTTACAAACAGAGTACTTATTGTCTTTCCATGTGGGTCATGTAGTCAGAGTTTGCATAACAAAAAAGTTTAATTATCATAGTCCTAAACTAATCAGTCAATTTTTTATTTAAGTTTAAACAAATAGACAAGGATCATACTGGTACTATTGACTGGTGGGAATTCCTTAACCATCAGGCTCTTAAAAGTATTGCAACAAACAGGAGTAAGGTGAGAAGACTGGAAAACATTTCAATTGGTAGCTATGTTACAAATTGTCCTCTGACCACACAGTTCTTGGAATTTGACATTAAAGCTTGTGATGGAGTTACAAGACAACAATTTGTGTCAGTTATGATACTTAGATTAATTAAGTTTCTATGTTTGATGCAAGAATTATGTCTTCCTTGTCATCATTTACTGTTTGTTCATCATATGATATTATTTCAGGTGTGATGAGATTTTGTGATCATGTTTTCAGTTTCAGTTAGTAAGGATGTTATCACCTCTTGAGATACAAAAGGCCAGAGATATTTTTCATGCGTTTGATAAGGATGAAGATGGCTACATCAATTCCCATGAGGTTGCTGTTGGGTTTACCAGATGGTTTGGCAACTTGAGGCTACGTGACCACAGCAGTACAGGAACAGGGTAAGACAGTTACTTATTTAAAAGAAGATTAATTATTTGAAACCTGTTGGCAATACTATGTTGCACCTAGGTTCTGCATTGAGTAAATTCCTTGTGGCTAGTTAGGTTAATTTGTGCCTTAGTTTTTAATCCTTTCTGGAAGCTTTGTTCCTGAAAAAAAAACTGTTAATGAGGAGATGTACTTGTAAGGTATGTTTGTTGCTAAGCAGAGATGGAAGCAGTTCATTTGGAAGACCTCTTGATCCAAAGGATGTTTCTGGGCACATTGATCGTCACTCAAGAATATTCATGGATGCTGATACTGATAATAACAGGTACTGAATATTCTGTTAACTCCTTTTTCATTAAAGATGAGGGCAAGTGGTGTTGTCAGCTTTTTAGGATGGAAACTTTTAAAATTTCACAACAATGCTGAAATTGGATAGCATTTGTGGATGTGATAATATTTCATATTCTGAGTGTCCTGATTCCTCCCTTTAACAGTGTTATTTAGAGCGGCCACTTATCAATATTTACTAAAATGCAACTGAGAAGACCCAAATAATATCGAAAAAATTTGGAAATGTATTCTTTGCAATAATTGGCTCAGTAATTTCTGCTTGAACCAGTGGAAAGGAAGTACCTCTAAAGGTTGCTTTTTTGTGCGTGGAAAGCTTGTGTCAAATGTTGTGTACAAATTTTTACTTTCAGACATGGTTTAAAGATTTAACAAAAGTAACAGAGAAGTTACAATTCATAGACCTACATTACAATTCATGGATCTATCAATTGTAACTTCTCAGTTACATTCATTCAATCTTTAAACCAGAGTAGCATCACACCCTATCTGATGGTCCACCTGGTTACCTTGTGAACCTTAATATATCAATTTTTACTTTATTGATAGAACAATAGAAATGTTTGTTAAACACAGATGGCAAATCCATGGATTCCATAAGTTGAAAAAATTAAATTGCAACTAGAGTTAGTGGATTGTTAGGGAATTAATCCATAAATCAGTGGTTTACCATTTGGATTGCCCCCATTTCATAATTGTTGGCAATATATTGCATTATATAATTGGAACCATCTGAAATTTTTTTATTTGTATTCACAGACTGGTTTCCTGGGATGAGTATTTAAGAGAGCAGGCTCTGTACATTTTAGCTGCAAGACCAAATTAAAGTAACTAGTTGTTGTGGTGGACACAAGACTCACACTAGTGATACAGTCTGTTGCCGTTTCCAGTCAGCTCAGATCGCAGTCACTTTTACTTCTGGTCTGTACATTAAAACTTCTAAATTTTCACCAACAGATGGTTCATTTAGTTTCCTTGGTTAAAAATATTCAAAGCATGGCATATCCTGAATATAATGTCTAATTTTTGCAAAAATTTGAATTTAAGATTCCTAGTTTTCAGCAAACTACAGTGATTCAGACTTTCACCTTCATTATGCTTACACTTTGTGTTTTTGTTGTTTGGAGAAAATCAGTGAGCCAATGCTTTTTGCATGATTCTTTATTTTTTATTTCAACTGTACTATCTAAAGGGTTTTCATTGCAAAGGGTGAGGGTTTGGGACAAATACACATAAATGAAAAAGGCAGTAATTTTTGGCTGATGACTGCATGCAGGGCAACATACTATAACTTGAAGGACTGGCATGCAAAGTAACTGTTTTTTAAAACAACATTGTGTTTCACAAGAAAGAGTGTGTTAGTTTATAGATATTTTTTTTGTAACAAGAGGTGAATGACTATTATCATGATATGCAAGTACTTTGCCTACCATATTCCCTCCCCTCCTCCTTGGCCCAGTAATTTTCTCTTCTCATCATTAGTCTTCTTAGAGGGTAAAATAGTTTTGCTGATGATCTTCAAGAAAAATCAATGTGACAGCCATTCATTAAATTTGTGATTGTTAGGTAACTACATAGTCCTAAGGAGCTTTCTGAAGAGTCTCTCTCAGTGTAACTGAAGTGTCAACTTGCAAGGGTGTTTAGTCGGTTTGTTCCCAGAAGTAAATTGAAGTCAACTGTCTGATCCTGACCATGTTTATATTATTAGTTTATCATTTCCAGCTTAAAATTTTGATTTTCTGCCACCACAGTGACTACTTATCTTGCAATATAAAATGGATCTGCTTTCAGCAATTAACTTGAAAATGTAAATTACAAGTTTGTGGATTTGACATTTGGTTAAGATAAACAGTGAACAAGCTTCAAAGCTAGTTGGTTCAGAGTAGCATCTTGGTTAGGCATGGGTTGTAGAGAGACCCCAGAAAATGCGTAACTGCAACTGGAAAGGATAACTTTTTAGTTGCACTAGTTTAACAATCAGCCTTTGGACACTTTGAGAACTGAAGTAGACCAGAAACTAGAATGTATGGTTACTGCTTGGAAGGAAAGAGTTTCCATAGTTTGCCAAGAACAAAATCATCAAATTGTGAGGCACCTTACAAATTGACAACTATCCATATGGAAAGCACAAAGATGTAAGAAGTCCTCAAGTGTTTTCCAAGGTGATCATGTTTCTAATTATCAAGTTATCTGACAAGTGTTGACAGTCACTGCTGTGATTTCTTTAGTTGAGCTAAATTTTTCCAAAATCTGCCAGCCTCACCCAGGTACTAAAGTGCATTTGATGTTTTTATTAATTGGAAATTTTCTTCAAAAGTTAGTGTTGCACTTGTAAATGTCCCCTGATGAAATATTTTAACCCCAAAGTGAACACATTTTGGAAAACTTTTCTCAAGTGCAACCCCTGCCTGAAAAAAATTAGTAATTAAGCATTCTCCTAGGATACCAGGGAATTAAAAAGGGGAAAAGATTCCTTACACCCACGTGACATATACGCAAGGCTGTGTAAAGTTTTGTATATAAGCACAACTTGAGCAGCTGCAAAGATTAACCACCTTTATTTTCAAAACAATTATGAATAAAAAATTATAACCCACTGAAAATACATAGTTTTTAGCTAAATTCTAAATAAGCAAAATGTCTGTTGGTGATTTAGAAGTTAAACAGCTATTGATACTGTTGATAGCTGCAAAGATTAACCACCTTTATTTTCAAAACAATTATGAATAAAAAATTATAACCCACTGAAAATACATAGTTTTTAGCTAAATTCTAAATAAGCAAAATGTCTGTTGGTGATTTAGAAGTTAAACAGCTATTGATACTGTTGATAGCTGCAAAGATTAACCACCTTTATTTTCAAAACAATTATGAATAAAAAATTATAACCCACTGAAAATACATAGTTTTCAGCTAAATTCTAAATAAGCAAAATGTCTCTTGGTGATTTAGAAGTTAAACAGCTATTGATACTGTAGAACTTTTTAAAAGAATCAATTCAATAACTACTGTTTAACTCATAAAACCAATATTGATATACAAACAATGGCACTAGACATCATGACACCCAACCAAGCTACAAACTAATTACCATGATTGTTTACATTTTTAAAATTTCTATCGGGATGATCGGCTTGTCTCTTGTAACTGCAACAATACTAGAAATATTTGGTTTTTTTTTTTTAGTTTGATGGTGAAAAATTGCCTTCTGGTAACTACCATAATACTACTAGATTTAACTGTAACATGTCAATATAAAAAAGTTATTGGGCACTTTATATTAAGTTCTCAATTAAATAAACATTGTTTGTAATAAGGTTAAATAATCATGAACAGTTTAAGTACGCAAATCATTGTAGCATGTGTTTTAAAACTTCATTTCATACATGGCAAGTGTGAAATTGATAACCAATCAAAACCGCAATCAACACAAACTGAAAGCACGAGGTTTCAACATGTCGACTTCAGTTCATCTGATTCACATTTTTATTTATTTAATATTGTGAGCTACCAGGAATCTTAAAGTTAATTTAATAGTTGCATGCTTATACAATTTGCAGTGTAAATAACTGACTCTTTCTCATTTAACAATTTAAAAATGTATCATTACGATAGCTGTAATAGACTTATTTCATACCAAGGATTTTTTCCTCATTACACCTTTGCTAGCAAGATTGTTGTTCTAACAATGGCTTCTGTGACCTGGTATGGATCACAGTTTGATGAAGGTCTCCTGTCTTCAAGATAGCCTTTACCATCTTCAGCACACTGGCGAGGGATACGCACACTAGCACCTCGATTAGCCACTCCATGAGAGAAGTTCTCAATTGATGATGTCTCGTGCAGCCCAGTCAAACGTCTTTTGTTATCTTCACCTTCATTGGGGTCATACATCCGAATGTGGTAATCATGTCTGCTTGATAGCTTTTCAATGGCCTCATAGATGTACTTTATTCCTCCTTCTTCTCTCATTGGCTTGGTACTAAAAAGCAGTTCATGGAAAAAATAAGATTTACCTCAGACAGGTGCCTCACTAATGATTCCATTTTTTCATTACCGGTAACTAGAGTTTCATTGTCATTCATATGTCTTCACTAGCTGCTGATTAAGTTTATAATCAATTTCAAGATTGCTGTGCTCTGTTTTAAGTGCATTCATGGACACGCCCCCAATTATTTAAAAAGCATGGTCGTCATCAAGGAGACTTTGACAGACAACCTCTGCTCAAGTACCAGTATCCAGTTGGAAGACCATTTGTGATGATTGAAAAAAACACTTGGCAATCAAGCCTTCTCCAAGATTTGGTACAGTCTCCCGCAATCATTAAAGTCATTGCAAAATTTCAACACCTTTAAGAAATTGCTTAAAACTCACTATTGTAGGGAAGCATTTACTTTATAATTTCTTTTAAGTGTTTCATATCGTATACATCTTTGCGTTTTATTGTAAATTTAAAATTTTAAATAGGTAACATAGTAATTTGTAGTCAATTTTAACATGTAGAGTGCATTTGTTCATATCCTCCAGTATGTTAATTTGCACTGTATAAACATTCAATAGATTACTACTATTATTTGTATACTGTCCTTGCCTTTTACCAAAGGAAGAATTGTGGGGTTCATCCTCAGTGAAACTTTGGCTCAGTCACTGTTGTAACTGCAACGTTGTTGTAACTGTTACTGTTACAGTATTAAGAAGCAGTACAAGTTGTAGCAGTGAAGAAAATTTTCACTGTTATGCTTAAAACAGCTTTTATTGCTTGAATCATTTTCTGTTAAGTCTTTTACCTGTAGTTTGTGTGAGCTCCTGCCCCATTCCAGTCCCCTGGTACAGGTTTGGGGTCAAAACTGACTGTGATTCCAAAATCTTCTGCAACACGATGTAACAGAAATCGTGACATCCAAAGGTGGTCACCCATTTGAATTCCTTCACATGGACCCACCTGGTATTCCCACTATAAGGCAAGCAACAATGTGACATTATAAACACTCAATTTTGAAGACCAATTTCCTCACCCACAGTACATGTAACGGGGTGTGTTAAATATATTTTCATGAGGAATTATGTTGCTCCATTCATGGCGTATTACTTGGTCATTTATTTATTTACTTTCACCGTTACTGTAAAATATTTTAAGCAATGAGAATTACATGTTTTCTCACCTGTGCGGGCATGACTTCAGCATTAGTTCCAGCAATCTTTACACCAGCATACAGACAAGCTCGGTAGTGAGCTTCCACAACATCTCGGCCAAAAACCTTTCCTGTACCAACAGCACAATAATAGGGTCCCTGTGGTCCTGGAAAACCTCCCTTTGGCCAGCCTAAAGGGTGGCCGTCCGTGTCTAACAGTGTGTATTCTTGTTCAATACCAAACCACGGAGCGGCTTTCTATGAAACAAAGAAAGAAAACGTAGATTTTACGTTAGAACAATCGTCAACTCACGAGGTCGTGTGTTTGGAGTGCCTCCTTCACGCAGATTGGACAGAGTCAGGCAGAGGTGAAAAGATTACGGTGTAGTTTGTTCTACGCTATTCTAGGTTACTAGGGCATTGGAAATTCGAGACAGGATTTATGAAATGAAAATGCGAGTTGTTCTCATTATCTCGGCCCTTCTCGACACTCTCCAACCGAAACTTGTTTTATTTCGAGTGTGCTGTAAATCTCAATAATGGGGTCAGCTATATTTCATTTCCTTTTATATTTAGATTTTAAAGTGTTTCCTTGACACCAAAATTTTTCCTTTTTTAATTTTTCGTAATTCTTACAGATTCATCCGATAACTGAAGGCTTTTGAAGATACATTTTCCTTACCTTTGCAAGGTCGACATTCATAGCATCAAAGCAGCTTTTTCTCGTATTTGTTGTGGTTGGCTTGTGGTCAAATCGATACGTGTCACACAGAACTAACTTGTTCTTTCCCCTTCTGAACGGATCTCTAAATAAAGCTACAGGATGGAGATACACATCACTGTTTGAACCTTCCGCCTGGTTTGTACTGGAGCCATCGAAATTCCAAATGGGAAGATCTTCTGGTTTAGTTGGTTCCTCGCTCACAGTTCTCGTTTTGCAGCGGAGATGCTCGCCGGTTCCGTCTACCCAGATGTACATGGCTTGAATGCTGTCACCTTGATCAAGAGACATGTACTTGGCGAGCGCAGGGTTATTACTTCTCTCATCCATCGTGTTACTCTTAGAAAAAAGCATCTTGGTGGCGCAGACAGTTGTCTTCAGTGGTAGGCACCCTACGGCAGTAGACGCCGGTTGCGAGGTGCGTTCATTCAGTTTATACTTGAGACCCGGGAATTTAGTAGGCCAATCACAGTTAGTTATCAAAACACTCGTGATCGAACGCGTGTTTACCTTGACGTCAAAAGGCCTTTCGATTGAGGAACACGTGATTCCCATGCGACCAGTAACTTCACTACAATCACGTTCCAGGGAGCGTGTCTGATCCAAACAACCAGAAATGTTTTGTTCGGACCTGCAAGGCTTGTTATTCAACAAACATGCTACTAGCGAAGTGTCCCGGCCATATTTGTTTTTCAAGTGGACGGTCACAGTTTGGAGAATCGCTTGACGTTGACAGCTGCTGTTTTTCCTTCTGATCTACTGACAATGCCGTTTGCGTTTAAAATTTGAATGATTCCACGTATATCGTCGAAACCATTCGTCCAATTTTCACACATGGTATTAAAATTAACGTACACAGCATTTTTCATAAATCAGCCGGTAGAAAGAGACAAAAACTGTCATCATCAATCTTGTCCCAATAAAAATAACTGAATCAAGGATATGAGAGGCCATCGTCGCTCCTGCAGGGGAGCATAGGGCATTAACCATTGGCCTTCCCACTGGACTCTAATTTTGGCAGCTCTCTTTCCCTTTTTCCACTTGATGTTCCTCTTAGAGAGCTTCTATTGACCTTTTCGAAGGCAGGATGGGTAATACTTTATTACCAGGCTTCCTGAGTAAATGCCCAGCCCAACCACTTCTGCTATGCAAACTTGACTGGCATGATTCGTGAAGTCTTCCTTACTTACTAACAAACCCGTTGACATAGAGCTTTACCGGCCATAAGCCGGTAAGCTCAAAAACTGCAAAGGCAACCTGATGACACCTGTTGCTCCTGGAATTATTTTAAACTCATTCAAGTAATCCCTCGAGAACCATTAAGACTTACTGGAATAACTTGCCAAAATAATTGCTGCTCTAGGAATTTTTCCCCTTCAAAGTCCCTTCTGGGATACAAAACAAAGTAGTTTGGAATTCTTCAACTAATGTGAATTTGTACGCACCTAAACTCTTTTCTCATCGCCAGCACTCACTTTCACATCGAAATTTCTAGTTTATGTAAGAAAAAAGGTGAATTTAAATTGCTGGTTTTAAAGGTTTCGAGTGGATCGTTTTCAACCATTTCAATACAAAAATGCTCCCAGTATGTAGTAGAAAGATGAGCTTCCCTCGTCTATATTTCAGCATTAAATTTTAGACAAAACAGTACCGTTTGAAGGAAAAATGATTTTCCAAGACAAAAACCATGGGATCGTGAAATATTAACCCAGATTAATTGAGCGAATAAGAAAAAAAAGACAATAGAATGTAACCTAATCTCTTAGCAAAAACACAAAATATAATTGTGAAGGCAGTTGTCAACAAAATTATTCAATAATATAGAGATTAAGAATGCTGAATTTAGAAAAACTATGCTTGACACAAATTCTTTTGGAAATATACTGTCAGCCAACAAGGACCAGGATACCGTATAAAAAACACAGTTTATAATCTCTTGTGAATAAGTCTATAGTGGCTGAGCTGATCAACCATAAAGGAAGTGGGGAGTCAAACGAAGAAAATATTTTGGCTCTTTTCCGTCTCTAAGTATGAATTTCTGTATCGTAATGCGTCAGTTCTGTTTCCATTTTCACAAGTAGTTTTAATTGTTACCGCACAAATTTCTCTGATCATTGTTCCTTGAAACTTAGCTTATGTTGAAACACAATAGTAAACAGGTATAAGGGAGATAAAGGAGAAGTTATCTAACAGAATGTAAAAAAAATATATGATTGTAACTGAAGAATGAAATAGCAATAATATGTTAATAATAAGAAAGTAATGATTAGAATATAATAGCAATGACAATTCACCTGTTGATCTGCAGTCCGCTTAACGACTGGTGACTAAAAGGAGGAGAGAGGTTGGGCGATAGCTGAGCGATGATTGGACAGTGCGGTCTTCTGGGAACCTTTCTTTTCTTGTGTTTACAGCTATGGTAAATATTGGATGCGATTTTCAAGAGATTACTTTTTTCCCTCATTAACGTTGTTTGCTTCAGGATATCCTTTCCGGACAACGTTTTATCAGGTTTATTCTCGCCAGTAATTTCTCGTTAAAAAAAAACAACTATTTTCTATTGGATACAAAAGAGTCGTCCAGTACGCAATAATTTATCGTTTTCGATTTCAGCTCTGAGCTTAAACAAAGATCAAATATATACCCCATTTTACGAGTAGCACTTAATTCATGAATTCGTCAGAAAGACTGCTGATGCTTTTCTTTCAGTTCCTTGATATTTTGCAATCAACACCAAGAGGCAAACCATATACCACCATGATGCTAGCACCAGCACTACAACCACCGTTTGAACGGATGCTAAAAAAATGAGAGCTTTGTAGAATTATGAAAGACGATAGGCAGTGTCTCCCTTACTCCCAAGTTAAGGAATTTTTTTTCCTTTTTATTCTCAAAACACTTAAAATTACACCCTAAACAAAATGTTCTAGTTGCAAAATATTTGTAACTGTGAATGTCCACCAGAAACTCAAAGCGAACAACCAGGCTTCCAACTTTGTCCCAACAAGACAAAAGAATGGTGAGTCATTAAAATTCAACTTCACGTGAAAGTGTCAATAATTAAAAGCCCGCACACAATATAAAAGTAACCATGATGATCCTTTGTGATCAGCCGCCTTGACCGAGGAATACGAGCTTGGTACGTATGTTGCCAAGAAAGACTCTCTAACCACTAAGTGCATTTCCAATCCGCTAAATCATTTGCGTTGTTCTTTGCAGGAACCATGGACGGCAGATTAACTTTCTGTGTTGTTTTTACGTCTATAATTCTCCTCGTCAAATCATGGCCGACAGAAATACGAGTTGCTGCAAAGCAAGAATCAGGTCAGTTGGATGTTGTTTTCTTTTGTTACCTTACTCCATTGGACTGGATCAAAATCGTGGTAATCATAAACGACTTCAAGACTGCCCTTTTTTTCCAGTTGATTTGTAAGAAAAAAAAGGTTCTGCTAAAACTGAACTAAATGTTATTTTACCTTAACCAGAACTATTCCTTTATCTCAAATATATCTAAGAGTATTCCCTGTTCCATTGTTTCCATAAGGCAAGTTAGAGTAATTTCCTCCATCGTCCCTGCTCCACTGAACTTTGATATCGCATGTTATTTGAAATAAACCTCCAGGGAAAATGGAAAATTTCCATTGAAAATTAATTTTCTTATGCTGAAAATTAGAAAAAAGTTGACCGAAATGGATAAGTATAAAGTATTCAGTCATATAAACATATGTTGGCCGTTTATGCGGGCGAGGCTTGAAAATGACTGTGAAATGACTGTGAAATACTTTTTGAACGATTTTTGTATGCTAGTATCCACTATACGGCTGCGAATATAAAAAAAATCATCTATGTGAACTGCGGATTAATAAATGGATATGAGAGTGATATTCTCTTTTATGTAACTATTCCTCCTCATTTTTGGAGATATGGGTAACACGCAGCAAGGAATTCTTCACGATCAATCCATAACAGAGTAAGCTTGGAGTAACTGACAAAATCGGGTGCGAAAAGAAAATCGTTATGAGTTGATGACGAAGCTTCAAATTATGGCAAACGATTAAAGTAACAAAGTTTACGCTGCCTTCCCTTAGTTAGTTGCTCCCAAAAGAGGGAACAGTTCGCTATTGTGTGAGGGACTTCATTAACGCGTGTGGGCTGGTGCCGGACCGCACCACACGTGTCGTGAATATTCAATAACGAACCTGATAAAATTTCATTGTTCCCGTTGGTAGTGTCGTCCACAAGCACCTGCAATTTAGCCCCTGTTAGAAAACTGAGATTAAGAAATATTAAAACGGGTTTTGAATCTAGTAAGAATATTGCAGATTCGTTTACCTGTTGACTTGTAGCATTGGTAAACTGATGAACTAAAGACATCTGCGTCGGTCGCGAAATTCAGGTTGCTCGGCGGCTTTCATTGCTACAACAGCAAAACATTACTTATACGAGCTGCGTTTCGCTAAGTGGCTGACTGACCTATACCTGTCTAAAGAAAGATGTTTATGGCTTTGTCACGAGCGTAATAAGTTGAACTGAGACCTTCGGATTCCGCGACGTGATGCTCCACCACCGATCTAAAGCTTGGTCATGACTTGACTCGTGTTTGACAAGAGTCCTGCATACTGCTGGGATCTGCAATGTAGTTACACCTGCCTACTTGTCGTAATTTAATAAAGCGAGTTTCCTTTTCTAATTTCCGCAGATATAAAGATGATAAATGCAGACAACTATGTAAGGGGTATGGTTAAAAAAAAGGGAATGACATAGTTGATCAACCATCTATTCATCGAGGGAAGCTAGCGTTAGTTCACTGCTTTACACTTTTCTGTCACTTGTCGTCAAGTGAGTTGTAGCTGTTCAAGACTGCACTCGCCTGCTGACCATAACACAGCAAAATCTTAATCAATCGTAATCAGTTTCTCCTCATAAAAACTGCAATGAAAAGTATAGAAATCAGACGCATTTAAAATGTAAATTATACTCGAGTGGAACGCTCATTTATGGCTAGTTATATGAAAAAATTTTTGGAGAAATAAAAGCTTGACAACAATTCTTGCTGAGAAATATTATTGGAGCACTAATGGCGTTGCTTCTTCCATAATACCAATCCGTGTTTCGATGAATTCGATATTTTATTATCTGAAATGATTACTTTAATTCAATTCTTTACATGCGCGTTCTTGGGCCTTTGGCGTGACTTAAGTGATTTACAAGATAATTTTTCTTCACTGAATGAAGTCTTTTTTCTGTTTATTTCATTCTAACGGCTAGGTGGAAAAAGACAGATGTGGTATCCTCCTCCACCACCACCCCCACCTCCACCACCACCACCACCTCCTGGCCCCCCAGGTTCAGATGGACCCATGGGACCCCCGGGACCTCAAGGACCAGACGGACCAAAAGGGCCTCCAGGGCCCCCAGGGCTACCAGGACCACCGGGAATACCAGGATATCCCGGAAATCCCGCGGGACCCCCAGGCAGACCAGGGCCTCCTGGACCTCCCGGACCAGCCGGTGGCCAAGGACCCCCTGGAGACATGGGAGCAGTTGGCGCTCCTGGTGGAGCAGGCGGAGCTGGACAGCACTTGGGAAAACGAAAGAGAGAATTAACTGAGTGGGGAGAAATCACGAGACTATGAGGGACTTCAAAACTGAAGAACATTGCTGACTTATCTCAAGAATTTTAGGCTGGCTTTGACACTGCACCAGGGATTTCGGATAATTTTTTTGTATGTAAGTCGACACATTTTGTACTTCCAGGTTCGAATCATATTTACATGGTTCGGGCGTTTATGTTTTGAAATTATTTCAAGTTAGATAAGAAAAAGATTTTGTAAACAGTTGACCGTAGATCGTGAAACCATCAAGGCTAAAAATTTAACACAAAATTTGACATTCTTTTTTGTTGTTTTTGAGGACAAAAGAGATCCGAAAAAAAATTTATGGCCACTTTGGTAAACAGATGATGTTATAGTGTTGTAGAAATATCCTCAGAGATTAGTCAAATAAAGATATTTAGTTGAGTCTCAAGTTTGGTTTACCTATCTACTCATGTACAAAGGTGAATACTTGATTGGAGTGTACCAGATTACTTCATTCATACAGTCATACCTGCATTAAGCGGCCACCGTCGGGAAATGGCTCGGAGGCCGCTCAATACAGGTTGACCGCATAATAGGATATGAAAAAAACAACAACAATAAAAGAATGTAATATTATGTCAAAGATGACCTTTTAATGTACAAAAACTAGCTCAAAATTACTCTTAATATTGATTTCGGAAGATGAATATGGATTAAATTTACTTGAAAGATTATTCTTAGTTTTATTTGAGTAGTCTTACCGTTCAGTACAGGTGGGTGACAATACAAACAGGCCGTTGAGACTCAGTAAAGGGTGACCACGGGCGCTCAATAGAAGTAACCGCTTGATAGAGGTGAAAACTATAGTAATTAATAAGTAAAAATTTACCGACTTTGAAAACCGACCGCTCAACACAGGTTCAACTTCGTGCGATAGTAAAAGAATGTTTTAATTTCTCGATTGAATGATCATTTCCCGGAACATGAACAAATTGGTGGCCTCAGATAATAGCTGTCATCCCCTAAATGCTGCGATCTTACTCTTATTTGAATTTTCTGATAACGCAATTGAGAATCCAGTAGCTTCTAATCAGAGCTCTTTCCAACAAGAGTAGGGAGACAGGTATGAATACTGCAATCTGCTGTTCATTAAAAAAAGAGAAAACTTAACTGTTTCGAGCGCAACTACTAAGAACCAAAGAGGAGAAAGCCCCTACATTTTAAGGACCTCTTTACATGGAGGTGCGGGACCCTAGGCAGGTGACGTAACCCGCCTGTTCATATAATCTCTTATTTCATCTTGATCACGTTTTTATAATAGGCGGGGTGGATCCACCCTGGCGGGTTACCCTGGTAGGGTTACCTTGTCAGCCGGGGTGACAATTTGCCACTTAAACGTCTCAAGGTAAGATAACCCGCCGAACCGGGGTAGCGTTCATGTCACAATAAGATTAAATGAACAAAATAATAGCGAAACACGAGTGGTTAAAAGTTAATACATTTCCTGACCGTCCCATGTAGACCTAAAACATTAAATCCCAATTTTTTCCCGTTATCTTAGCAATGAAACCTCACCAGCGATTCAGTCACGTTTTTACTTTGAACTGAACTCTACATTCACATGTTATGCCGAGCCGAAGACTTTGTACCATCAGAAACGGTTAACGCATCGAGCTTTTAGCGAAAATCTTAGAGGAAAATAAATTACTTTTCTTCGGCAACGTTTTACCACACGTCGCTGTCGTGATATTTTAAACTCCTTAATTACAAGTGCGATAACAATCTCGAAAAACTTCACACCGGCATCCCTGGTTTGAAAGGTTGTATGTAACCGCGGGTTACCTCACCTACCTGGGGTCCCCCATATCCATGTAAACAGTTCCTAGAATATATCCCACACGTATATTTATAAAGGTAATAGGACCGAGTGTAGTCCAATCAGGTCTGTAATCATACGAGTGATTAACAAAATCGCGGGAGTCCGAAATGTCAATCGCGAGTATGATTACAGACAGAATTGGGCGACACAAAGTCCTGTTACCAATTAATCACAACTGTTACAATTTCCGAAAACAACAAATACTTTTGGGACAAATATGTGCTGTAGAAAAAATGTCTAAGAAAGAAATTCCTCAACTTTGGAAATCCTACAATTTTATTAAGATAAGTGGTTGTTGCTATGGTGATTGTGACAAATTCTGTGATTAGTGGATTTGACCGAAAGGACTACGATTGGCTGCTTCAATTGTCCGACTGCAGGTGTCCGATTACAGCCAACTGTTCCATTACACCTCTACAAAAAGATTAGTGAATAATAAAGCAGCTAATACACAAATCACATTTGAGGAAATTTTAATGGTTATGATTAATGAATGTAAACGTCCAAGTATTTGAAATATCTACGTAGGATACCATCGTGGGAGCATCCACGTAACGCTGACAGTAAAACCAATGTGCAGGACCTTTTCTCAGTATACATCTTATATTTTAAATGGTTTGATCCCGGAGGTAACAGTCTGATCGTCCGGGTAAGCGTGAGTCGTTTCTATGGTGCCTGTAGTAGCCGAGACCTGTTGAGTGGAAGAAGTCTGTTCTACGTTAGTAAACCAGCTTTCCATTGTCAGTAGGTCACTCGTTGGTTAGGCCTAACCTACAAAACCAACTACTTTCAACGACTGACTCTGGAAAGCTGGTTTAGTAACTTAGAACAGACTCACCTACTCTCCTCGACAGGTGTCAACTACTCCGGCACCATACAAACGACTCTTTAACGTTACAAACGAACAAAACAGAACGATTTAACTTTGCCGACGAATCGAAACCGACCTACGCCACTTGAGCCTTAAAGCCAAAAACATCACGGCAAAACTGATCAATCAGTTTATACGAATCGGACTTAGAACATTCGACTGACAACTACTATTCACTTGATTCTGATGACTTCCGCTCAAGTAGTCGAAACGTCAGCCTCCACTACCGACAACAGTCCTTCTCAGGATCACACTCACCCGGACGATCAGACTATACTATCATATCTGTGCACTATTGACAAGTTAATAATTTATAAGTACATTTCAGAGTAAACTAGACAATGTAGGACCCACGTGCGAGCAAACAGGTCCTCCCGGTCGTAGACACGAGAGATTATATTGAGGAAAAGCAGAGGGATAAAGACCAGCCTTGACTTTAAGGAATTCTCGAAAAACCAGAAGCAGTAGAGTACGGACTGTTATGGTTCTCGAAAACGACCAGTGAGACCGGTCAATCTTTTTTAGTTTTTCGATCTCATCTTGAAAGCAAGATGTAGCAACAACATTTAACTGATTTTCCTCGATCCACAAAAAGTAAGTTCCCCTCAATAATAATAATAAAAATAATACATTCCCGCAAAATAAAATGCCTCAGAAACTCACTCCTATCAGTGAAATCAGAATTGTACATGCGAGTTTCTCCATCTACCTCACTGGAAAAATCCATCTTTAACTCACTATACCTGTAGCTCATCTCTGCATAACTCAAACATTTGTAAAATCTCGAAAGATTGGCCTTATCATTACGTGCGTCTGAGCGCTGCAGTTCGCCAATTATTGTTCCAACTGAGGATACGGTATCATATAAGTCACGAGTCACCAAAAAGAATTACTTGGAGTATTATTTAAGGAATTGCTTAGGGTTAGTTAGCTATAACAAAAAGGTGAAATCGTTTCCTGCGATCGCAGTTTGACTTTAAATTTGCGAATCATCCAAAGGTGACAAGATCAAAGGACTTAAGCCAAATATTTAGCAGAGCGGCTGCAGCAGCTCAAAACATCCTGTACCACTCTCAACGACCCGGCCAACGACCAGTCTAGAAGATGGAGAAACCAAACGTTCTGTGTCCCCTGAAAGAACCGCTCCACGAAGAAAGTGTGTCGTCGTTTCAAAACTCATTTTTTGAAAAGGAGAAGCGTTTGATTCAAGTCCAAGGCGATTAAATGGCTTGATTGTCCCTTCGTAAGTCATGTAGTCCGATATGAGACTAAGGTGACGTGGATCTACGTTGATTCCATAGGCATTGAATACGTTCTTTATTTCCTTGAGAAACAAGAAAACCGTGAAACAACCTAAAATCTGACCAGAGTAAAAACGGAGGGGAGAGAGGTGGGCATAGGAAGTGAAAGTAGGATAACATGAGATGATTGATCGGCTTCATGTTCAACGATATCATAAGACTGCCTACTGAGAATTGTGAGCGATAGAGGAAATTGGCTAGTGATTCATTAGTGTGGCGCTTTCAAGGTCAACGAGAACAGAACAAATGAAGTAAAAACGAAACGTTGAGAATGAAAAAAAAATTAGGCTTTCGGACTCTCCGTGGAACAATAAGTCACTTATTGGAACACTAATGTGGTGTTTTTTGCGAAGACAGATAAAGAACTGTTGTGGGGATAAGGATTGAACATACTGCAATAATATAGGATGCAATCTATAGCTAAAAAAACCCGACTCTGACCGGTGCCGGACCCGGTGCCGTAGGATTTCACTCTGTGAGTTGATAATAAGTTTTGAGTAGGCTTCAACGTTGACTTAAAATGGATGTGCTCTAGCAAATAAAATCACTGGAATCCAAAATGTATCACTTACTTCGAGTTCGCGAGCATTAAAGGAAAACACCATCCATTATTCGGTGAGCATTCTTGGCAGCATCATTGCGAGAAAGTCAGACATTCTGACATTCAGAATTAGCACGAGCAGGCTACAGTGAGGTAAACTTAGACTAGCAATGAACGGACGAAAGAGTATCTCATCATTTCGATACTTAAAATGAGCGAAAAATAATATTTCAGACGTCACCAAACGCTTTAGGAAATAAATCGCAGTGTTTGATGGGCTCTTACACCAGAGCCTTGTAGTGATGTCCATTATCTAATGTTGACTTCTGGACATGTTGAAACTGGTTTACTGAGCAAAAGGAATACATTCCAATTCCTTTTTACCATCTGACTATTCTGTTGCTGTTAGCCACTTTATTGACAAACTGTTTCTTTGTAAATAAACAAAGTAAGGAAAAATACCTTTTTTATAACTTTTGCTGCAGCTTCAATTCCATAAACCCTTGCCATAGCATGAATATCGTTAGTATACACCTTTGTCAAGTCTAATACGTCTTCATATTGCCACGTTTCCTGATAAAATAGCACGTGGAAAACTTAATCAATACTTATATTTTAGGAAATCAGTGAAAAGCAAAAAACCATCATGCACAGACATATGACGTTAATCACATGATGAAAACACAAAGCTTCAACAAAAACGAAGAACACTTGCAAAACCGTCGCTTTGTGAACTTCAAGTGAAAACCCAGACAATGTTTTAACAACAATTAATACTATACGTCAATTAGCACACTGTACATAAAAAGCATTTAGCAGATTTATAAGTACACCAATCAGTCCCCAATAATCCATAATAGTCTAGCAATGTCTGAATGGTCAAGCACGTGCCTCACTGTTATTAACCAAATTAGTCACTTTGTATACCAGCAAGTTAGTCAAGCAGTCTGAACGATTCTGAAGGCTAAGATGATGAAGAAGCGGAGTAAGATGCAGTTGATCAGTCAGTAGTCAGCCATTTATGATGAGAATTCTTTTTCTACCACTCCCTAAATTAATTATCTAATGAGAGGACACCAAAAAAATTTTCGATCTGGGATCGCAAAAATTGTCCGCAATTACAAAACAGTGGGAGTTGTTTAAAGTCATTTCATTGTAGTTTTAACCAAGGATTTAACTTTTGTTGATAACAATAAGCTGTTCAGATGGCAATACGCAACTTGACATGATATTTACCAACTTAAAAGTAAGGAAGGAATAAATATAATTCGGTGACATCGACCATTACTTACTTGAATATTAACTCCTTCTGTTTTCAGCACTACGGTATCGTTATTTTCAATTAAAAAACATCGATTTATGTGCGGCGTTTCATAGACAACACTCTGTTGAGAGATAAAGTACGACAGATATCAGAGTACTCTTGGGTGAGCTACATTGTGTCATATCAGTGCACTTGGAGCAAGAAAACGTCACTTACAGCCTCAGCCTTCAACGACCGCTACAAACTAAACAATTCCCAAAATAACCCAAGTTGTGAGAGCTTTCAAGGTAACGCACCCGTGTGAATACAAGTTACCCGATTTTTTTAAACTTACCTTATAGGCGAGTTTCTCAATCAGAGATAACAGTTGTATCTTAAAACTATCAGCAGGAAACTGCAAAAATAAGATTCTATATATCAGTACCATGAAAGCACCCTGATGAAGTCGTTTTCTTTGGAATTCATGGCACGACGAATAAACTCAAGATAATTGGCGATCCTACTCAAGTTATCTTTTAAAAAGAAATCTTTTTTCCTTAAATGTAACGTTCGCTTTTCAAAACGTTCACTGGTTTAAGCGAGAGAGACTACGTATGGATATCTGAATATTCAGTGAATAAAGTAAAAACACAAGACAAGGCTAACATACCATCAAGGACACTTCACACCATTCTTCTTTCTTGACATCGTAAGAATAGCCTCCAATGCGAATGTCACTTTCCAAAACACGCTGAAGAGATATAGAAGAGATGGTGGTTACCTCTGATTCATATGAAAATTACGAAAGCGTCTCTTGCACTTTTAGTCTTGTGGGCTTGCATTTCAACATATTCAGCTATCACGACGAATGCAACTTAGCAACTGACAAACATTAAGAGCTTCGGTATAGTAGTTCTCCATGAGAATATTTGCTTTTTCAAGTAATTAATATTATTCAAAAGACACGGGTTTGTAGCCAATTGAGACTCCAAATCAGAATGATTGTTTAACATTGACTATAACACAATAAGTGCTCATAACTGATTGTTGAAGTAAGCTGTGTCCATTCTGCAGTCGCCTTGGCTGTACGTTCCGCGCTCTTGAATCGAGTGTGAACGTTTGCAGTGCGCGGATGTGAGATATTGGCAAAATTTTAAAATAATCATTACTCTAGTCATCCTGTCTAAATTTGTTAAACGTACCTCCAAATGTCAATATATCATGATTGACTCATTTTTGTTTTGGTTTCGGACTAGGTAGCAAAATTGTGGACTTACATTAAACAGAATCCTGGTTTGAGAGCCTTGTAAGTCTACACTAGTCACAACGATATTTTTCATAGCAGATTACCTGTATTCGCGCATCATCGGTCTTCCTTGATTTCCGTTTGCCTTTACTTTCATTGTATTTCAAATCTTTGTCATCTATTTGGAAAACAGAGATAGACGAATGACTACAACCTCCATTTTCGCGAACAGTCCATAATATTACTTCTAAACTTTGCCAGATATCAAACAAACGTAAGATTTGACTGCTATTTTGCATGTGTGTAGTTACCGCTTTCCTCAGGCCTGGACCTCCTTGTAAAACAAAGCAGTTTAACTGATGAATATTCAATCTACCAAATATTTTCGCTCCCTCGCATTTGGTTTAACGACATAAAGTGAATGGATATTAACCTAGCTAAAACTGTGGATAATACAGTGACATTCTTCAAATGATATTCCCCTATATATAAACAAGTCCGTCCAATATGATGAATATCTTAAAAGTTGATTGAAGACAAAATTGAATTTTGCAGTTGTAAGAAAGTAAAGGTGATATCAAAAATTTTAGGAGTCAAAATCTACTCTGTAAACGCTTTTGATAGTATAATGTTTATAAATTCTATTTTTCCGCCCGCTGAAAAAAAATTAATGAATTATAAACACAGTAACCTCCGTCTGGAGCGAAACTGTGCTCGCATATTTGTACTTTGACATTGACTCTTTCTTGAGGCTCACAACTTCTCGGAACAGACAATGCCCCAATGGAACTTATTGTTTACATGGTAACTAAAAAAATAGAGTGTAATGAACACATATAAAAAGGCAAATACATATCGATAATGAATAAAATAAATAAGTCGTTCTTATTTCAATCACAACCACCGCAACCAAAACTAAACCAGTGACAGTGTTCAAGGTAAAAAATGTTGACTTGTCAACGGCGGGTAGATCTACCAGACACTCACAAATCATAATATTTTATTACGACCGATTTCAACTATTGTTCAATCATTGGAATATCGGGTTTGTTTTTCACAATTATTTCAACAATCTCTCCCTGACGGCTTAGAAGAAACGATAATTAATTTTCAACGGGAGAGCATGGGCACAATTACGCATGAGTAGAGCAGATGACATTGCACACAAGAAGACCATCATTGGTAGGTCGCGTGGTGAAGAGGTGTGTTCTTAGCCAGTGAAAAGGAAGGAAAGCTGCATCGAAAGATAGTACAAATAGTGTGTACCCTGTATAGTTGCGTCCATTCTTGAGCTGATTGTTGCTTCACTGCTATCTCCATCTGTTCAATAAAAGAAATTAAGTTAAATATGTAAAAAAACATCAGCTGTAGCAAGCTACAAGCAGTGACTTTACATGTAGAATTATGTCCAGGATCGCTATTTGCAATAAAATTCACAACAAAAAGAAGACCACGTACTACTCAAGTGACATCCACACACAATAAAAGAGTAAAACATAAGGGACCAACTTACCAAAATTTTCAAAAATATTAGTGAAATTTTTGTTAAAGAGTGCAATAATTTTAAAAGCAAGTTCAATGATTAACAATCACGAAGTACAAGCAAAATTCGACTAACAGAAAACAACGCTGAATACCAGACTTACCTCAGACAACCATTACTTAAAACTTCGCTGAGTGTTATTATTTAGGAACAGTTTGCTGAGTGTAATTATGTAAGAACAGTGATGTTTTCGTTGTTTTTTTCGGTTTACCTTCAGAGGAATCATCAAGTTCACGTTCAACCATCTGTTCATCCTCATCCGGGGCTTCATAGCTGGCATGCTGCATGATGGATAATGCCATATTAAGGATTATACAATTAAAGTTTCAATGCAAGGTTACTTTGGGCAGCGTTCATATGAAAGAGCTTCATTCGTGAAAATGAGAGAACTAATTCGGCAAGCAGGACGATTAAAAGTATCACTCATTGCCTTATTAGTGTGGCAATTATCATGTTTCTTTAAAATAAACGGCAAAACTATTACCAACACTTCCTTATTTTTACAGCTCAGTCGCAATGTAAATTGAGCCATGTAGTCATTTCACCTGCTGACGTCTCTGCCTCTGTTTTGCTTCATTAGCATCACCATCAGCAGCTTCTTCATCGGAAAGATCAGCATTGTCATCATCGTCGTCATCATCTAGCAAACAATGTCAACGCAAGCTATTCCTTTCCAATAAAAGACTCAGCGAGACTACCAGATGGCAATGAATGAGTTGCCAGTAATTGGATCCTTGTGTTATGGGCAAACGTTTATGGTATCGCCAGGGGGCACATATTGCGAGTTGATGGAAGGATCAACATGAAAAAAGGTTGTTATGACGTCAGAAAAAAACCAATTAGGAGGGGATGATCGTTTTTTCACGATTACACACGATTTTCACACTATTACAAAAATAACTATAGATCGCGAGGAAAATAACCCAGAAACGCATTTTCAGTAGTATTGACGTGTGTACAGCCATCTTCAATAATCAAGTTATGGCAAAATCTGAGAATTTACCTCCTTAAAGGAGAGAAGTCGTTGCGGATAGGGAAAATTTCATTCCTCCCGAGAGCTGTTGTTCCTGAGAGCGAAGAAATAAGCGATGATCTCTCTCCTCAATCGTTTTTTAGGGATGTTGAAATAATCTTTCCCCAAATATTTCCTTCTGTCAAAATGCGATGTTTAGCCCTTGGCGATTCCATGAACCTTTGCGCAAACACAAGCATCCATTCGATCAATCACTTATAATTAGCTAAGTCGTATCGATTGGTGTCAATAGCCCTGTAATTGTCATTCTCCTTTTTAAGTTCCCAGGGCTCAGGGAGATTTTCAAGGAAAGCTATTCGGATTCATAGGAGGTAATTTAGGGGGGAAAGCACTTAAAATCACTGACACTTTGACTGTATCTATAATAAAACGGTCCGTATAATACTCTTACCAGGCTGGGTACTTCTTTCTTCGTCCCTATCATTTCTCTGCTGCTCTGTGTTATTCACAGACTCGATAGTTCTAAAGTTTACAAAAATAAAATGAGTAGGTGCCTTGACTACAAATAGCATAGTGTGAGCTTCAAAATGGAAACTCTTCATTTACTTGCTCAAAAAAGAAAAGATGCCATTTCTTTTGCTTCGTGCTGAACAAGGATGCTTAGAAAGTTCTAAAACTGACAAGTAACTGTTATCTGATGATCTGGAGAAATACACGATTGCTTGCAAATTGAAGTCCTGAAGGAGAGAAAGGAAATGTTTCTTTCATTCACATATCGTTTAGTTTGGTTCATTCTTGTTCTTGTCCACTCAAAGTAAATTGAACTCTCACGCCACTGATTCCCTCGAACCACCAAGGGTGGCTATTAAACTGACCTTTCACCACGTTTAACTTTAGCGGCTTTAATGACGGCCCCAATGACTCTTTTAATAAAAACTGTCTCCATGTGGTGAAGAACGTCTTCTGATCTCACAATCAACTCATCCTGCAAGATAAGGAACGACTAGAAATCTAAATTCCACGTAAACGCTGGATCATTATGAGCAAACGGAACAAGCAATAACATTTGCAATACGAATACTGAGATTTAATCTAAACAAGGCTGTCAAATAAAAATGGGCTGTTAAAGACTAGAAACTATGCGATGGGCCATAAGATTTTTCTCTCCAGGGAGAACAACTTATGACCAATCAAAGGCCGCATACGAAAGTTTTCATCCTCTCAGTTTTACCGCCTTTGAGGTCGCCGCGAATCGCAAAGGTGAATGAAATTGAATGTTTTGCTGCTTGCCCAGAATCACGGCTTCTAGGTTCGCAGACATTTAATAAGCCGGACGATATAAAGAGGATCAATAAAACGAAAACAGGAAAAAAGAGAACGTTTGAAGTTGTCCGTTAGTAGCAAGTTGATTAAATGAACGATTCCATTGAGGCCTTGAGCTACTGTCTCTCTTATTAACTCTAAGCTTCCGCCGATCTACGGCATTGTCAGGGAACGTAAAAAACATATATCGTTAAATTCACCAAGGATGCCGTAAGCGGGCGAAAGCTTTGAATAAAAAAAATACGATAAAATCGTCCATTTAACTAAAAAAAGAAAACTAGGCAGAAATGCTACTTTGCGTAAGGAATTTCTGACGCTGAGTAACGAGGCAATATTAAGTGAGTCCTAAGATCTGATTGGGTATCCGAGCGGACGAGATGGTCCTGCGCAAGCCAAAAGGAAGCGGAGCGGACTTAGGTTCGTAATTTTTGGACAATTTCGGCAATGTAGTCGCAAAAAGCGGTAGAAGATAGTCAAATCAAAGAAAACAGAAACGATTTTTGTGAGTTAATTGTGCTACAAAAACCTAAAAATTTCAAAAAATTTCAAAAAAAAAAATGAATATTACTGTGGCTTTGTCTCACGGAAGAGAAGATAAGAGAAGCTAGCGTTATTCCAAAGCAAGAACTGAATTTGTTATATTGGAAATGTTTTAAAAACGCAAAGTACCACTAGTGTGATAATTTGATAACGTACACGTTTAAGGCCATTTTAGATAGTCTCACCTTGAATGACAACTCGCTAAGAAATTGAAATCTGATGCGGTACCACCTTTCTCTAAAGAAAAACAAAAAGAACTTGAACTTTGCTTTAAGAACTTGCGTTGATAAGTCTCACAGTACAACAGCAAGATTTCTGTATAACAGAAACATACATAACATCATAATAAATAATATACATAAAATTATAAACTACCAGCTAAATCTGATTACAGATTTCTTTAAGGGGGGAGGCTTAGAAAAAACTCAGAGCACTGAAGAGTATGAAGTTTGAAGCATACAGTTTGGCTTAGGTTTACAAGTTTCAAAATTTTCTGACAAAAAGCACATTCCAATTCCTTTTGCTGTTTAGAAAATGCTCCTAAAAGTTACGGCAACTGTCACATGATAGGAAATTAAAATTTTTGTCTTTGTTTTGAAGTATAGCTTCTTTCTAAAAGTTTATTTTATGGCGAAAGTAAACCTTTCTCTCTCAATTAGCGATCAAGTACTCCTTTTCTGGTACAGGGCTTGGAAACGTAGGACGCAACTCGCAACATGTCCACGCGTATTATACGTTAAACAACCGAGTAAGGTGTATTTACTCGTGCCGTACAGTGTACACCTAATATGCTGAAATTTACATGCTTTATTGCACCTTACTTGCCAGTTTAGAGTTTCTCACCGTGTTCCAGTAGAAGTTTTGGATGGCAATGACTCCCACACATCCACAGATTGTAATACCTAGAGGAAAAAAAAAATTCAATCAGTGTTATATATGAGCCTAGCGGAAGTGTGCTTCTTTTTAAATTCAGCAACTCGTCATCGAGCCTACGGCAAGTTTTGATATGGATAGATCATTACGTCATAATGATGAAACGTACGAACATGTTCAGCAATATTTATAGGCAACCAAAGTTAAAAGAAAAATCAATCAGCGTGTTCAGAGTCAGTCCACTATCGTGGAGTTATTGTACTCGTCAACTACCAGACTCCCGGTACTTATGGTACAGCTTAACAAGAAAACAAGAAAGAAAAAGGAAAGCGCAGACAATCAATTACTTATATGCACATTCAGCTAATCTGGTAGAAAAACAACATTACGACAGAAGAACAGTCCCTTCATTAGTACAAGATGTAATGGGCAGAGTAAGCATAAAGTCGACTAGCTACTTTCACGCTGAAGACAATAGACATTTGGAGTCGTAATTGGCCCCACCAGAAGCAGTGTTATTAAGGAACGCTATTTTTGTTATGCCAATTTCAAGACAGGTTAGAGAGCGCTTAGACAATATCTCAGGTATTTAACTAATAACCTGAGCGTTACACAATCAGTAACAGACTTTTTCATGGGCTACCAAATAATCACCTTCTGTTTTGTACTAATTCCAAATCGAGAGTGAGTGTAACATTGACGTATCTAAACACCGAGAAACAAGATGTTTGGATACCCCGATGAAAAACGAGCTCGAGTCGAAAATAAATTATCACTTTTAAACAAATAATAAATAAAGAGTTCTAAATTGACTTGTGTGCGATGTATCATCCCTACCCTTTTGCCAATTTCTCCCAACAATTGTCTTCGTGCCGCAGTAGTAAGACTTTGGATCGGAAATGGCCTGGACTAAGTAAGGTTACTTATGACTAATAAGTATTCAATGACTTTGTGCAAGTTGTCGATGTGCAAACTCTCACTGGAGAATGATGTATTGTTTTTCATTGGGTATCGAAACACACAAACGTGATGTGGTATACATCCGGTGATTGGTAGTTGATCTAATGGATTATTAATGAGGTTGAGAGTGTATGTTACAAAGTTTTGTGGGGCTAGGTGTTGTTTTAACCCAGAAAAAATCAGTTCGAGTTTCATTTATATATTTTATACACCAAATAAATAACTTTTCAGTACATGCTGATAAAGTTTCGATTTTGGTTGTCATTTTGGAGTAGGGTCTATCAGACAAAGCGCAATAAAGTAGTCATGATATGAACAGGACGTCATTTGGGACAAAAAATAATATAGTGTCGTACCTGCGCCAAAGTAACTTTGGTTAATTGCCTCTGCAGCTGTTTAGCAAGCTTCTGTGACCTCTTCCTTGGTTTAAGAGGGAGGTCCATGGTCGGGGTTTTGATATTTGCACTAGCAGTCATCAAAATCTCCCTGCGAACGTATTTTTAAATAAAATAACATTCACTACAGCGCTCTGTAAATGTGGTGGGTATGAAATTCAACTACAATATGAAAAAGTACCAAATTCAAATGACAAAAGAATTCAACGATTTCGTCAAACACAAATTCTGTTAAAGTGAAGAAGAATATAGTTGGGATTCTAAGCGTTTGTTAAGTTCATCTCAGTAAGCCCCATGTCCAAGACAAGAAGTCTAATTCACATTTCGCGACAAGAACTAGAAAACTATCACCGTCATCACACATCAATTGGAGACTGACTGACCTCAAAAACACAACAGATTCGTTGCTGTCGTGCGGCATGAAATATATTCTATCGAATGGTTCTATCATCAAAACGTTTATAGCTTTTAACCTAGCGAAGTTTTCAGATGAGAATGGAAAGTGATCCTGGATTGCTTTGGATAGGCTTTATCTCACTCTGTGATTGCTCTAGAAAACTCACCCGCCATCTCAATCATTAAAACGCAAATTTTACACAAATTCCAACTTGGTCACTCGCGTTTTCCCGCGCTTCAAGCAGGTTGCCTGTTTTTACTTCGAGTTCTCATTGGTAAATGATGATGTTAACTTTTGCCCTGACTATCAGTTGTGGTTACTTCAAGTTGGTTATGAGTTTTCAAAATTCAATTGAAAACTGCTCCATCCACAAAAAATAAAGGTATTCGCTTTAACGAGACAAGATTGCAAAGCTAGTATTTACGAAAAGGCACATGTTATGTTAAATTTCATAAACAAATTTAAACAATTACCTTAATCTTGGAATTCCAAGAGTCACATTCATCTCACCCCGGCCGGCAAAGTGAAACGTATTAAGTGTCATTTGAGTAGAGGGTTCACCAATAGACTGATAAAACAACAACAACAACAACAACAATGACCTTGTGCTCAAAATACAGTTTACGAAACAAGATCTTTTGTAATGTTTTGGAGTTTTGCAACCATTGTTGCTTTGGGAAGAATTGATTATATTTCTTTAAAATGGAATTCTTCTTCTAGGAGACATGACATGTATGAAAATGAACAACTTCAATTTAATGAACCATACATTTCGAGCTTAGTTTGGGCATCATTTTTGGTCTTTCAAACAAAGAAGAGCAGCTGTCCAAACATTCAAAGTTAAGTTAAACAGGTAAAAGGAAAAAATCGGCAACCCATCACCTGAGCTGCCAACAGTCCTACAGCTTCTCCTGGCTCAGTTAAGGCACGGAACGCTTTCAGGTATATCAGGTTTTTGAACTTACTGGATGGTAATTTCAAACTGAAAAAAACAACTACACTCACTTTGAGCTCAATTTTCCAGTATTTCCTTTTGATATTGTTGAATACTGAGCAAAGGACGTATACAATAGTTTTTAGCCAATATTTATTCTTTTTGAAGCTCATTAAAAAGAGCCAAAACAATTTCAAGTATTTTGCTTTGAAATAACGTATTCCTTTACTTTCAACGTTAGGATAAATTTATTAATAACTGGACTCTAAACATTCTGTTACGATACAATGGAAAAAAGAGGCGTTGGTTGGTAGGAAACTTCTGTCATCACAACCACTCTGTGCTGCAGTCAAAAGGTTTTTTTTTAAGCTAGAGAGAGGACAATTCTTTTAAATGAATCAATTTGAAGAACACTTTAAGAGCTATACGCTTGAGATTTACCCAGCAAAATGCTTTAAAAACTATTTGTAATGACTGAATTCAATGTTAACCTTTCTTCCGACTCGTACTCAGTCAAGCACTTGTCAGGGTTTCCTTCCATATAGTTCTTGACAGACATGAAAATTCTCTCAGAAACAGCTCCAAAGTGTCTGTCGGGCTGTAACTTGGACAAAACAGGGTCAGGAAAACGTGCGGATTTCTTATGATACCTGAACAACAAAACACTCTGTTTAAGTATGCAAAGGTGCGTTCTTTGACTGAATGGCTGAAGAGTTTATGAAAAAAGTTCCTTTAAGTTATTTTTGCTTAACTCATTAACAAGTCAACTGAGAGAGACAAACAACATTATTTGACAACCTCTTTAAGAGGTCAAAAAGCTAAACGAGCTCATTCACCTCAGAGGATAATTGGTCCATGATAGGGAATTTGAAATACGATCATATTCATAGCCAAACATTTGAGATTATAAAAGGGCGCAATGCATAAATGTTTGAAACCTTCCCGATTCCTAAATTGCTCGAAATTGTAAAGGTTTTCATTACATACCCAGAAGGAAGAGGAGTGACATAAAAATTAGGCCATAAATTGTTCACACGCCAATGCGTATGCAAAGGATGATGCTTTAAATAGACGCACATCCTTGAAATAATCAAACCAGCATCTCAAATATTCTTAGACGCCAATTACCAAAAGATCTCTCTGTTAGAAACTATTTTCCATTGGTCAACAGTAACACAGATGTTACAATGGAAGAGTTAAAAGACAATCATCTCCAGGTATCTCTCACTTTAGTGAAAGTCAGTGACCGCAAGTAACAAAATGTGCGACTGAAGTGACAAAACACACCCTCACACTTAAAGGGTCCCCTGATGGCAATGTTACACAAGAGGAATACACTGAAGTCCTCTGCTACGATGGATCTTTGGACATACATTCCTCATTTTGATCGTCTAAGAAACTTCCTTGATCCTTCTGATGATTATGGTACAGTAACAAGAGAATGTGTTGGAAAAAATTATAACACGACATAGAGGAAGATTTCAAAGCCTTCAATGGCACCTCGAGGAAAGAAAGTGAATCTCAGGCATTTCAAGGAACCCGCCAAAGGAAAACCACAAAGCGGCTAAGCCACCAGTCACCTTCAAGGCTATATGTCCTTAAGGGACTGAGCAGAAGTCCGAGGGAAATTTACTCATCTGAATACCTCAAAAGTTTCTGGGTTTCAGTCTGCTAGGGTCTCATCTATTCAAGTGATATCCCTGCGCACAAGTTTTAATTAACTAAAATCAACAGATTATGAACTATTTATATTCTCTTGCTAAAATGCAAGAATTGTCGATAAAATAAAAGAAACATGAGTCATGGGATAAAGCCCACCTTTTGCGCACAGCCAAGGGTGCTTCATTCCATCGTTCAATCATCTTGAGATCTGTCTGAAGGGGAAAGAAAAGTTGGTGGTTCATCTTATCAATAAATTCAACTGAACCTTTCCTTACTATTACTCTGTCCGCTACAGTAAATATCGACCGCCAAACACTTTAAGATGATCAGTGACGTGGTACCTGAAAGTTATTACCCCTCTCGGTTTCTCATTGCAATTCTTATTTTGCTCTACAAAAATCAGATAACCTTATTCATGCTAATCTTGATTTTTGTTTACTTTGGACACACTTGAGTAACATTGCCTACGCGATCTATAAACTAAATGGAAAAGAAGAAAATAAAAAAACAAAATAACAAATTTGAATAGACATTCATTACCTTTAGTATGTTGGAATATAATAAGTTTTTTGGGAACGTTTTTTAAACTTAATTATGCCCTTTTGCTATTTTCATTACTATAATTATTCTTTTTGGAGCTAAAAATATTTTTCGAAGGTAGTTACAAGGTAATTCACCCCCATACCTCAGATCGCCCAAACGTAAGCTGACTAGCACTTGATTTTATATTTTGTATTTCTTTACACTTGTCTGCAGCAAAATAATGGTACGGTGAGGTTCTTTTAATGTGACTCTCTTTTTGTTTCCTCATCTTTTTGTTGATCTAAAAAGGAAACATTGCAAATTAAGAAAGAAAACCCTTAGATCATGTGAAACTCATTTTGGTGTCCAAACAATGTTCTTCTTTGAATATATTTATTTTTAGCCCCATTTTTACACATCAGTAATAGTCAGCATTTGAGGTGGGTGAAACCCAAAAATTGGGGGGGGGGGGGGGGAAGGAAGCATATCTAACGATCTGCAATTCCTGTTTTGTCGATGAATGCATTTTTTTATGTCATTAACTGGTTAGGGCAGCAATTGGTCGGTACTCGTACTGGGATTTAATCTGAGAGGTAGAGGTACATCAAGAAAAATGGCGAAGAAAGAAAATTCATACAGTGAACACGGTGAACTCATTTAATGGAACCAAAACTATGAAAGAGATAGACTGAGCTTGTCGATTACTGTGTAAAATCCAAATAATCTTGATTCTGGCGCCAATCACACAAAGTTTTACCAACAAAGATCGATTCTCAAGTTCTAGTTCATTATGAAAGTTCCAACACACCTTATTTTCAAGCTTGAGTGCTTCTTCTGACTGAAGATGGGGAAGAAGAGCTTTGGGATTCATTTGCTGTAGAAAAGCCTGTGTTCATCCAAAAAAAAAATGTGAACAAAGTTAAATCAAAAGCTGTTTCAGAAAATGCTTCGACCATTTGTATAGAAATTCCATTAAACGTTATTTGTTTCATTAAAAAGCTCATTCAAGTGCTGTTACGCCTTTATATAGTGCAAACACTTGGACCAGTGTTGCAAGCTCGAAAGGACGATAGAGAATTTCTACAATACAGTTTTGGATAATTAGAGCGAAAGAGGTGCAACACCTAGAAACAAATTCATTATGGGAACTTTAACTTTTGTGCTTAAAAATTTTTCTGTCATGTTTTACAGGGTGCAAGTAATTGAAATATGTCAACTCAACAACGTGTTTAAATTCTTCATCGACATAGCCAGTTTTATCTTTTTAAGCACCAAGGATACAATTTCTAGATTGCATGGAACCATGAGGGCGCTGTATTTTGCATGTATTTCTGGAGTCATTTTAACTAAAAAAAGTTGTCACCGTATAAAATTGTCATTTTTTTTCATCGATTAGCCGATAACTTACGAAAAAGCTAGCTTTTAATCTTATTTCTTTTTTTAAGCAAGCAGAACATACCCTTCATATCGTGATTTCATTGTGAGGGAAAACCTTGAAATTTATGAAAACTCTCAGAAAACGTGCCTTCGATCTCTAATTGGCCAAGGCTTACGTCATCTCCTACTAAAATTACACCACCTGAGGTGGGACTCGACTCTCTTCGACAAATCAGATCGCTGATAACCGTTAGTCAGTTTGGCGATTACACAAAAATGTCAAACGTATAGCTAAGCTCTCTGTCAGTCAGAAATGTACAGGTGTGACACTGATCAAAATATAAACACAAATGTAAAGAACCTTGTAGTTGCTTGCCATAAAGGGAAACTGCTTCTCCGAAAGAAAGGAAGTTTTCATGACATCCAAGCCATCTTCACCATAATAAAACTGCACAAGAGAGCTGTCACTATCTCGCACAGTAAGATCATAATTGACTAGGAGACCTTCCAGGTGTTTAATGAGACAGCGCTGAAGGTAGCCACTACGACTTGTTTTAACAGCTGTATCCACAAGACCCTAAAAACAACAAAACCAACAAGGCAGCTTCATTTACTTCATGCAATGGAGTACATAGATAATGTGGTATATTCATTCATTACTTCCAACATGATGCGAAGCTGGACATTGTACACGACACGTTAAGAAGAAATAATCATATTTGAAAAATGGATGATGGCTGACGAATCGACTCACACTGAAAAAGCTGCAATTGAAGCAACAATTATGAATATCGAAGACTGAAACATGACTTTAACTTGTGCCTTAAGCTCTATTACCAAGACCAAATTTTTGAAAAATTTCAAGAGATATCCAATATTCAGGATGAATTAATATCAAACTGCGAATGTACCTCTCTTCCTGCCATACAATGAAAGAAATACTCCTGTGGCCTGATTCCTGTCAAGAAACGCCCATCAACAAATCCCCCAGCCCTCGGACTGCTATCATATGGCAGGAATGAGGGCAAAGACCTTCCACTGACCATAAGGGGTGGTCGGCGCCCCTCCAGCTCTATCTGCCCCAAGAGGCAGGAAATCTGCATGCAGTTGACTGAGGAGCCCTTAGCCCCAGACTGAACCATCAGCTGAAGATTGTTTTCAGGAAACCTCTTGAGAAGACCCAAGGGAATGCAAGCCCTGTTGATCATGTCTTGGTAATGGTCTGTCTTCTTTTTCATGCTTAGGTCAAGCTGTTTCATATCACTTCCATCCTTGTTATGGTGGGCCTCCTGTAGCTTTTGTTCCAGAGTTGAACTAGGACCATCCATAACAAAAAGTGATCACAAAACTAGAAAAACTTAATTGCCTGCGAGAAGTATGTCATATTTCATTGCAACTTAAGTTTCAACAAAATGATACGATAGGTATTCATGTAATTCATATCTGAAAAATAAGTATCATTAAACTGGATCCCCATCGATAGCAAACGAAGCAGTTGGAGAGAAATATGCCCTGTTTGTCCATGTAGGTAACAACGGACAAATACTTATGTTTTAAATAGCTGGTGTAACACTCTACAGGCCAACTCCTAAGCACTGGGGTTATGGTTTGGGTTGACAGTAGGGTAATGTTAATTACTGGAAAAGCACAAAATAGCAGTACATTATTGCAAGAAAAGGCCAAGATAATCAAAGAATGATTGCCAGATCTTTAAAGGAGACTTTGGAAACCTGTAACTTTACAGTGATAACAAGAGCAGTAGTTGTTTGTGATAGGAATGAGGCCAGATCATTGAGTGATTTCAAGAGAGCAGAGTTCGTAGTTACATTCTTAGCTTATACAAAGACAGGTTGTTAATTATTAGGTTACTCTTTGAAATCTCAAATACAGTAATTTGTAAATTGGTTTTTAAGAACAGGGACAAAATCACATGGTTTCTATACCATTCTCTTCAGCATGCAAGTGATAGTAATTGGATAGAGCCAATTGCCATGCACCACACTTACGTGTTTTAATTTCAAAATTACTCTAGTATATCACCACTTACGTATCTGTGCAGTTTTGATAGTAGTCAAGCAAGCAAGCAACAACTTTATTTCTAGCCTCTAAGAACGTCTTAGTTTCCCTCCCTCTCACAGAAAGTTTTGATTGTTTCTATATTTTGTTAGTCTTTGTAATTTCTTCCTGATTACTACACCATTGTTTCAGTGTTTCCGTCGAATACCTTTGATGTAATAGTCAAGTGTTTTATGTACGTAGGATACACACTCGATAAACTGTCTGGTCCCAAAACAAACCTCTGTCTGTTACGGTGTTTAGACTCACTGTTGTTGTTGTAAGAAAATGTGTGCAGACCAGTGAGGAGAATTGTGACTTTCCATTATTGAGTTATCTACCCTTTCAAAGTTAGGTTGTGTCACAATTGGCATGCAGAGACTATGTCAAGTAAGTAGTCAACATGAGTACACCCGGTCCATACCCAGTCCACACCTAGTGAATACCATTTACCTTTCACAGTCACCAAACAAACCAAGAGCCTCTTTTGTAGCTTCAACTCCAGATGCTCTCCCTTTCTTTATAAATTTGTGCCTTTTGTTGTCCGCCTTCTCCTTGACTAGGATGTCCTCTACACCTAGGGTGAATCCTTGATATTGAAGGAAAGTTGTGAACACTCTGGCCAGAGCAGTAAGTAGATATCCAGCTACTACTCCACCATACAACTGAGAAAGTAAACATTTAAGAGTAATTTCAATGAGTAGACAACAGGCCTAGCAAACCTTTTCATAAATTTATTAATAATAAGAACATCTTGTTGAAAATTTTTTAAGTGCATGTATAAGGTAACTCAACCATAAAAATTACAACAAGTTGTGTGTATCTGGTATCTAGCTTGAATCATCCAATGCTGTTCCCCACTTTGCAAAACCTTATGCTTGTTACAATGACAGTCTTTGTTTGAAAAATTATTCAAGGCGGTAGAAAGTTTTGTTATTTTTACAAACAAAGCCATAAAACTGTTTGTTTGTAGAACCATACAAAAGAAAAAACATCCACACTGATGGAAAGTTGTTTTTAAACATAGGCCATATGTTAATTTCCTGGATAAAAATAGAGACAGTGGCTGGTCATCCCTAATAGGTTAAAAGCTAAACTGGTTGAAAAAATGCCATTTATGTGGTGATTGGTGACAACATTTGTGAATATTGGTATACCTCAATCAAGACTAATACTTATGGCACTAAGACATAGTCTAAAGATGATTTACATACATATGGAATATAACATACATACTTAAAAACAACAAGTAACTCAGTCAATATTAAGCATTTTAGTATATGACTTTTCACTCTTTCTCTTTTGTCCTTTCTTCTTTAAGCTCACATCTCAAAGAGACTAATAGCTTTTTCTGGCTGTGCTCACACCATTGTGTATGACCCTCAAACAGGGTTGTTGGTCTAAGATTTTTTATGGAACATAACAAATTGCAAAGATTTGAAATACATACCTCTACCTATATCCTCAAAACCTCTGTATTTCATTAAATTTAATTATACCGCTTCCCCAGAGCTTTTATGTAAATACCTCATGACAGCAGTGCACCAAACCAAAAGAAGTAGGCCCATAATGCGCTTTGTCCAACACTCCACTGAGTAAATGCCCTTGACGAACCACCACCTATATTCATATGTGTGAATACAAACGATACACACTTAATATGTGATAATATGTTATGTCACCATTGAATAAGATAGGATATTAAACATTCTTGTTCTATCGCCACACCATTAAGCCATTTTAGGGCAATAGAATGCGCAAAATATGACAGTATTACACTATAGGTAAAGTCTGTGCTCAAGCCAAATGGCACATCCAGCCGCAACTTATCCTGGTTTCCATAACATGAAGTAACTGGGAATATTGCTACTACCCCCTGGATGGGATGTCAGAATATTACAAGGTTATCCCCAGCATTTCATCAAGCATCCTAGACAATTTGCCCATTTTCTGGATGAGGGAGACAATGTGAAAGCAAGGTGGTTTCCCCAAAAACCAAACACAACAACCAGGTCAGGTCTCAAACCCTGGACTTACTGACCAGGAGTCCAGCGCAGCAACCATTAGGCCACCGCATCTCCCCCATTGCATGGTAAAACAATGCAAAAATACAGTAAAAAACAAAGCAATAAAATGGCCTTGGTGGCTTGTGTTTTTTAGCAAAAAAATTTTAAGTGCATCAGATTTTTTTGTGGCCACAAGGAACACTCTATGTTGTTTTTGTCTTCTGTATGCTTTGTATAAGGTCGATGTGATGCTCAAGTTAGGCCAGTAGAAATGTCTCTAAAAAAGGAAACCAAAATACTACAAAATGAAATAATGCTGGGATAGTAAATCCCTTATTTTATGGTTTAAAATATATCACAAGCAGACATTTTGTTCATTGTTCAGATCACTTCACCTGTGTGGCAAGAAAAATAGAACACAACTTGTGAATTATCTTCCCATATTACATATCAAACCATGGGATAAGGTAGACACTATATATATTACATATCTGTATTTGGTTACTGACTCCCTACAAGACAGTTCAAATACATACAAGACCATACTCAAAAAAACGGAACTGAAGGGTGAAATTGAAAAAATGTATATCACATTCAGCTTGAGTCTATTTCTTTTTTGTCACTAATTTTTCACTTCAAAATTTCTAACAATCTAACATCAACAGCCAATTCCTATGTCATAACAAGAATCATACAGGATGCTAAGCATCAACAATCAAGAATGAGAGTCCTTACGAATATAAAATGTCATGGTGACATTACCAACTAAATTTGTTTAAGTCATTTCTTTATTTTACCTCTGCCTCCGACATCATATCTCCCTTCAATGAAAATAATCCAAGAAAGTGCTCTTTGGGTTTACCAGTGATCCAATTCTTCATTTCACAGTATCCGAAGAAAAAAAAACCAAAAAAAAACCATATAATCATATAATCATCACATAATCAGTTTTCTTTACTAATAGTTAACTTTATCTATTCAAAGTTATTCATGGTAATGAGGTTAAAAGAGAAATCTTTGTAGACTCTGTAGACTAATACTCTTAAAAACACTTTAAAGCAAATAATTACTTTTCCAACAATCTTGGCTTTCCCTTGCATACTCAGTAGCTTTGCTTCCTCTGGAATGAGGTTAAGCAAGACTGTAGATATGACCTGTGAAACAGCCAAAAATAACATAATTGAAGCTCTTTGTGTCTAACAACCATTATGTTTCTAAGAATATGAATTCTCGTTCTCATAACAATTCATTTGATGATTGTGGACTCTCCATATTCTTAAATCCATTGTGCTCCTATGATGCTTACAATGTAATTTTCCTTTCCTTTTTTCAAGTCTGCTCTTTTTTCATAGTGAAGTTTCTCCAGACAAAGAGCATAGGTATATTTTCTTTACTTGTAATGTGACATCAATAAGCTCAAATTTACTATTCAATCAATTTAACCTCATAAACAACTTACAATCATGAGATGATGCTCAACATGTAGTTCAACAACATACTAGATCACTTTTACATAAACCAAAGGGGACCATGGAAGAAGAAAGAGGGTAAATCCCATGATCCCTGCAATACACCACAGTTTACCTTGAAGGCTTGAAGAAGAATTATATTGATCAATACACACTGTCTTGTATGCATCTACTGACTGTGGTATGACCTAAAACACCTCTTGCCACTTTAGCAATTTAAGGGGTCTATTTAAATAATGAAACACATAGAGTTTACACAATCAATTGAAACACTGACCTGCTTTCCTGACCACAGCTCACAAGGCTTGACAATGCAAGGCCTTAGCATCTTTATCTTCCTGTTCTTGAAACTAACAGCACTATAAACAAGCTGCTGATAATCTGACCTAAAAAATGATAAATATATGTGAAGTATTTAATTGATTCACGTAAGATGACTTTTGATTAGAATATACATACAGAAAGTAGCATAATATCATCAGTAAAGTTAGATATATAATTGTGTTGCAATTCTGCATATAAAACACTTTTTGAGTGTATCCAACAAAACCAAATCTACCAGTAAATCAAAATAAAACTCACAAGAAAACAATCAGAACTGCAAATAAAGTCAATTAAACAACCTGAAGTGTGGGAAGTGCAAAAGACCAAGTGAAAACCAAGTTTGGTGACTAATTGGTTAAAAGGGTCACATATTTTCTAGACCAACTTTATGCAGCATAACAAAACAAAACTGAAGAACATTCAAGACTCAGTGGCCCACATTCTAAGTTTGGATACTAGCCAAGAAACCTAGCAAAAATATAGACTTCAGAGAAGAAAAATTGTGAAATGACAAAATAACTATGAGCTGTTTGAATGGAGTCCCATCCCACAACTAAAACCCTTTCCTGGTTACGACTGAAAGAAGCAAGCCAATAAGTAGGTAAAAATGTTCTTTGCATATCTATTTGCTACCCATTGAAAGTTTATATACAATAGTCTTTGACCTTACATACTGGACTAAGTTTCTGTCTCAAAACATTTTAGACAGGAGCTAGTTGATGAAATTTTTTCTCAAAAGAGTACTGACTACACCTGCATCAGCTTTCGTTGTTTTAAGTTGCTCTAACAACCAAACTACAGGCTTTGGGAGGGATATGGGAGGGGCTTTGGGTTAGGTGCTTTTTCTGTCTTCATACACTCTGATTTATGTCTTAGAAGCACCCCATGACTCAGTCACCTCTTAAACATGCGTCCTCGGATAGTCATCCTCACTCCGGCCACCATGTGGTCCTGAATTAGTCCATTAAGTGGTGTGCCATCTTTCGGAACCAAGTACTGAAAATTTGTGCTGGCTGAACAAATCAAATTAAAAGGTACCAACTAAATCATGGTAAGAACTATTCATATCAGGTACCCAGCCAACCACACTGTTTAATAACACCCTTTTGCAGGATTTACACAAATTTTCCTGTCTGCTTAGTATTACATCAGAAAAAAAATTTCCAACATTATTAGGGTGTTCAAGAAACTTTTCCCTGGATCACCTTTCAATAAGTGGCAAAAGTTTTGGCATGCTTTACTTCTTTTTGAAATAACCAGTTAAACTGGTCTAGCTAGATAAAATGGTCTAACATGTCTAAATGGCCTTACTAAATACAACATTTCAACTGATCAAAATGAACCAACCCTTTAAAATGGTCTGGCTAGATAAAATGGTCTAACCAGCTAGGATGGTTTGACTAGCTATTAATAGTAGTTTATCCTGTTAAAATGGTCTAACCAACAAAATGATCTAAATGGCTTGAATAATTTTACTAGATAAATGGTTCAGCTGGTTAGAATGGTTTAATCAGATAATGTTCCAACTGATTAACTTGACCTATCCTCTTAAAATGGTATATCTATATAAAATTACCAAACCAGCTAAAATGGTCCATCCTGTTAAAACAGTATTTAAGTTATAATGATCTAAATGGTTAAAATAGTCTAAGTAGATAAAATGTTCTTATTATAAAAAATGGTCCAAGAGGTTGAGATGGTCCAACCGATTAAAATGACATAACCACTTAAAATGGTCTAGCTGAGTTAAATGTTCCAAACAGCTAAATTGCTAACCAATCTAAAATGATCCAACCTGTTAAAATAGTCAAATAAACTCATTAGGGAGCTTAAGTACCACAAGAACCAGAAGTTGAGAAATCTTATTCTTGGTGTTTACAAATAGACGTTCAACTACTCTGTTTGGTTATGGTTTTGGTTAACGTTGTCTAACTAGATAAAATGCTTTTACTGAATAAAGAGTCTATGTAGATGAAATAACCTAAATGTTTAAAATGGCTTGACCAGAAAATTAACTTGAAAGGTTGTAATAGCTTAACTATATAAAATTCCTCAACTGGTTTGAAAGGTCGAACAAGATACGATGGTTTAAGAGGTCTTAGCGGTGTAACTAGCTAAAATGGTCAATGCTGTGAAAATGGTCTAACTAGATAAAATTTTCCGACATATTAAAATAGTCTAATTTGATAAATTGATGCTACCAGTTAAAATGGTCTGACTAGATGAAATTGTCCATTTAGTCAAAATGGTGTGACTAGGTAGAACTAGTCAACAAGTCATGCTGGACAAAATGTTCCTGATGGAAAATGATCAAACTAGCTAAATGATCCAGCTGTTTAAAATAGAGTAACTGCATTAAATGATCCAAATGGTTCAAATGGTCTTACTAGATGAAATGCTCTAATTTGCTAAAATTGTCCAACCAGTTCTGGTGTATTAAGATACAATGGTCTGCTCAATTAAAATGGTCTAACTTAATAAAATGTTCCTACTAACATAAATGCCTCAACCAATAAAAATGATCTTATGGATTAAATGTATAACCAGAGAAAATTACCTAACAAGAATAAATTGTCCAACTGTTAGAAATGGTCTAACTACAGAAAATGGCCCGCTGGTCAAAAGGTCTAACTGGCTAAAATGATCTACATAGATAAAACTGTCAAAAGTAGAAAATTGATCTTACTAGATAAAATGGCCTATCCTGTTAAAACATTACTGCTAGATGAAATGATCCAACAGGTGTAAAGTGTTTAATTAGATAAATCAGTCCACCTGGCAAAAATAATCTAGCTAAATACAATGGCCTTTATCAAATGATCTAACTAAATCAAATGGTCCAACCGGTTAAAATGGTCTAACTTGATAAAATGTTACAAGCAGTTAAAATGGTGTAAGTAGATTAAATGATCTAGCTGGTTAACATGGTGTAACTACATAAAGTCTTACAGTTGGCTAAAAAAGTCTACCAAAATAAAATGGTTCAACCAGTTAAAATGGTCTAACTATTATAAGATGATCGATAACTGACCCTCTTATTCCAACATGCAAACTACAGACTCAAATATGTAGAATTGCTGAGTGTTTTAACAAGTTGTGCAGTGTTTTGAATGACCCACAGGTCAAGTCAAAGTATAAGAAATAGGTGAAAATACTACCAGTACTTAAGAAGCAGAAGGCTGTGAAGAACCAAGAACAATGGTACAGTCCATTTTCTTTTCTCCTTTGACACAATCCAAACACAAGCATAGCTAACCTGTCAATCAGGTTGTTTTATAATGCAAAATAACCAACAGTTCAATATTGTAGTACTTGAGTTTAATGCTAGTTGTATTCTACTTAGTGCAGTTACATGCACACTAGCACTTGAGACTATCCAAAAAGGTCAAATGGATACAGGCTATAAAGTTGGGGTGTTGATCACAAACCTATGTGGTAGGCTTCAGCCCTAGCCAATTCATTTTGAGGAAAATGAGCATTCATTTCATCACCATCAAAATCAGCATTATAAGACTTGCAGTTGGCATAATGAAGGCGAATGGTCTTTTCCCCAGGAAGTACACGAGCCTCAAAGCAAAAACAAAACCAAAAAAAATCGTTAGCCTTACTTGCAGATAAACTGCCATTGGGCTTTGATGGCGATTAACCCTGTACTTTTTATATACATGTTGGGAACTACTTCTAACTGAGCCACAAAACCATCCATTGAGATTGAGGAATATATTCAGTAGGGTCTTTGTGCCCTGAGAAGGATTTAATGACAGGTAGCACAAGTGAATAAAGTCTACTAGTGGTTCAGAAGAGATGCATGATTTAATTTTCATTTCTGTTTTAAACCTTAAAGAATTATCAATAATTACTGATAGTTATATTTAACTTCTTTGTAATTACTATTTGCTTTTAGTAAAGAAGGGTTTCATTTTCTCACCTTGTGTGCCATCATACTTGGCCTATGAAGTGACGGTTGTCTGTTAAGCAACAACACATCTCCATTCTGAAGGTGTCGATAGACCTGTAAATGACCACAATAATTTTTATAAATACTATCATCTTTGTAAAACTCTGGAGGATTCTCTCTATTTCATTGTGATCATCTTAAATTCTTCTCCTCTCACCACAAACTGCCCTCTTGTTTAGCAAAGCCACCAAGTAACCTGTACTGTCTATGTCAACTTAGGATCATAAAATTAAAAAAGATATATGCTGAAGCTTGCCCCCTAACCACCAAACCAAGTCATCAGTTTGGTGAATTTCATTGAAAATTTAGTCACAAAAACCAGATTAAATTTTATGTATTCCTTTACACTAATTATAAATCCTAATCCTAAATCTGAAGGGTTCTCCTTTTAAACGTTCTAGCTTTTGCAAAGCAACCACTTAAATTCCTATCAATCTTTTCTTTCCACCTAGATTTGGAGTTTCTTTTCATTTCAGTAGCATTGTATTTTAGCACCAAATGTTTCAATAGTTCTTTACAAGTAACAGCCCTTTCATGAAAGATAACCTATATCCACTTAGATTTAAAAAAATAAGTTCACACTATCTTATGGAAAAGGCTTACATCTGAGAGTAGGATTAAGTTGTAAGGTTTCATGAAACTCTCACATTAAATTAACAGTCATTAACAATCAAAGTTCCTTTTCTACATTGTATGAGTTCATAGTCAGCTTAAAATCCTCTTTTTTTTGACAATCAAAATTAAGTATAATTCTTGGGGTTAGTGTCATTCCAAAAAGAGTAAAGCTCAGTTACAGTTTGCAGCTAAATGAGAACATCGAGCCACTTTCCATCAAAGTACATCATGGGTCCAAATTGAACATTGTCTTTAGTGTGAAATTAAACTCCACTGACATGAAAACCACAGGCAGAAGAGCAGTCTAGACTAGACTTGGACCAATATCCCATTTAGGATTAAGAAATTTTTTTTGCTCATAATTTTCAGCTTGTTCAAGGTGTTTTGAAAATGAGAAAGGTGCATAACTCTACCTTCTTACAAGGGCTAACCAAAGTTCTTATGTCAGTTGATGGTGTAAGCAAGCGCTTTGCAATCGCCTGTCTTTGGTTGGGATCAGTTTTACTGAGGAGAGTTACTTTGCCATCTTCATTTTCAACAAAGGTCGCCCTGTTAAACAGGAAAAAGGCAGCAGAGTTCAAAACAAGGTGCTTCCTTGACAAAGTGAGACCTACCTAAAAGATACAGCACGTGCATATATGAACTAAATTAATTTATGCACAATTACCTTTTATACAATAAGGACAACTATTGCCATAAAGTAAGTTATTTGGTAGCACTGTTCTTGAACAACATAAATAGTGTATTTAGCTCAACAATTATTAATTCTTAAAGTTAATTTTACATAAGTGTACACAGTGAATTTTTGGAGGCATACAATCAAGATCCTAACCCAGGATGTTGAAGTGGACCATTAATGACAGCCTGTCTTAGCTGTTTGACATTCCAGTGAGTTACAGGTTGTGGGTATGTCAACTTCAGAGCAAACACCTAGCAAGGGCAAAAATACAGTAAAACTTCAGTAGCAAATTTCTTGGAGTCTCACTCTGAAAAAATGTTTATTTTAGTGGCTGTCTGAATGTATGCCTTATCCCTAGTCATCTATGGAAAACTAGATAATTAACACCTTTACAAATTGGTCTTTTCACTCCCTGGAGTAACCAAAAATGAATTCCTTTTTGCAATATCCCTTGATTTCATACAAAATTCTCAGTCAGTTTAAACACGACTCTTTCAGTCATTAGGGAGCTTAAGTACCACAAGAACCAGAAGTTGAGAAATTTTATTCTTGGTGTTTACAAAATAGACTTTCAACTACTCTGTTTGGTTTATACTAAGAAAAACACTTTCCAGTTGATACTTTGATTTCAAAGAATGTCAAAATTAGTTCCCTTCCTCTTTTAGCTGCCGTTGAAATATCAAAAAATGTCATTGGTTAATTAGTTTTTGAGTTGTCAAATCGTGAACAAGGGAATTTTGAATGGTTTAGGTTTCTGCTTTTTTACAAAGCTCTACACAGGAAAAATCACAAGACAGGAGAAAAAATACAACTAATCAGTCACTTAAACTACTTTTTATTACCTCTGGGATTCCAATCTCATCCACATTCAGGAATGGATCAGGTGAAATCACAGATCTGCAAGCATAGTCCACCCTCTTTCCCATCATGTGCTTTCTAAACAGTCCCTCTTTCTTTTCCAGTATCTGTAACAACATTTAAGACTATTACCATAATCCAATCATCCATTTAATAGCCTGGGAGCATTTATAATCCTGTGGGAATCTTGCTAAAAAAGAAAGCCACTTATCGAGATGTGTTAAGTGGACACTGAGGAACATGAAAATTGTTTTCAGCAGTTTGGTTACATGCACCTACCGCTGCTGTGATTGCCTTAAAACACGATGTTTTTACCCTAACATGGAAACCAGGCTAGACCTTACCATCCCCTTAAACCATCCTTAATGGAAACAGATCATTACCAAAATTTTTCATATTTAGTATTATCTGAGTAACTTTTTGCACAAAAATTGCTACAATGGGTGTAGAATGTGATACTTGTGTCTCACCAAGGAAACAAGGCTGAACCTTAAAACGCCTTAAGATGGTTGTTAACGGCAACAAATCTGCTCCAAAATTACTTCTTCTTTGTGTTTAAGTTCACCTGACTCATATTGGTAACTTTTAGGTGATAAATATGGTCTACACCACATTATTTAAGCCTTGGCAAAGGCATCCTAACCATCACCCTCCTCACTTTCTTCTTCCTCTTCATCATCATCATCATCATTATATCGTCATTCTCATTGTCATCAACAAGTTCAATGTTGTCTTCTTCATCACTGTCAGCACAAAGCCCATTCCCATTATCTTCACAATTAAATGTTCTTGAATTTAAGTCCTACCCTTTAACATTGATATCTCTTTGTTGAGCATCTCTCTTAAGCATTCAGCAACTCTTAACTTGATTGAGCAGTAGAGTAACTACATCAGTTATTGGTTGTTGTCAAGTAATTACTGGAACCTACTTATCTTAAATGAAACAAACACAGTATTCAACACCTGGTAAGCTTTACTTTTATAAAAACCCATAAGTCTCTGGGGACAGCAGCTCTTGTTTTGTACCTTGTCAGATTGTTCCATATCAGCATTAAGTTATTTGCTTGCATTATTACTTCTTTTAATGCAGCTTGCACTGGGGGTAGTCTTTCCGATTGGACTCACTTCTTCCGCAATCTCAGATCTCTCACCCTTGCAATGCATATCTTTGACTGATACAGCTAGCAAACTAATTTTTTCATAGTGGCATAGGTATTTGATGTAGGGTGCATGGTTGTACCCAGATCTGCAAAAGCTGTGATGCTAGACTTTCCAACAGGCCAGCTTCTCTTTACCTGCAAAGCCTCCAGAAATATTGGCTCACTGAAAGTGCCAATTTTTGCACCTGGGTCATTATGCACTTTGCTGTAATGAAGTACTGGTATTACATGCTGTAGGTCCTGACAAGCCATTTGCAGCTGGGCTGCTGGTTTGTAGGGCCCCATGCAAGGCAACATGACCTTCTTTCCAGTTGTACCTACCACCTTTGTCTTGATATTCTGGGCTTGGTCTTGATATTCTGGTCTACCACTTGTGAAGTGGTGCAGCCGTTAGGGGTGGTGAAATGCCACAAAACTGATTGCAGCCTAGAATGTAATGCTTAAGGCCTAGTAAGTTTTCAAGCACCTACTAACAAGCTTTAAGGCAGCTTATGGTGTAGCCTTGTTTCCATGTTACCATAGTCTTGTGACAAGCCATTTTACTTAAAAGTTCTTTTGGTGTATCAGATTCACTAAATTGTATTTATTAGTAATTTTGGTTAAGATTCTTTGCCATTAAGGACATTTTTAGGACATTTTAGGGTCTAGCCTTGCTTACAATACACTACACTACTTTATATAGCCAAACATGTATTATGCAACAACTTATTACATGCTTGATCATCCTACCTTAAGCAGTCTGTCCCGAAAGTCCCATGTTTATTACCCCTTATTTACTGTTATTTTCACCTGTACTGAGTAGTACCCTCTATTACAGTCATGATTATCACTGTTATAATTTTCATTTTTTTTTCTTGTCTACCATGTTTGTCCTCTGGATGTATAACAAAGTACTGGTACCCAATGTTTGGTTCCTTGAGAAACAGGTTGGTTTTGTTTTTCTGCAAGTCTCAATATTTACCAACACAAGTCAAGGGAAATATTGAGACCTCTAAGAAAACAAATCTAAGTGTTTCTCTTAGGAGCAGACTTTAAGTGTAAAATATCACAGATAGATTACTGAAGCTTACCTGTCTGATTCCTGGGAATTTGAGGACGGATACTCTATCCAAATCACTGTCAATATAGCAGTTGACATCAGTTTGTAGTTTGAGCCAAGCATTGTGAAGTCTTTCAGTGGCAGTCTTACCAGGTACAGTAACTGGAGCATTCTTTCCCTTAGAATTAAGATTTAATAATACCAATATTCTAAGTCAGATTGTAAAACCAATGGTTGACAAATAACCACATCATTACATAGTGGATTGTTCCAGGGAATATCATTAAAGCAGATTGCATTACTTCTAGTCCTGCCAGGGCTGACATTTCCAACCCCTCCCTTACTTATTTATTTTCTTTATTTAATTTTGTCATTTTTTTATTGTTTGTACTTTCTCTAATAATTTCTCCTTGAACTCACATACACATATAAATAATGCATTTAAATATTTTAAAATTCAATTGTGTTTGTGATTCAATAGTTTTTTTTGCGTGTGTCAACCATGCATTCATAGTAAATTAATGTGCTCTGTGTTATGCCATTATCATTATCATCATTTGTATTTTGAATAATGTAAAATAGTAATGTAAGTACCGTTAGTATTTCAAATGTAATGTTTCATTATGTGTGGCTTCACAGTGCTAGTAATAAAAATAAATTCAAAAAAAATCTTTTATAGGGATGTCTAGAAATATTGAAAAAATAATTTACATACAAAAGATTTCTTTCTCTTTTCTATTTGTGCATCTTGATCATCAGGTAGAGGTTTGTTTAAATCCTGAAGGCAGCTTCTGACAAGTACACAGTCTTCCATGATTTTCTTCAAGTTTCTTGTTTGTGGATTCTCAAACTGTTTTCCCCCAACCTTTGAAAGCTACATATCATAAAGTAAAAAAAAATTCTTGTGAAACAGCAGATACCATGCTATAAATCAAATAAACATGGCCTATTGTAATACTGGAAAGCAAAGGGGAATACATTACCCTGTAGTTGGTAAGTTTCACAATGCACTTCCCTTAGTAAAAACACATAATTGACCTTCAACAGACACTTGTTGGATACACTTAGACATCAGTTGATCAGTCCTTTGAAGGATTAATAATCAATTAGACCAAGAAACTAGGAGAACATACTTACAGGTCTAAACCTTGATGGTGCGACTGGAAGGATCTCTATAAAGAACATATCTGCAGAACAGCACCTCCGTTTTGCTGTTGGAGATGGATATGCTCCATAAAGAATGCTAAGAAATCCACCATGTTTCTCCCAAATTTGAAAAATTTGTTTTCGCACTTCAAGTGGAGTTAGGTAAGTTTGTGCCAACAGTTTCTTAATATCAGCATCACTTCCTTTAGCTGCATCTTCAACTGAATTGTTTGTGTTCTCTAAAGAACAGGAAAAAAACATTGGCTGGTAGACTGACGATAAGGAGCAGACTAAGGTTATTGTAATTTTCTTTCACTGGAAAACATCTGACTGAAAAACACTTTGTTCACTATCAGCATCATTGATCATACAGTCTAACAATTCAAAAAACACTGGATGCTATAAATGTATAATACACTATTAAATCATTGAATACAAGTTTACATAAAAGCAAACACAGAGACATGGCTATTAAAAAAGTACATTGCCCTTTTCAAACCAAACTATCACAGAAAAGAAAGGAAAGTTGAGAGTTGAAATACTGGTAAAGAAAAGCCTCTTTAATCAAAATTTCTGGAAAGTGTGATCATGAAATAATATCAACAACTAAAAAAAAACAAAAAAATAATTTAACTCCATTACCTCTCTCATCCCTATTTTCATTTGCGTCATTAGTCACTGAAAGTGAATCATGTTTAGCCAAGTGTGCATTAGCCAATTGAGTGTTAACCCACTTATTTGCATCTCGCAAGGATAAACCCTTTAAAAATACACGACTGTTGTATTCACTTCTAACATCCCGAGATGGTGCTTGACATCCTGGACAACAGCGTCTTTTGTTAACCATGTGAGTATACATAAACTCTTTGCTAATTCGATGCCTGCAATCTGTGACATTTTTAGCAGTCGATTCTCTTCTGGCTTCTTTCCTGTCTATATTTTTTAACTCCTTTCTTAAATATTCATCCACAGCTGTTATGCACATATATTCAGGCTGACTTTGCTGCTCATTATCAAGGGGGTCCGGACAATTCAGAGTACCAAAGGCAATTTGTTGAAGCTCTTCAGCAACTGTGATTAACCCATAATCTAACACTTTCATCTGGCTGCAAGACACAACAAAATATAGTGACAGTTAAACTGATCCTGCAAAATTAAGGGTTTCTAGCTTGCTGATCATCAAAGATCATTCACAATCAGAGTTTTTATTTTAGTAAGTGCTTAAAAGTGAATATCAACATTTGTTGGTATAAAGTGAAGTTGTGATATTGCCACAATTTTTCTCCACCTTATAACTTTTTGGAATGACACCAGTGATATAGGAAGCCATAATAATTCACTTCTAATGTTGATAGACTGCTTCATCAGATTAGGGGAACATGTCATCATGAGACTTTTTCTTTGCAGAAAGCATCAAACTTATGGTTAGGGTAGACCTTTATCAGTGTTTTAATAGTAGAAACAAAAATTTGAGGTGCTATTTTGAGAAGAACCAACTTGAATAAGTAAAATCAGTGGAAAGGTTAAGAAACAAATTATCTTAAGGACCAAAATTTTTTTGGCTCTAGCTTTATCTTATCCAGATAAAATTTATGTGCTAGCTTTATCTTATCCAGATAAAATTTATGTGCCCAAAAGTCTGAAACAGTGGATTTCTCTTCAAACAATTAAATTGAGCATCAAGTTTGACTGCACTAACAATCGCCCTGTACAACTTTCACAATGAGTTAATCTTCATCATGTAGGGATTTTGTAATGTTTATGTTGATGGCTGACTAAATACCCAGCAGCCAGGCACAGTCTTAAATAGACTAAATGCCCAGCAGTCAAAATTTTTCATGCAATTTCCGCCAAAAGAATCTTTCAAAATTCTTAAGAATATCAAATGTTTGTTAAGGAATGTTAAGCGATTCCAAAAATTTATTTGTTTTTTTAGTGGACAAATTCTCCAGGCTTGTGCATACTATAATATCACTTGGTTGTCGACAACTTGGAAATTCTATGCTTCTGATCAGACTGCCAGGCATGTTCTCAAATAGACTAAATGCCCAGCAGTTAGAAATATTCACCATAATGCCACTGAAAGGTTCCCTCAAAGTTCTGAAGAGTATCAGATATTTGCTTAGAAATGTCAAGCAATTTAAAAAATTGCATTGGTTTTTCAGCAATCAAGCTTGAACCACACAAACATGTTATAAAGCTTGGAAGGTCTGGCTGGTTTCATGGAACATTGACAACCGAGCGATATTGTAGTATGTACAAACTAGGAGAATTTGTCCACTAAAAAACCATATTAATTTTTGGAATCACTTGACATTTCTTATCAAACATCTAATACTCTTGAGAAGTTTGAAAGAACCTTTTCATGAAAATTGTGTGAAAATTTTTTACTGCTGGGCATTTAGTCTATCTGAGACCATGCCTGGCTGCCAGGCATTTAGTCATTGTATATGTTGATTGCTTTCCTGTTACTTCTCTTTTGAATTTCTCTACAAACAACAAACTGATCAGTTACTGGGAAGCCATATTGCCTGAAAACATTCAAGAGAAAATGGAAATCTTACACATGGCATATGTTTTTGGGTAACTTGAAAAGAAAGAGGCATTTTTAAGTCTTCAGGGCAATCCATTGGGTTTTCATACCCTAATGATTTGTGCAAAGAGGACTTAACTGCATAATAATGTCAATACTGTGTTGTAATTCATGTACTGGAAATCTCATCTTTGCCCTAAATTTGATGCCAGAAAAAAAAATGAAATGGCATCACGTTGAAACATAAATGAAAACAATGCCTAAAGGAAACTTTTACCCACAAAGCTAATGAGTAATAGACTCCATCTGACCTACCTTAAGAAGACGTGCATGACAGCTCTCGAAAAAAAAAGATCTCCGCACCTGAAACATGACGACCGCAAAATCGCTAATAACTCTTTGAAAAATAATGGATGATACACTGGTAATGGAAGCTCGACATGACCAAAATGTCCAGGACAGTAAATGTAGTTCTGTGCACATGTTCCACACAAGTCATCTTTATCTGTAGGACCTAATGCTGGGTCATAAAGACCTCCAAAATTCGGATGTAACAACGCATCAAACGTTTCAGGATTCGTTAACTTTTTAACACTGATTTTTTCGCTTTCATCAGGTGTATACAAAGCTAGTCTTAGACCTTCCAAATAATGGAAAGGAACCGCATTAGGCCCAAACATCTCAGTGTTTACGCTCATCCACGTGTTAGGACACCTCACAGTACAGTACATAGAGGAGAGAGGTTGAATTATTATCCGCTAAGAATTTATATTGCTGGCTCTCAAGTTTTAACATGGCGGGAGTGTTGGCGGGAATTACAACAGTAATGACGGGAATGTGTGCCAAACTGTTTGTCGGCAGAAGTATTAATATCTTTTACAGGTAGGCTTACAGCTAATATCTGTAATAGCACAGTGTTAAAGCATCCCGAAGTCAGAATTTGCTTAACCCCGACTTTTTAACTTGATTACACTTTCTGTGTATGATTTAAGGTGATTTGGTGTCATTAACTGAGTAGATAACGTAATAAAGTATGTGCTTATTGTTCATTGTGGTGTTAGACAGGAGATGAGCTTTGTTCGTTTGTCTCACGATAGAGTCACTTATAATGTAGACTGCGACGTTTCGACTACAATACTGCTAGTCTTCATCAGATGATGAAGACTAACAGTATTGCAGTCGAAACGTCGCGATCTACATCATAAGTGACTCTATCATGGGACAAACGAACAAAGTTCATCTCCTGAGTTGATAACGTGAATTGGCCACCATTAAGAGTTTCAAAGCTGACGTTTTGAGCGTTAGCCCCTCATCAGAGCCAAACTGACGGGGATTCAAGGTCAACTTCCCACAAAATTTGTGGACGTAAACTATATAATGGTCTCCAGCCAGATATTGATATTTGTATACAAGGAGCACACACAGACCATACTATGTGTCCGTGGTTAATGATTGTTGATATGAGATAAACAAAATCTATGAGGATTATGAATAAAGCTCTAAAAAATGCATATCTATATTACATCTTGGTCTGAATATAAGGAATAGAACCTCAGACCTTTGGATTCTATGCTCTAATGCTCTATGGTGAGCAAAGCCCATTACTAAGTTTACACACAATGTGCATCCTGCATACTGCTCGGATCAGCAATGTCGTTAGTGTCATGTTTTGTTAAAAGAATGAAAAAGATGGCAAGTTCTTAGCTCAGTGACAAAATATAAAAAGATGTCTTTTGGTCTTTTCACAAGCGTAGGACAAAGAAAATATTCTGGATCTTCATGAAGAATCCAACCTCAAACCTTTGGATTCCATGCTGTGGTACTCTACCATTGAGCACAGAGACTCTATGATGAGCAAGGTCCATTACAAAATTTATATATACTGCTGATACTGCTGCATACATTGCTGATCCTGGCAGCATTTGGGACTCATGTCATATATGAACTTTGTGATATCTGTCATGCAGAGGTAGAGCATCACAGCACCAAATCAAAAAAGTCTAGGTTCAATTCCTAGTGGGACTCAGAATTTTTCTTTGTCCCATGCTCATGACAAGACTAAAAGACATCTTTCTTTATTTCTTTACCAAGCTCAAAACCAATTGTAACAGAAAAAATTATCAGCAACACTCTACAAACACATCACCTGTGGACATTATTAAGTATTTCAAAGGCCTGACAAAAAACATGTTGGCCAATTGTCAATTACAGCTTAAGTTGGATTAGAATCATTGCCTTTCCCCACTTTAAACATAGTTCAAGGTGGATTTATTAATGCAGTAATTTTCTCCCTTATTTCTAGGAAGGGAATTTTCTTTGATGCTGTTAAGTCTACAGCAACCAGTTCTTGTACAACATCAGACAAAACTGCTAGGATGACTGGTCTGTCAAAGCAGTATCTCTCAATAAAGAACAAATATCCTGAATTCATTGTACTCTTCCAAGTCGGGGATTTTTATGAAATCTACAGTGGTGATGCTGTGAAAGTTGCAGAGAAAACTTCTCTGCGAATTTCGAGAAATCCAAATGTTAACAAATTAATGGCTGGCTTTCCTGTTAGGTCTTTGGATAGTTGGCTCTCAACTCTTGTTCAGCAGGGGTTTCAACTGGCAATCTGTCCACAGTTTCCAGACAAGTGGGTAAAATGATAATCTGGACTTGAATGTAAAATATCTCAGTATGTCAGGTACAACTTATGAGGATTATGAGGAGAATTGTGCCATAACAACTACTAGGTCAGGGAAATTATTATTGCTTTATCATAAATATGTCTCTCACAGGACACCGTCTACATCTAAACTACTTCATCGTGAGGTTGTAAGACTTGTTACACCAGGAACACTGCTTGATCCTCTCAAACCTGATGCAAACTACCTTATGAGCATTGCTTGTGGACCAGACTGCTCACTTGGCCTTGCCTGGCTTGATTTGTCAACTGGTGAATTTCACCATGGTCTCTCGCTCCTAGAGAATTTGGAGGAAGACTTGTCAAGAATTAATCCAGCAGAGGTGGGCATTGTATCATGCAATACAATCAATTCTAATATATATCAAAACCTTTCTTCATAACTACATACAGCTAGTCTTCTTCAGGAGATGAGGTCAACTGGTTGCTTGCCAACATATGAAGTATTATGCTCTTCTGTGATTCGGGCATTTGGAAGATCTGTTGCTCTAGCATTAATATTTGATAGATATCACATCAATTAACTTGAAATTTATCAAAGTAGGCAGTGTTCTACATTCTTTTGGCTTTAGGGTTACGGTTAGCCCTAAGTGTGATTGTAAAGTAGTCTCTGATTTGATAACAGGTTACATACAGTTGAACCTGTATCAAGTGGCACTGTATCAAGCAGTCACCCTGTCTAAGGAGTTCAGTTGTCAAAGTCCTGAAACTTTTACCCCCTATCTAGTGTCATTTTTTCACCTCTATTGTGTAGTCATCTCTAGTAAGCAGTTGTGGTAACCTTTGACCAAGTCCCAACAGCCTGTTTGTACTGTTTTCCACCTGTACTGAATGGTCACTTAAAGCAAACCCACTCAAATAAAACTAAGAATAATCTTTCATGTAACATTACATGTAATCCATAAATATTTGCCAAAATCAGTGTTAATTGTATTAGTGAGCACATTTTGTGGTCAATTATGGCATAAAATGACATTTTATATTGTTTCTTTATAATACTCTATTCTTTAGAACCTGTATTAAGCTCCCACCAAAAGCTGTTTGCGGTGGGTGACCACTTAATATAGTTGTGACTGTTTCTAGCTATTTAAGGCTGTGGAACAGTTGTTTGGACACATTTTTATGATACAACAGCAATGGATTTAAATCAGTCAGAGGCTCAACACAAAGCAACTCTTTAGCAAGTGAACCTCAACACCTTAAGATGACTAGCAGTTTGCACATAAAGGTTGTGATCCTTATCAGAAGTGAATATGTCACAGGTCAAATGATAATACATCATTACTATAGCATTCATCATTACCACATCCTTATAGGATATTACCAATAATGTTCAGGCATGTTATCTAATTAGCATAAGCTTAAAATTCTGATTGGGTATGGGTTCTGTTCTGTTCTATAATACTATTAGCACTCCTAAATAAGGCTCTTTAAAGAATCATGTACACAATGGAACTCTTATTGGGTTGTCCACCTCTATCTTGTCCTTTAAGAGACCCAAAAGACCAGAGAATTAATGAACATATCTCATCTGTGACATAACATTTCAATGTGTTTAAGTGTGGTTTCACCACCATTGCCAATACAACTAAAATTCAGATCAGTTTAAGGGGAATCTTATCCTTAACCTGGACAATGATCTACTCAGAACTGAAAAAAAATTTTTCAAGGGTTCCATGTACTTAAATCCATTATCAGGGACATACATTATGTTGGTAATGAGAAAGTCAGAATTCTTAATCTTTTCTTTTTCAATGTCCTCACTGGAACAGATTTTAATGGCTGAAGAACACCTGACAAGTTTAGGTACAAAGCACAATCATAAAACAGGGATAAATATCAAAAAGTCCTCCTTAGAGAATGTGAGGGATTATCACCTCACCATTGTCCCTTCAGACTGGTTTACAGTGGATTCATCACATCAAGATGGCGCATTGGCAAGATTGTTGAAGTCTGTAAACTTTTCACAGTTTTCATCCTTAGAGATGGCTGCTGGATATTCCCTTCTAAAATTTGTATCTTATACTCAGAGAGACATTGCTCCCCTTCTCAATCAGCCATCCAAGTTTTCACTTCAAACCCATATGGCAATAGATTCAAATACAAGACGAGCTCTGGAACTGACAAAATCCTTGGTGGGTACAGACTCAAAAGCTACACTTTTTGGAGTCATGAATAACACTGCAACTGCATCAGGGCAAAGACTGCTTTATTCCCGCCTTTGTGCACCCTCAAATGATGTTGATGTGGTACAAAAGAGATTGAATGTGGTTGACTTCTTTTGTATGAACAGGCATCTTGCTGAGGACATTCAGAAGGCCTTGAAATCATGTCCAGATGTAGAGCGTAAGATGCAAAAGGCAAGTCGTTAGTCTTGTAATATACATTTATTCACCCAAAATGAGACAAAGCAATGATTGCAACACCTTAAAAATGAACATTATGAATATGAATTTAAATTATTAATTTCTGCTCATTGATTTTAGTAGGCTGGAGGATGCCTTTTTTACCGGCACAATTGCAGAAAGGGATTGGATACATATGTAATTGTAACCTTGTTTGTAAGGCTTGGAAAATTGTGCTCTCCTTGAGTTCTGCCCCTCTCCATCCCATGCAATGTTGAATGAACAGTTTTATGTCACTGAAGTTTGCATTTTAGTGATATCCAATACTGTCAGTGGCAATGGATGTGCTGAAATATATTATCTGTCCTAGATCAAAAATGGAGTCCTTACAAATTATTTATCACAATTTGTCAGGGTGTAGCTTGTGTTGAAGCCATACACAGAATGTAGTGATTTGCAATATGCCCTTGATATTTTGCCCTCTCCAACATACCATAGCTGTTGTGGGTACCACTTTAATACCTACACTTTTTATTACCTACCCAACAAGTTAGTCTTATTCATATTTGCTTAAAAGGTTGCAACAGGGGCTGCTAGTCTGAGTGACCTTCATGCCATATACAGTGCAATAGCTCTCTACAAGTATATTCTCTTGCTACTCCACGATACATACTTTAATGTTAACCTACAAGCTATTGAAGAGTTGCTGATGGAGGACTTCAGTTTGCTTGATGACTTGTACAGAGAGTTGGATACAGCAGTTGGTAAAGTTGAATCAGATCATACTGTCATGAAAGGCTACTCCAACGAGGCAGATGAGATCAAGGAGAAACTGTGCAAAAATATGAAACAAGTTGACAAGTTAAGAGATGTTTACAGGTACTTTTCTGAATTTAATGTATGAACATATTTGCCTGGAAATAATTATTTTAGCCCACGAAAGGTCTTAAACTCTTAACTAAATGTGCTAAAAAAAATACAAAAACAAAAACAGACTGTCATTATCCAGCTATCTTTACCTCAGGGTAACCACTAATGCATATACATGTACTTTTCCCACAATTTGAATTAAATGTATCATGAGGATTTTTACCCTATCATACAAGTTTCCGATGTCCTGTTTTCCCATTCAACAGAAAATTTGAGAACCCTCTGTAGTAATCTTTGGTAGCACTTTTTTTGGTTGATTCCTCATTACAGAGTGAGCCTAAAGATTCCTCGCCTGACTATCAGCAACCACAAGTCCTTCATACGAGTTGTAGAAATACCTTTAAGTCAGAAAAACTCTCTAGGGTGGAACCAAGATTTTGTTTTTTTGGAAAGTACCAAAGACAAAGCACGCTATATTACTTTAAAACTCCAAGAGCTGAATGCAAAATGGAAAGCTTTACAAGAAGAAAATGAGATTATTCAGCGGGCATTGTCTGATGACCTTTGCAGTCAGGTATATAACATAATCTTAGGAATTATTATTTCCAGCATATGTAGAGACGTTCAGTGTTCATTTATTTACCCTAATCCTCTCACAATTGATTAACAGTCTTTCTTTGACAGGCTTGTTTTGGTCCTCAGCCTCTGTACCATCATAGCACAATTTCACAGAAGGGAATAATCCTGAAAGTTACAAATCGTAGTGAAGCATAGAAACGAGTTTGAAGGCTCTGAAAAATGTAAATTTGTCAGTTACACACTCACAATACCTTCTACGACTGATGTTATTAACATAACTGTTATGAACTGAGCAAATGTAGGTTGAAGCTGTTATCAACTGTTGAGAAACAAAAACTGTTCCTGGCTGAAGAGAAAGGTCCAGTTAATAGAAAAAGCAATAAAGGAAGTAAAATATATCTGACTAATGATTGTAGATATATGAAAATCATATATGTGCACTGTGGTGAAGAAACAAATATAAGAGATCTTTGCAGCTGTAAACACTACTAAACTAGTAGTTGAAATAAGACCTGGAAAGAATTCAGGCCTGTATGGGATTTTGAACCCATGACCTTGGGGAGACAGGTGCAGCGCTCTACCAACTGAACTAACAAGCCAACTGGGAGCTGGTCATTAACTTGGGTCCAAATAAACCATCCGAGTGATGAATAATGATTGTAGATATATGAAAATCATATATGTGCACTGCAGTGAAGAAACGAGTATGAGAGATCCTCGCAGCTATAAACACCACTGAATGAGCAGTTGAAATAAGACCTGGAAAAAATTCAGGCCCATATGGGATTTGAACCCATGACCTCTGCAATACCAGTGCAGTGCTCTACCAATTGAGCCAACAAGCCAACTGGAAGCTGGTCATTAAGGTGGGTCCAGTGCACATATATGATATACATATATGATTTTCATATATCTACAATCATCATTCATCACTAGTACAGTAGTGTTTATAGCTTTGAGGATCTCTTATATTCGTAAAATGTATCTCTTTAGTGCCATTGAGCTAAACTTGATTTAGACAATGACCCATACTGACAAAGCATAGGTTAGCAGAAGACATGGGTTGTTCATAGGTTTTGGAATAAACCAATTGGCTAAACACAGGGTTTTCAACTGTTTTGTAAAGTAGCGGACATACTTCTGAAAGCACCGGACGTGAATGTTTTCTTGGCGCCGTAAGGCGCCTCGCGAGCGCTGTAGTAAAAAAAAATTGCCAATATTGATCTCAAAGTACCGGACGTGGAATGGCAAACGACCGGACGAAACGTCCGGCCTCCGGCCTCAAATGAAAACCCTGTAAACAAGATGACATCCCAGAAAAGGCAGGTAGTGGCACATCTCTTCAGGTAGAAAGATTTTTGCAAAAAATAATTTGATAGAAAACTTGAGCATCCCATTGGAAAGCAGTTGCAGCATTCTTTGGTTAATATCTGTTTTGCTGGCAGCTGCATATTAAATATTCTCCTTTTTTTCCATACCTGTGAAAAAAAAGATAGCTCAGTTGATAACTGTTGTATTTGGACTTTCAAGGTGACTTCACATGCTGAAAGTTTAAAGAAATTGGCTGTTGCATTGGCGGAGTTGGATGTGTCCTCTTCTCTGGCAGTTCTTGCTGTTAAACGAGGTTATGTTAAACCCATCATTGGAAATCAAAACGAATTTCTTGTGAAAGGGGGTCGACATCCAGTTGTAGACATGCTTCAGCCTAACAGTTTTGTTTGTAATGATTGTGACCTGGGCAAAAAGAACCTCTGGATTATCACAGGTCCAAATATGGGTGGTAAGTGCCTCTTCATTAGTAATCACTTTTTTAAGTTACCCACTGAACTGTTGAAAAAAAAATTGTACTAGTTGGGCGAAATTTATCCTTCATATTTAGATAATGGATATTTTCCCATAGTTACACTTAGCCTTTGAATCAAATCATGTCTAATGTATATCCATTAGTGGAAAGAAAGTTAAATTTATGTGTATGATTGATTGCTCTTTTTTAAGGTGTGGTACATAATTTTTGTTATTATGTGAAACTTGGAAGGCTAACTTCCATACCTTGTGTCGACTCGACCAGAGGTTGTAATGCCACTTACCTTGGTCCATTGCACTTCTTGAAATTATTAATAGAATATTAATATATAATTAAATATAAATATATAATTTTGAGTGAAAAATAATCTTTCGATCTTATAGGTAAGAGTACATTTCTTCGTCAAAATGCATTGATAGCCATTCTTGCACAGGCAGGCTCCTTTGTTCCAGCACAGACCGCAAAGATAGGTAAGTTGGAGAACAAAGATGTTTTTCTTGGTCTTCACCCTTTAAATCAATTTGATTGTAAATTTCACTACACACAGCTGTTTTAAAGAGCAGGACATTGTCCATCTGATAAATCAAGCAAGGTTGCTTAGAAGAACACTAGCAGTAAAAGGCTTCCCCCAAATGAGCTACCGACCAAACCTCTAAACTAGATGGACCCACAGCTGACCAGTCATCCACTTCAAGTTTTAAACTTCTTGCTTTAAATGTTGAAACCTCTTTAAGGGGTGACTCTATGAGTTTGTGTCCTGTCTTGCATATTTTCCACTTTGTAACAAGAGTGATTAGCTGGGGGGTCCTTAAGGTTAGAAGATAACAGCCATCAAGCTGCATGGTGACCCTTTCCACTTAATTTACAACCAGAATATAAAGTGTTTGGTTTTTTTTTAATTTTTAATTTTATTTTTCAAGGTGTTGTTGATCGACTATTTGCACGCATTGGGGCTACTGATAATCTAGTGCAACATCAATCTACCTTTATGTCTGAGATGCTTGAAACAGCTTTCATCCTCGCACAAGCCACCGAGAAGTCCTTAGTTGTTGTTGATGAAATTGGTAGGAATTCTGCTTCTTTTAATGTTCTTTGCTGTGATACAGAGTCAAAAATTGTTAGAGTGAACACCATATCCTGATTTCTTGTAAGAATGACCATTACCCGGGACAAGTTACCAAGTGATACATGTGTTGTTATGTATTCCAGAACTGTTCCATAGAAACATGATTACTGTATTTTGTCTGTTTGTTACTATTATATGAACAAGTCAAGTGCAGTTCTCCTTTAAGTGAGAGGATTAACTTAAGTGGGCCTGTTTTAGAAGTAAAAGGAAACAAGAAGCAAACAACAATACTTCTGTGGTTTTGGTAATAATCCCTTGAGACAGTTTGAATATCTTGAAAAAGTTGTGCTGTGGGTCTTTGTGTTACCTTCAGGTCGTGGTACATCAGTGCTAGATGGTGTGTCAATAGCCTGGGCTGTAATTGAACATCTTCACAGCTCCATTAGGTGCAGAACACTAGCCTCAACCCATTACCATCAACTGGGTAAACTGGCCCACATTCTGCCGCATGTTGACTGTTACCATGTTACTGCTTTGCACTCCAAAGATAGGTTAAGTTTCACATATAAAGTCAATGTAAGTAGCCGTGATAACATCAATGATGTTTTGATTAATAAATCATTTGTATAATGCTATTTACATTCCACAATCAGCAATTTTTATAATCCAAAATAACCTTATTTAACAGTTGTAGATACAGAGAGCACAAATCAGTTTGATTTACATTATAAAATTACTGTAACTAGGGGAATGCAAAACAAACTTATAGCACATGAAGGTCTTCCTCAGCATGATGTGATGATGGTAGAGGCCCATTAGCCTTGACCTTGCAGTTGCTATTATAGTTTTGATTGGTAGGTTTACCATGCTGATTCAGAGTGCTAATTCTACTGAACAGTGATTTAGTGGTTTATGTATTTTATCTTCACCTGGTCACACACTGTAAACAGTATCTGTGAGGACCAGGCTTGAGCCTTGTTGAATTCATCACTGTTAACAGTTTAGTTTCTCATCATTTTTGTTGGACTTTTATTAATTGTTTATTTTTCATTCATTTATTTATTTACTTGTATTTTCATGTGAATTTGTTTCCTTTAGCACGGGTGTGATCAAAAATCCTTTGGTATCGATGTAGCAAAACTTGCAGGGGTCCCCATAACAGTTGAGGCTCGTGCGAGGGAAATTCTCCAGGTTTTAGAGGACAAAGGAAACAGTTTGGAGGTCACTTTGGAAGAGGACAAACTGGTTTCAGAATCTCGGAAAACACAGAAAGGCAAAGAAAGCTCAAATACATCTCCTTTCATCACAACAAATGATTTGCAGGCTGAAAATGAAATCACCAGAGTGCTTCTTGAGCTTAATCCAGAGTTACTTACACCAAAGGACGCTTTAGAAATAATATATGACCTACATTTGAAGGCACAGTGTAAATCCTCCTGAAAGAATTACTAGTTATTCTAACTACGTGTTATTTCTACAAACTGCCACAAATGGATACCACAAAACCTTCAAGTGCGTCTTAGGGAGATGAAGGATATTCATTGACAAATGTAAAGAGGTAATGCATCACAATACCATGGTAAAAACAGGTGTAGTTGGCTCTGGAGTCCTTCTGACATTGCCATCCATAAAGAGGAAATAAGAAATAAGAACCAAAGTGACAAGGAATTCTTCAATCTGCTTCCTCGTATACTTCAGTGTTTGCCTGGGTGTTTGCAAATTACATTTATTTTTGGTGTGTGGAAAACTTAGTTGAAGTACTAATGTTCAAGTTGACTTTGAGAATGAAATTTGCCAACAGTTGGCAAAATACTACTGCAATGTTAATAGTTTAATAGTATAAGAATGGTAACAATCCAACAATGATCGCTAACCCTTCAACCCTGAAGAGCAACTAGAATCTAATTTCTTATCACAATATCATCCCTGAACTAAACATTAAGGTCATAAGAATAAAGGAAATGATCACCAACTGAAGTAGCTCGGGATTTTTAAACAAATTCTCTTTGTGGTGTATAGGGAACAGTACGGAGAATATGAATACTGATGTAAGGGTGTAGAAGGTTAAACAACAAGCTAATTGCCCATCATACCTTAGCAGAACTACTTTCACCCAGATGATCAGACTACATGATACCCACTATCGGTTTCAACTGATAATCTACTTTTCACTACATAACCTGCTGAGTTTTATTTAAAATTTGATACCACTCCACAAGTCCACAATTTCAATTTGCATGCATATGAGAGTAAGAAAAACTGACTGAAGATCTCTAAACCAAATTATAGGCCTGAAATAATATGGAAACACTTATTTATGGTGTCTTTGTTGTGGTTCAATTTTATCCTTGGTTCAAATTTTATTTTCTTCTGTTTCAAACTCATTGTGATACATTACAATACCCAAAAACAAAAGCAAACAAAATCTGAACCAAGGATGAAATTGAACCACAACATCTACTTGGAAGTTCAGCAGTGAGACCATAAAATAAATAACATCTTACATGTCCAAAGTTTCAACAGATTACATATTCAGCTACAGAAAATAGAAAAAACAAACAACATTCAAACAGAATTGGTACCTATTTACTTGATATGTGGGAAAAGATCTATTTTACATATTGATTCAACCAGATGCAACATAGATAGCAGACACTTTCACTAGTTCACCAAACTGAATTCCTACTATTTACTTTAAGACATAAATTTGACTTAAGCCAACCAAGGAGTTCGGGTCTTCCAACTAGCAGAGCTTATTTAAGTTCCATAATTTTTATACTTTTAAATTATATGTGTCTAAAGGCCAAAATGCACCACAATATGATCGTTTTCCTTACTAGCATCATTTGCCTTCAAGAGAAAAATCTAAAGCAAAATACTAGACCCAGGCATATACAGTAAGTGTCTCCTTAATTTAAGTTTAAAGATCGTTCCTTCCAAGAGAGAGGTCGATATGTCCAGTCTATCAGGTGGTAGTACAATACCAAAAGACACTGAATAAATACTGTACTACCATCAATGCAACAAGAAAAGTTTGTTGTGGTCAATGATGCAACTAGAATTACTTACTACATCAGTGAATTGCTAACATTAATTCATTTTCAACTTTCTGCATCGCCAGGCAAAAAGCACCATACATTTTGTATCATCAGGCACACCATTAAGTGTAAGAATCCTTTTTACTCTACACTAGACTCTAAAGCAAACTTGACGGAAAGGTGTGAAAGTTGCCTTCCTATGTTCTGAACGGTGGATTTCAATCTGCTCTGCTTGCTTCTGAATTACAATGACTGACAGTGGTGTGTATGAAACAAACTGATCATATGTTTGCTTTAAACTTCAGAGTTTTAAGTGTTTTTAATCCCAGTAAAAACATTACTGCGTGCCAAATCTGAATGAAAGAAAAATGTAATTAACTTCTGATATTGCCTTCTGTGGTTGAAGCTTGCTTACTGAACTGGGGGCAAAATGAAACTATTAAAAGCTGTTCCTTACTTATGTTGGACCAATTGGTGCTTCAACTGTGAAGTGAGGGGAGAAATGTTTCTACTCTGAAATGTACTTCTCTTATATCCTAGGAAATGAATAACCATCTTAAGACCTGGATCTCTTTGTGTATTTTTGACTGACAAGCTTAATTAATCAGTAGATTAAAGTTGTTTCTCACAAATTTAAAAAAGTTGTGTAAAGATAAATACAGACATCAGTACAATATCTATAAGGTATTTATATGATACATTTATTCAATTAATCTATTTAACAAACAGATAATAACCATTAAATAAAAAAGCTGCATGTCAAGTGAGATCAACTGACATGGGAGTGTTGCATTGTCTAATGAAGAAAAAACAACACATAAAGTGTGACTTCTAAACTATGATCAGAAGTTCCAACACAAAACTCTGAGGACATTCTTACAAGTCTTAAATCTCCTGCTCTAAAGTCTCAGAATTGTCCAATGAAGAACCTTCCCAGATTTCTACATCTAGTTAGCATCCCACTCAGCTAGCTAGCCTCTTCAATCTATACTTGTAAAGAATTTAGAAATTTCAAGGTGGCCAAATGGAAAAAAAAAAAAGGTTAATTGCATTTGCATTTGCATTTTTATGCTCATTCAGACAACTTTAACCTGTGTCAATGAAACACTTTGGATTTTTATCAAAGAGTAACATGTTTTCAATTTGATAACAATTATAACCTTCCACTTCTACCATCTGACACTGCACCCCAAATGTCAAATATAAAATCGTCTGGGAACTGGAAATCTGCAAATTCTTCATCTACAGCCATAGCAAAATCACTTGGATTGGAGACTGTCTTACTCTTCAATACCAGTGTCTCAGCTGAGGGAAAAAAAAAGGATCAGAGAGCCATATTACTTCCCACTACAGTGAGAAAGTTAAATCATCTGCAAAGGCTTCAAACATAATCCACCTCATAAATAAGACCAGAGTGGCATTGGCATTACTTTATTCAGCAACCAAAATGGAAATTGTTTTTTACCTGTTACTGTGATCTTATATTTATCACAAAAAAGGTCTTTTTGGATGCTGTGTCAATGTTCCATTTACAGTAAGAGCATTTTACTTATTAGCAGTTAGAATATATGGCATGGCAAATTGTAACTCTATCATAATAGCTCACCCAGATCAGGATCCCTTATTCCAATAAAGCTTTCCAACAGGTCATCTATTCTCTGAGCAGCTTTCAGTTCCCATGCAGGTGCCTGCAATTTAATAGAATAACAACATTTAGGAATTAAGTCATGTGCCAGACAGTACATATGTTTCCCCTTGGGTTGAAATACACTGAACAGCCCCACCCCTCTTATAAGGCTGCTTAAGCCAGACTGTTACTGTTTCATGTTGTTTTTCTGTGTCCCTTTAGAGGAAAAAGTAATAAATTGTACCAATCACATTTTCCTTCATTTGCTTTTGAGTAAACTAGGGCAACATAAACAAGAGGTGAAAGCATCACAATCTAAAGTTTCTCAGTAGTACGTAGTTCAAGAAATCTAGCCTTGCTGTAAATAGCCACCTGGCATGCCTCCAGCCAGATAGTTTTTTCCTAATATGTTACATTTGATTTAAATTGTCGGTCAAAATGATTCAATTTGGGCATTGGGTTTCACAATACCATCGTCAAGTGATACCCTCCATAGAGAGAGCTTTTTTGAATGACACAAAATCCTTAATTAGTATATATTCATGAAAAAAGTTTGGGTCTACGGATTTTTGCTGATAGTCTCTAGAGAACTTGTACCATGTGAGCTTCATTTCCTTTAAAGAATATTTAGTAATAAAATAAACTCCTTCAGTTGGCTGGCATGTTAGCTAATAATGTCCACAGCTAAGATATTTTCCAAAAAATAAATAATTTATTTGGTTGGGAAGTGAGGCTTCAAAGACAAATGGGAAATTCTGGGGACAATTTCTCGGTCAAGGACATCATCAGCCAACATACCAGCAGGCAAGAAAGGGGTTTACTTATTCCATAACCCTTCCTTTAATTTTTTTTTTTTTTCATGCATTAACAGCAAATATTGTTGACTGTTTCATACTTTTCAGACCAGCATTTGAGATCAGTTTTTAATATCACCATCACTGAACTTCAGAGACAAAAAGTGAAACTCTTGAGCTAGCTTTTTTCTACTGACTTTGTTTCATTTCAACAGAAATCATGGGAGAATTTATCAATGTAAACAGGGCCTATTGTATGATAACTGTCAGGTGACTTTGCATCACAAGATGCAAAGAAGATAAGAATTCTGCAAAACTAATGGGTAGATGATAATGAGTGGTACCAGCATTTGATAAAAATTAAGTGATTGTAATATAGAATCAAGTGCTAAATAAATATGGCCATCCAGTCCCTGAGTTTTTAACCAGAAGGCTATCTGAACAATTTGGATCAGAAAGTTGTAATGGAAAGTATGTAGCAAAAAAAGAACAGGCAAAAATTACTCTATGCAAGACTCATAAAATGGAAAACGAAGGATGCTTTGATGAAGAGTATACATTTATGCATACCAGGCCTGATGTGCACCCTAACATTTGGCAACGAAGCATTAAGTAAAATGTTGTGGTCTATATTATGGGTTTCAATAACTTTTTCCATAAGCTGCTGCAAATGGCATAACAGGTGGCTTTACCCAGAAAAGGGACACTCAAAGGAAACTAAGCCAAACACAAGTGCCTACTTGCAAGCTAAACCGATGGTGGTGAAATGTAGTTTTCCAAAACTTTTTAGTGAAATGGGACCTGAAATTCAAAAGCCAACATTTAAATTGACCTATTGTTGAGTTGAGCTCAGTTTAGTAACAGGCACCAGCCCTAAGTACCCCCAACATGTGATATCACTACATATCCATTGTAACTTGTTTAAAATAAAATTTCCAGATGTTATCATCATACCATGATAACTATGCCTAAAATATCTTATGAGTGTAGCTTTGAAAAAATTTCTCCACGATCACAACTCTGTTGCTGGAGACAGCTTAGGGTATATACACTGCTTCACAACGAGTCAGTCTGTCCAATCTGGCTCTCTTACCAAATTATGATTTCAGAAAAAAGCAATGATCTAACCAGCTAACCATGGAAAGAGTTCACTTAATTACAATGTGCAAATATTTATATTACAGTGCTATACATCATTTTTATAGACCTAATAGTGACTATCACCTCTTCTGTTTCCACAACAGGGGGACCCTTGGATCGTAATCGCAGAGTTGTCTTCCCACTTCCTACTGCATTAGCAGCTGAAGATGAACTGGCTCCACGACTTCCTGTCCTTGGACCAATACCCTCTGCAAAATGAAAAAGAACTTAATTTCATCAAGTTACAATTCAAGCTTGGCCTTTGCATAAGGTAAGAACAAGCAATGATGTTTTCAATTCTCACCATTGCTACTCAAAACTTGCAAACTTAATCTATGTAAGATTCAGACAAATGGGACCCCTTTATGCCATGCCCCCCTTCTACACCCCCCTTCCCCATCCTTTATTTGCAACCATCATACATTCCTCTCTGTTGCAAGAACTTTGCCCTGCCTATTGCACCCATTGGGTGGCTAGCATGTGATATGCTATAAAGATTTTCTAAGTCATATTTTGGTGCTCATTAAGGTTTGCAGTTGTTCCAGTCAATCAGCTTTGATGGTTTTGCACAGTTTTTGGTTTTGGTTGATTTTTTTGCAGTTTTGAGTTGTTTCTTTGTATGGTTTTTTCCTACTGTTTTGCAGTTTCTAATAGAACCCATTGCCCCTCTCCTATTACTATTATTGTGATGCAGATATTTTGATGCTTATCAAGCAACAACTTGTCAAGTGTCCTTACAGTAATAATGTCATTACAGTATAGCAATTGTGGTGGTGGCCATGGGAGGGAAAGCCCTAGACTTCTGAACCTCTTGAACTTGGTAAATAAATAAAAGGCATACAAAGTAATTCAAATTAGCATCTCCAACTAGGAATTTTTCAAAAATCAAGCCAATGTTTGCACCAACACATACATGTCCCAAGTTGATGATATTACTAGTTGTAACAATATGCGAGTGTTTTCAGCTTTCTCTCTGGAAATAGAGGTTCTATACCAGATCCAACTTTACAGACCATATGTTTTCTATCGTAGAAAAGGTTATGCCATAACTTCCACTTAAAAGAAAAGGTGTCTATGTTATAGATCTGAGCAGGGTTGTAGATAAGAGCTGGCAGCCGGTGAAGTATGCCAGCTTCTCCCCAAGGTTTCGCCAGCTACTTTCATTGCTTCGAGAGCCCGTACAGAGATGATGTTTATCAGGTCTAAACTTGGGCTCAATAAAAATATAAATTTGCACTGCCTATCTTTTCTGAAAACATAAAAAGACTTCTGACTCAAGGTTAGTTTAAAAATGTTCTGATGGGGACTATCTTTTTGACAAATCTTGCTGTGGTGGCAGGAAAGTACGAACAATATGATGTTTTGTCCACTATATGGGATATTGAGACCTACAACTGTTTACCTTAAAAAAAAAAAAGCTCCAGCTACTTAAAAACCTTAGAGAAAACCCTGTCTGAGGACAATAAATACCATGTTTGGGGGAAAAATTTAAATATTTCCTTCCTCATTCTTCCTTAGTGCTGACTTACCAAAGCTCCTCACAGGCTCAATCAACTGAAAAATGATTTCCTCTCCAACTGGAAGCTCTCTTAACATACGAGCTACATCATAGTGCCTAGTACCAACAACAGTTGTGTTGTTTATAGCTTCTATATGATCTCCAATGCAAATCTGAGCCACTCCATCTGCAATGCTTCCTTCTTTGATGCGTTTGATAAATGCGCAACCCGCTCCATTATCTGTTATGGTAAGACCCAAGGCTGGGCTTGTTTTTAACACTGTCACAGTTTTGCATTGTCCTTTGACATGTGCAAATATAAAGTCATCAAGTCCAATTTGCCCTCCAAGTAACCTTTCCATGTCAATTCTATATGTATTTAGTGTACAAAACAAGATCTGGAAAGAAATGTAAATTTTTCAGGTCAACACTTAGGAATCCTCAAGTCAAGAAGTGATTGAGCAGCAGGGTTTGAAAAACAATTCCTCCCTGGAGAGCCATGTTTAATTTAATTTAATTCCTATGCCTGTAATTTGAATTTTCTTCATTTCTTGAAAATCCCAACAACATGAAAGTTGTTTCCCATACTTTTGGTGAAAAAAAAAGCTTACAATGTATTGTGGGACAAAATCTTAGGCTTACTGGGCATGTTGTCCAGTCATTACCAAAGGTTTTGTTTTGGACCTTAATACTCTAGTATATCATTCAGCAATTGATAACTGGGGGGTAGCCTGTCAGAGGCCTGTTGGTTATGTGTCAGTCAACAGGTGTTTTCAGGGAGCTGTTCTTCATGATCATTAGGAACAAAGAGATTTACATTTCAATAAAACACATGTACTCTCTTTTCCACTATCTGATTTTTTTCCCTTTCACAAGATGTTTTCATGTATCCATTTTCAGTAAACACATACAACACCACTAAAAATGGGGGATAACTGCACTTTTATGACCAATTTTGTGATTTACCTTACCCATGGGCTCTGAACAAAATAAAAGTGGCCACTTTGGTCTCTTGTGTGAACAGTAACTGTATAAATATATCATGCCTAACAGAGCTAGAATGTGGTATGACTTTGGTGTGAATACCATTAAATGAACTAGACATTGGTGTGACCAAAGCTGGACAAATAAATTGTCTGGCTCCCAGCTAAAGAGCCACACAAATGATAAGCTCTCATCTGGGCCATAACGGGCTAGACAGGGTCAAAGGCCCTTATAAAGAGGAGAAGCCCATTAAGTTACCAACCATCCTTAAGATTAACAGATAGGTAAGCTAATTTTTCTTAACAGTTCTCTTTTTTTGGTCCCAATGCCTTGAGAGCAATAATTGGCTTTCCATTATTGGAATGGATCAAGGTGAGACCAAGTTGCCATAACATAGAGTAGCATTAAATCAATTTGCAATCATGTAAACTTTGTTCCCTTTTTTTACTGGCTACATGACTACTTTGCTTCAAACTTCAGCATAAAAAGCCAATACCATAACCTTAAGTCAAATGCAAGATTGAGGAAACTTCCGTGGCTTGCAGAGGACATGCAGCCATATATGCCTCCATATGCCTTATTTTCACATAAGAAATAGCCGTCTTGTTAAGAGATAAATTTTCCTTTTAGGTTTGTGTCACTTGAATATTTCATTTATCAAAAAACATTACATACACTTAACCTGATTGGTGTAATGAGTGATAGTTTTTAATACAATAGTTTATCTCAATGCAGAATACAACTAACTGGTCCCTGAAAATGTGTTAAATTTTGAGAAAAGATATTTGTAGCTTTAGCACATCTTCTACATATAAAAAGGAAAGGTTCATATTTTAAACATGTAAACATCAGTGCATTTGGTCTATTTTGATGTTTAACTGAATTTGATAAGTTTATCAATAAACTATTTCCTTGTTATTTATATGTGTTTATTTGAGCTCTATGGCCAAATTTAGATTTAAGTAAGGACAAGTTATTTGGACAACTATGTCACTAATTATTTCTGTGCTGTCAGGCCAGTGTCTGACTATTGTGTCAGAATTTTTTTCTTGTTGTGTATGATTTCTTTAGCTCTTGTCATGCTAATTATCCCTCTTTTTAGTTTGAGAGCCAGGACCTAAAATCGTAATCTTTACTTTTCTGTCACATTTGGCTCTTGTGTGGTTGATGCTATACTGTCTCATGTCAGGTTAAAATTTCTGGCCAAATTCACTCTTGTCCAGACATTTTCACACAGGTGTTCTCATATAAAATTTATGCATAGTAAGGATGCACAGTGCAGTACAACAGAATCAATTAATGAATGAAATACATTTCACTTATCTTAATTCAAAGTCCCAAGATGGCTGTGATCATTCACGGTCATTCTTGGTATCTCACCATTACCTATGATTTTAGTTTTATTTTCAGCATTGAGAACGCCCTGCCAATATGCAAGTTGCTTGAGCTATTTACACAAGTTCAAGCTAAGCTTCGACCAAACTTATTGAATTATGAAATAGTAAGCTTTCACAGACCTATACACAGATCTAAAGTGGTGAAAAATAATTAAATCTAAAGTAAGCACATGTACCATGTATATATTTATTATTTAGTAAATCGTAAGTGCACAACAAGTTGCCTTCAACTTTAATTAGTGATGTTTCAAGGACACTTACTTGATACCACAACCATTTCATACAAAGTCGTATCAACAAATTAATAAGCATACAGTTGTACACATTTCTACCGAATCCATTAGCTTTAGTCTTAATTAGATCGGCTTTTACTTATAGTTTCCACTAACCTCCTTTGACTGCATTTTAAAGACCTCTGCGATTTTTTGGTAGAGTTCTTTCACGTTTGTAAATCCTTCCACTTTTCCAGTGGCGCTTCCATGAGCTAACTGACAATAGAATACAAACTTTGGCGGAGGAATTGGCGGTGATGGTCCTGAGTCTGTTCTTGGTGGATGGGGTGTTCTAGAAGCCATATCATTAGATTTGGAAGAACGCGGAGGTTCCGGGATTTGAACAGACGGATGCATTTGTGAGGTATTTTCTGTTCCAGCGCTTCCGGAGCGATTATTCGATAATTTTTTATCTCCATCAGTTTTGCGAGAGTCGGAAATATTTGCTCCCCCTTTCTTAAAAAGAGGCATCATAAACTTGCCCAATAGTAGTTCACTAACCGCCGTCAGTCAGCACATATTATATGGTCGGGACTGATCAAGGCTAATTCCTCTTGAAGTAAGATATAAACTAGTTCCCAGTTCTTTTGAATCAGCCCAGACATCCCTAAAACATATCCCCTCTAGGGATACCAAAACACTGTAAGTGAATTAAATTCAGCATGATCTCGAGACCGAAATAATGATTATCGTTACTTCTTAATTGGCCCTGAAATAACGAATAGCATTATTTCAGTGCATGTGTGAGACCTTCGGGCTCGAAGCTTGGGAACTAGTATTCAGGGAAAGATAAAATGGCGGCTTACGGCGACGAAGGAAATCTCAGTAGTTTAATATTTTAGCGTGAAAAGGCTTGGGTGTTGTGATCTGGTTCTCAAGTAAAAAAAAAATCACGGTCTGCAATGGCCCTACCACCTTTTGAACAACAAGAAAACATTGAAACGGTGGTAAAAAGCAGCAAGTTTCGAAGTCTAAACGAAAGATGGGTAAGCTGAGTTTCAGTCAAATATCATGACATTTGGGATGTAATTTCGATACCGAATAAATAGTTCTACATGGTTATACACGCATAGGATTCTGTTGTGTTCACGTGAAGGCCATTTCAGCCATTCCTGCCACTTGTAAGTGGTAGGAAATAAAAAATATGCATACTTGTTTCGTATTGAAGCCCTGTGAAATCACAAAAATAGAGAAAAACTTCTGCCCCACGGCTAAACGCGTGAAATTGATATATCTAGGCGGCATATCAAACAGCAACACTAAACTTCTCCTTTCTCACAGCTTTTTCCCCTTTAACATCTTTGTTCATTCCATTTTTTTTTAAGTAAAAACTCGTTTTGGAGGCATAAAGGCCTCTAAAGCAACGTTTCAAGATTTTATGGCGATCTTGTGAAAAACATGTAGTTCCAGCTAGTTTTGAGGATTTTGGCAGCTATTTACACAAAAAGTGGGTAAAATCAGCCCAATTTGTTGTGTTTCTGACGGTTTTTACGCGTTTTTTTCCCCAAATTTTACTGAGAACACTGCGTTTTAGCTGGAATAAGTGTTTTCACATGGATTGTATCCCTATTTTGTTAAAGACATCGTGTTTTTGAATGTGAAATTGGCTGATTTTTGCAAAAAAAAAAAACGTGTTTTTCAGTTCGAATTGGGCGCTTTTGTCAACTTTTGCGTGAAATTTGGCAAAAACTCGTGCGTTCTGCCGGATTTTGGTGTTTTTAGATAGATTTCATTGTAATTTTACGAAATACATGTAGTTTCAGATAGTTTGCAGCGTTTTGGGCTTGAGAACGGCAAGAGTGATGGTAGACACTCTTAGCAGAGATAATTGTGCTAGCAGATATTTAGATTTCACCTGTGAAGACAATAAATTAATTGAACACAAGAAAAAGGAAACTTGATAAAAAAAGATTAGAAAAATGGCGGGGAGAAAAGAGGGCTGCACTAAAGATTATGTACTTGTGTTCTTGTGTTCTTGAAGCTGAAAATTAACAAGGTTCCTGTAAATTAAGTTTACATGATAACCAAACAATTTGTGAAAATCACACAAATCCCAAGCTTTATCCAGGGTTTTCTCTTAATAAAATCAACTCTTAAAACAAATTGGGATTTTACCTTGGTCCTTTTTTTTTACTTTTAATGTATATTATTTATGTATAAATAATGCTCCCCTGACTCTCCCCCAAATTTCCAGAACAAATGGAAATCCTTAAGAATGATCAAGCTTTACCTTATTATCAAAAATTTTTACATCTTGAATTATCAAGTTATCACAGAGGATTTCTTGGTACTTTAACCTGTTTAACACCCTAAAAGAAGTGCACATATATACTACACACCATCAGCCCAGTCAAAATGTGCCACAGCCGACAATAATTATTTGGCTGCCTGCCACAATATAGCTGCCACTAACTTCACACTTGTCACACTTCCATTCAAGACAAGGTTCAGCCTCTGCTGCCTATTACTATCACCAGCTTGCCTTCCACTCAAAAACATTTTGACTGAGCTCATACATACATACATACATACATACATATGTGGGAGATTAGGTTACATGAGCGAACCTGCACTATTGAAAGAGATCAATGAATTATAATTCAAAGAAACGATAAATAAAATAAATCAATAGAAATGACAAAAATCAAACTACCAGCAGACAGTACTCTTTCAGCCTTCTGGTCCTCAGTAGTGCAGTGATCTTCGAGTAAGTGCTTAATTTGGACATAAAACCAGAACTTGGTATAGCTAAATATTATTATTTTTCTTTTAATATTCCCACTCCAGCTGATGTATATTATTTGAATTACAAGTCTTATTAGCATGTTAAATCACCTACGGACAAGGCACACTTTGTACCAAAATAGCTTTGCATCAAGTACATTATCTAGTACATCATTACCATCTTCAGGTATTTCTAATTTACTGGTGAAAATCACACAAATCATAAGCTATATACAGCACACAATCAGCAGCAAATTATTAGAAAGGAATGCAGTAAATTTTAATAAGAATATTACTAAGTAGTTAAATAACAAATAACCCAGTAAAAATGTGCCCATTGCTGGGAATTTGGTTCTCAATAAAATTAGCTAAAATAGCCAATCTTGAGTTTTACTGCTCACTCAAAATGGGCTGGCAGCTTAGAATTTGGCTGCCTACAATGAAGTACCTTCCACTAACTTCACACTTTTCAGACTACTTTTCAGGAAGAGGTTTGGCCTCTGCTGCCTATAATTACTACAGCCAGCTTGTCTACTACTTAAAAACATTTTGACTGGACTGTGCAAGTCTTACTAGCATATAAAAAGCACCTTCAGGTAGATTACAGCAAAGCAGCCTTTGTACCAAATGCTCTGCATTAAGTACATCATTACCCTCTTCAAGTATTTCTAGTTTACTTGTGAAAATCCCACAAATCACGAGGTATATTACATTATACATTCCAGTTGACAAAGCAATCAAGGGTAATTTTTTCATAATAGGATGCAATGATCTTTAGTATCAAGATTATTTGGTACCTAAATAGTAAAATGTTCGAGAGAAGAAATAATCGTAAACATTTTTTCTTTCTCATCAGCATCGACTTCCAAAAATAATGGATAATGACCAACTAAAACAAAGAAGAAATAAATCAAATTTGTGATTCACAGGGCTTCAATACGAAACAAGTATGCATATTTTTATTTCCTACCACTTACAAGTGGCAGGAATAGCTGAAATGACCTTCACGTGAACACAACAGAATCGTCTGCGTGTATAACCATGTTAAACTATTTATTTGGTATCGAAATTTCATCCCAAATGTCATGATATTTGACTGAAACTCAGCTTACCCATCTTTCGTTTAGACTTCGAAACTTGCTGCTTTTTACCACCGTTTCAATGTTTTCTTGTTGTTCAAAAGGTGGTAAGGCCATTGTAGACCGTGATTTTTTTTTTACTTGAGAACCAGATCACAACATCCAAGCCTTTTCACGCTAAAATATTAAACTACTGAGATTTCCTTCGCCGCCGTAAGCCGCCATTTTATCTTTCCCTGAATACTAGTTCCCAAGCTTCGAACCCGAAGGTCTCACACATGCTCTAAAATAATGCTATTCGTTTCAGGGCCAATTAAGAAGTAACGATAATCATTATTTCGGTCTCGAGATCATGCTGATTAAATTAGGGTCTGAGGCAGGTAACATGAAAATTTGTCGAGGTTAAAATAATGAATCAAAGATAATTCACGCATTTGACATTGTAGTTAGAGACGAAAAGGGTGTATTTGTTGTGAAGTATCTTGGAATCGGAAGAGCGATCAGTCAGGAGTTGTCACAAGTTAGTTGCTTCGCATGTAAAAAGTTCAGCCAATCGATTTAAGACACGCTAAGAAGGAGAATTGTTTCTCTTGTTGGGAAAGTGACCGAAATCTCTGAGGTATGAAAAAGTCTCTGAATAATTAAGCGACACCAATCAGCGCTTGGCTTTGTTTTGAAACGCGGTGGGCTGCCGCGTTCAGTTAGAATACTTCGAATTACTGTGGTCGCTGAGTTTGGCACCGATCATGAAGAGTTCATCATAGCGTTAAGGAAATACCCCTGTATCCACCATGAACATCGTAGTCCTAAATGACAAGGGATACCCATATCACTAGCGATTTGGGTATCACTTCACATTCCAAACCTTTTATCCTTTTTTCTCCCAAATACAATGGGACTGGGTAAAATTTCTGCACAGCCCCATACTATTGTAAAACAAATCTGTTTTCTTAATGGCAATGTATTGTTTTTGTTATTATTTTCTCTATCGAAGAACTGAATGTATAATATAGTATGGGGCTGTGCGGAAATTTTACCTAAGACTGTACTCTATATAATTTGCTGAAGAGTGTACGCCATGCCAACTGAGAAGTATTGGTATTCCATACTTTAAGGACTGTCAGGACTACTTTGATCACTTGGGATTTGGGTATTCCCTCCTCTTCAAAATGCTCGTTGACACGAGCTTGGGACAAAAAAAAAATTCTGAGAAATTCATGAGAAATCAAACCTCAGGCCTTCAGATTCTGAGTTCTGATGCTCCTACCTCTGAACCACAGAGACTCTATGGTGAGCGAGGTCCCTTACGAAGTTCAATCTGACATGCATCCTGCATACTGCTAGGATTAGCAATGTCAATAGCACCATGTTTGTTAACAGAGCAAGAGAGATGGTAAATTTTTAGCTCAGTAAAGATACAGAGAAAGCTATTTTTTCTCCTGACACAAACTGGAGACAAAGAAAAAATTGGAATCAAACCTGAGACCTTTGCATTCTGCATTCTAATGCTCTACTACTGAGCCTACCACTACCTGCTGATCTTGGCAGTATGCAGGATGCATTTCATATGAACCTGAACCTAACCCCCTAACCCCGTAACCCTAACCCACCCTCCACCCTAACCCTAACCCACCCTCCACCCTAACCCTAACCCACCCTCCACCCTAACCCTAACCCACCCTCCACCCTAACCCTAACCCACCCTCCACCCTCCACCCCCCCCCTCCACCCGTGTACAGTCTGTCCTCCATAAAATCAAGA